GTACACATTTATATTTGTAATATCTGTCGCTCAGAGATATCTGTTCAATTCATGATGTTGGACATGGCGTTCAAATTTTGACCTAATAAACAAATGCTCAAATTTGTGGGATGTATGACTTGATGTAGGTACCATCTACCGACTACCAAATTGATTTATGTGCCCCAAACAAAAGCAGAAACAGAAAGGGTAAATATTTGCTTCACATCTTCGTACGAGAATATATTTTTATTATATTTTTATTTTCTTTGCGGAGTTTCGGCTGTTCTGTTTATTTTCCTATATATACTTCTTTCAAATCATTTATAAATTCCAGAGTCTATAGAAAACTCGAATTGTGTGTTGTGTATGATGTTCGAAACATAGCCGTTTCCCTGAAGACATAACTCGGCCGTGTATTTTCGTTTCCACTGCTTTTTTCCGTACAAACTTTGCGCAATTTTCAATTTATTAAAGTATACCATAACACGAAAACATGTAAGGGAAAGTAAGCGAAAAAGCTAGTCTATAATGCTTTTAATATATTTTTGATTTTGATGGATTTTGTGTTGGGATCCATGTAATATTCTTGAAAGAATTGTGTGTTTATGACAGACAAAATGCGAAAGTTTAATGATATTGTATTGTACTCAAAAATTACTTATTAGGAAATTGATTCTATACCCAAAAGTTTATTTTTGTGAATACTGATCCATTTTTTGAGTTAAAATGTTTTAAAAGTAGAAATTTGATTAAAATGCTTAGTTGGCTCAAATTTTCCAAGCATACGTGCGGAGACACAAAAACGACGCAATGAATAAAGATAAGACAAAAATATATTCCATTAGAGTGGAAGCTCGCATTTAAAATTGAAAAACGAAGGTAGCGAGTAAAGTGAATGTAAATGCACGCAAAGTAAAACGAAAGACACGAGAGACGATAAGATAAAGAAAGCTACTTTAGGGGTAGGCAATAACCAACGCGCTGAATTCCGGCGGCCAAGAATTCCAACCGGCGACCGAAGTACATGCTCTTTTGCGTTATTTCTTTATTGCGTTACTTTTCAACTTTTATATCATTTCGTTGCCGTGGATGTGTTGCACGGAGGCACTTATTTTTCTCGATAAATGCCTATTGTGATAAAGCAGAATGCCATTAATATTCGAAGGAGTGTGTTTAGGTGTTGAGGATAGCTGCGTTCACGTGAGCATTACCCGGGCAACTCTGAAGTAAAAAACGAACGAGATTGCGTTACACGGTCACATTATCATGGAGAGCAGGGAAAAAACTGAATTCTCGTAAATTTCTTTTTACTGTTTTTTTTTTTCCTGTCAAAGACTTGGGCGCGTTATGCCAACGAACAGGATTACTTTCGTGCAAAGGTCACAAGTTAGTTTTTTTTTCTCCTCGTTTGCCCGCCTTTTTATTCGTTGCCATAAAATTCTGGAACGGTGGAAAAACTATGCGGATTTAATGTACTAGATGCGTATTGGGAAATTGTTGGTACAAGGTTGGTGATTAAAATGCCTGCAGCGCAAAAAATGCAAGATGTGTGCGATACTTAAATCGAGGTCATAATTTAAATGGCAAATTCATGTTCAGCGTGTTTTTTTTATCGTCAATCATAATTTATTTTAAAATAGTATCCCGAAAAAGAAAATTAACCAAACTATAAAGTGGCCATGTAATTGCGAAAAAGTAAATTAATTTGATTATCACGAGCTAAGTTAATTTTAAACTGCGGGTTGAAAAAATGGTTGGTATTTAAAACAGGAAGAAAAGGCTTGCATCGGCCGGGACTCGAACCCGGGCCGCCCGCGTGGCAGGCGAGCATTCTACCCCTGAACCACCGATGCTACATGACAAGAAGAAAACGAAGATAAATGATTTCGGATTTAAGTAAATATAATAGTGTAGGGTTTTGTAGTTAATCACCGGTACCGACAATGCAATAACAGATGTCTCCCATGGTTTGTATTTTCATTTAAGATTATTTTTATCTTCTAATAATCTTAATAATCTTTTTATCAAAATTAACTACATTATTAATCACGATCATTAAGAAGCCAAGTGTAAACCATGCTAATTTCATTTGGAAGTGCACAATTGCTATTAATGTAATCGTAGTACACGTTTAATTCAGTTGAGTCGTGATATTAATTAATAACATTCTGTGGCTTTAGGTATGATCCGGGAAGTATTACTTGCATTAAATTATATAAATTACGTGATCTAGCATGAAATAAGGTGCATTCTTCTTGGTAATCTATAAATATGTTTGCTGTGTTCGCATGTAATATTTACAATAATTGAATTTTTATTTACAAAGTTTCACTTGATTCAATTTAAAATAATTCCATGAAAAAATATTTTTTATAAATCTACCGGGTTGCACTGTTAAAGCTTAATTTCACAAGTATAACAAACCTTACATATGATTGATTATTATGCGCCAGCATGCCAAATAAAATCATCTTCGTAATATTTGTTGAAATTAAGATACGGTGTGAAAGCATATATCTTTCGACCATATCTGCTTAGCTTCACTGTAGTTTTGTTTTCGGCTAATGTTAATTGAATGGGAGTTAATTAACTAAATTAACACGTTTCAAGTACCACACTTTGCTGACGTCTGCACTCGTAGTCCTGATATAGAATTTGTTATTCAATTTAAATAAAACATCATTTTCATGCGAGGCGGGCGCGCGCCTACAACTACCATATATAATTGCAATAAATTGTTGTTTTCAATCATTGCATAACATTGAGTTACTTATTCTCGTTATGCTAACTGCAAATTTGAAATTGTAAACGATTCACGTAGGTGAATTATGACTCGATAAACTGCTACGTGTCATTTATGTAACCATTCACGGGATTTGAAACCCAAGTACGCTGCTTTCTTTCACTATTTGTGGATTGAGTTATTCATTGGTAAAGTTAAACAATTGCTTAACAATTGACATGTTGGACGTGTACGAGGACAAGGGCGCTCATTGAAAAGTTGAATTCTGTTACAATATTTTTCTATTCAGCATTTTTATTATTATTCAAAATTTAAGTGTTTAATTTCTAAAAAATTAAATTTTATTGTATTGCAATGAAAATTATTCTGAATTTGATGACACTCAGTATTCATAAATGTCCTAGGAAGTTGTGTTTAGGCTAACCATGCAAACGTGCTCATTTACGTTCTCATTAATTATCATATTCGCATTTTGCTGCGGTGTATTTGCCAAGTCTCATATTTGATTACGAGATAGTCATTAAAATATTTATTGTTATTAATTAGGCATAAATAACGTGTTTGTCGCAACATGTAAAATACATTTGCGAGAATTCGCATCATAGAATTATGCTAATCACATTAATCCAATAGCGAGTTTAGGTATTTGCATAATTTATGATTAAGTAGCTGGGGTTTTAATGGATTCTTTTAAATTCCGCATTTATAAATTGCTTTAAAATCGTGGAAAACTTGTTTATTATCGCAAAGGAATAATTAACTAGTATTAGTGAAATTAGAAGATTTGAAAGCGGAAGCGAAGGAAGAAATATCGGTGCGGTTTTGTTCATTCTTGTATTGCGGTTTGTTTTAAGTCCCTAGGGATCCAATAAAGTGCCTAATTATCTTGCCTGCTTGTTCTCGAGGGTGCAATTTACTAGTTTAGAGGCTTACAGATTTAGCAAAGTCAAGTAAAAAATTTATTTTAAAATTTAATTTTCCTGTTTTCACTCGTATATCTGTGTTGATGCAATTTCACAAACTTATTAATACTGCTTTATTTGATAAGATCCAATTATAATTAAAACAGATTTAATAAATTAAAAATTCAGCTATTGTTTGGTTATTTACTGGGTTTTTGCTTTTATTGAGGAAATGGCAAAAAGCTTTTGCTAAATTAATATCAATAAAAGCAAACCCAAGGTAAAGTCAGTGAGAATTTGATCGAAATAGAGTAGATACTCTATAGTAGAAGAAAAGGTAGCTTGGTGACCGAATTCGGTGTTTTTGCAATAATATTTTGCACTCCACATTATTAGTTCCAACTTTTTGCACCCTGAATCTTCCATTACCGTTTTTGTTATGCGCTGCTTGAATGTAGAGAGTCTCTGCACCCTCATCAATGTCCTCGATCTATCCCCGCTTTACCACAACACATTTCCAATCCCGAACAGGTGGTCATTCTAGTGTGAAGTTACTATAACTCGCCGGCGTTGCAGTTTCGTCTTTTTCTATGCTTTTCATGTTTACCACGTTCAGCATTCATTGTACCGCAGTCCTGCAGGCTCTACTTCCCCCTCTCACCCCCCGGTTGCTGCTCCAAGCCGCGGCAAACTTTTCATCTAGAATTTTATTTTCTGGGGCAATGGAGGGCAGGAAGTAAAAAGTAGCGCACACGATAGAGGATGTGCGATGAAAGATACGTTTCATTGCGATGTCAGTTATGGCCAGCGGACAATTAAATAACTCATAACGCCCGTTCCGAAGAGCAACAAATGTGCGACATCTATGCGATGCACGTGTATGTGCCCATCCACTAATACTCACTATCCGCGACGCCGAATAAGTCTGGCTGAGTTGTGGCCGCGGAGGTAGGGGTCGTCGCTTCGAATGTGAAAATAGTGTCGATGCTTGGGGTAACGAGCGGCGGCGGCGGCGGCAGCGGCGGCAGCGGCAGCGTAGTTACCTGTGTCTGTTAGCAGGTGGCCGTCGGCGTTGGCGGGAGCCGGGAAAATACAGGCGCACGCGACTCGTATTGATCTGACCCACCACCGCCGCCAGCCTGCCTGCCATCGCCCGTCGCCAGCCGCCGAGCGGCTGTATCTCCCGTGCCAGCGATCAAGCGAACGAACGCTTTCATGCGCTCGCCTCCGCGTACCCTGTTTTCTCGACGCTCTTGCTGTAGATCCGTGGTTCGTTCGGCTGTTGGCGGCTCCGGCGCTCTGTTCGCTTGCTCGCTCGCTCACTCCGCGCGCTCGAGCAATGTGTGAATGCGCGCTCGCTCGTTAGTCGGCTGCCTCGTTACCAGCCAGCCAGCGAGCTCGCCTGGCGCTGCCGCCTGCCTGCCGTTCCAACCGCTCGTGACGCGTTCGCTCTCCTCGACAGGACCAACTCGTTTTAGTCGCAGGATAGTGCTCTGCCCTCGCGTACTTGGACGGTCTGTCGCGGCCGCTCTTCTAGCCGCTCTCTAGCCGTAGATCTTCGGCGCACGCTACGCCAAGCAATTGTTGATCTCGACGCATATAAAGTGTGCAGATAACATGTTGTCATAGTTACCGAACGCCGGCTAGTGTAATAATAGGTGCTGTGCTAATATAGATTATGCACGTATGTGACACGCTTCTTTGGATTGAGATGTTTTATGGCCTGTCGACGCAAACGTGCTGCTGAAATCACCGATTGAATTCCAGCCGTCGTCGATCGGAAACAATACATCCTGCTATAAATTGCGAACTCTTCAACAGTGCTCCAGTGTTACTCGTGGTTTCAAATTGAAGCGAAAGATAGTACAGTGAGGATCTCTTCTTAGTTCGCGAACTAATTGTGCATTAAGCGCACGTTCAGCCGATAGGAACTCTGGTCATTTAAGAGGTAATTGAAAATTAACTGTATAAGTTTATAAAAATTACAATTTTACTTCATAAATTATATTCATTTTTTTAATGATAAAGCGTTGTGAAAGTAATGAAATTCCACGAAATGCATAAGTTTTTGTTTCTAGAATGGCTTTTCGATTGATATTTCTAACATCGTTCGAATTAAGTGTTATTGTTCGCAGTGTTTATTTCTATAAATACACTGCAGTGCGGTTTGAGTGTCGTATACGATGATTACTCTTTATTTCTAACTCGTTCGCGCATCGACTGCAAAGTTTATTTGCACTATTATGCGCATTGCGGAGTTAAAATCGTGTCTGAAATGAAGCAATAAATTCAAAGAAATGCAACCAGTTGATCAAGGCTGAATTGAAAAACATTCAATAGTTGGAGGCAAGAAGGTATATAGACTAGAATGATGAATATGATATAATAATGAAGTTGAGATCTTTCTAACAAGATAGACCCTTAACCTAGATCTATTCGGATCACTGACATTCATAGTATAATGAATGTTGGCAAGTTTTTCAACTTTTTCCGCTCCTATTGGAGAAATATTGTATTGAACGAATGCAAAGCAGTAAATAACGGATTTTAGAAAATACTAACAATAATTGCAAGTCATAAAAGATGCGGTTGAGGTTTATTTTCGTGCGTGCTTAGCGACTTGGTTTCAAACATACATAAATAAATCCTGTCAAAATGAAACATAGGTACTTACGGATTTTTAAATATTATATTTCTATGCGTGAAAGTTATAATTAAACTCACGGTTCAATCATAAATTTTAATTAATATATGCTTGAATTTATGTAATGTTTTCTTCCAATTTTCATGTTTTTCTTCAATTTGGTGTGCGCCTTCCACAGATATTTTATCGAACTCGATTGGCAGTGAAATAAACGAGGTTAATATAAGATTGTATATTGAATAGGGAGTTTTACTGCATTATAAACAATTCGGTTGGCTATTTAACGAGTATTCCTGCTTGTAAAGTGTGAGAAAATAGAATATTAGGCGAACATTTAAAGCATGGTAAATACTAGTAAACATATTGACTGTTTAGTAGGATATAAAGTTTGTGTACTTGTACAAATTGCAAAGCATTAGGGATTTTTCTATTTGGTAACGAATTACACACATAATGATTATTACATTCGGGACGTTATATCTAAGAACAATGAACAAAAGAACGATAACGTTTTGGGCAGTAAAATCGACCGCGCAACTCATTGTATTTTGGTTGCCTTGGTGTCAGTTCGTTGGGGCGACGAAAAACGAAAACAAACAACTGAAACTACATATAACAAATCCTTTCGGGCCAGTGAGCATGAAAAGCAGAAACAAAAACTTTTGCGTTATAACAGGCGTTTCTTTATGTACTTACTTCATGTACAGTTTAGTAATATCCAGAACTCCTGGCACTCATTAGAAATGCGGGAAACAATGGTGATATTAGTTTCGAAAAGAATTGAAGTAAAATCAAAGAAAACAACTTAATAAGCGTTGTTGGGTATTTTATCATATCGGATCGATGGGGTGGTTATTCGATTGTCTCTTGAATGAAAAAGTATTTTCTCTTAGATTCACTTTTTCTTTGTGTATAATTGTAGTTAGTTTAGAAATAAGTATATATTTTGGCTGTCTTTTATCTCTGGCAAAATCGGCTTGCAATACCAAATCGCAAGTCGGAAATCCATTGAGACATTTAAGCTGATCCGGTATGCATGCGCGAAACAGCGGTTGCTGCTTCCGTCGAAGTCTTTTGGATATTCTAGATTCAAGGCGCGAACGCACATATGCGACGCATTTACATTCGCGCGAGAAGAAGTGCGCGCTCAGAAACCTAATTTATAAACATGGCTCGTCGCGCGTTTATTCCTCAAAGGATGCGAGCAACGCGCGCGGCCAATATGCGATGACTGTGCCGGCGGCGGCGCGTCTTGCCGATGACTAGGCGAAGGCGACTAGACAAGTCGACCAATCTCTCGGCCAATGTGACGCGATATACTCCTACATTAGTTATTAGATTACACTCGAGTCCGACGTGATATGGCTATTTCATGACGGCGAAGCGTCGAATTATATTCGGGAAATGTCTTAATACACTATATACGTAGACATTTTGGATGTGACTGGCTTTGAACTGTTTCTTTTTTCTTGTTATGTTGTTTTGAAAGTGGTTGGAATTATTTTCTGTGGCAAAGACAGCATTTGTGGCCAGAATAAATTAAATGAATTGGATGAATGATTGGATTTTCGAAATGGAATAATTTTAACATTTAAATTTTTATAATGAAAATTTTTATTGATAATAATAATTGTTACGTGTGGTTAATATGTCATGCATTTATATGTCACACATTAGCAGTTGTAAATTGAAATTTGCACATGGGAAATGTTGCAAACTAATATTCGGCTGCATAACTTATGCAAGTCTGAGATTGAGATATTGACAGGTACCAATAGCAAAGTTTGCACACTACAAGAATTATACGAGCTGCAATATTCCACACTCCATAATAAATTTACTGTTACGTAGAAAGTTAGTCTTGTTATAATGGCATATGTAAAGTATTTGAATTTAATACCTAATCTAATTCTATTTTAAACAATGGTTTCCTGCGGCACTTCCGCTTCTCAAATTTTATGTCTTTGCATTTACAATTCTAACTAAAATATTAAACACACTTAAAATACGCGAATTTAATTTAAAGTTACGATACGCTCCTAATGGCACATACCACGGACATGGTGCTTCAACATATTCGTTGTTTCATTTATGCGCAAGTATCGCTCAAGCCCCCAAAATATTTTGACACAATTCAACGCGACGTATATTTACGCCGGGCTTACGAAGCGTAAATTGTGATAACCTAGTTTTATTGACGAAGGGGTAACAGTACATATAAAACTTAACCTGTGCATAATAAACGAAACCCTGCAACAATTTTGGTAGCAAGTGTGTACTTTCGTTTGATATTTACGAGTGTCATCATTCCTTTTACTTTACTTTACCAGTAGAAATGTGAGCATCATAAAAAGCGTCGGTACGCGCGCAAAACTCGATTTCGTTTAGGAATATTTTAGACCTTTGGATGTATCGTTTGACAAGATCAATGGACAGAAATGCTGAGGAGCAGAAAAATTACCAAAATTAATTTCGAAATGAAAATGTAAAGTTTTTGCAAATACTCGGAGGTTTTCATTTTTTAATTAAATGTTCATGCGATGGTGTAGAATCCATAAACTTTTATACAATCTGCGAGAAAGTTAATTAAGTAGGTATAAAAATCCTGATTGAGAAAATAAGGACTTGAGGTCTTTTCTGTACAAATTTGCATGAAAGACACAGATAGATGAAAACTCCTCGAGAGTTTCCTGGAGAATAAGGAAAAAATGCGAATTTAGAATTCAGTAAAAGAATTTATAGTAGAAAAAGTTTAATTAATTTGGCTTTGAATCATTATTTGCATGTTCTTGCCGTTTTTTCATCATTGAGAATTGAAATGGGCGGCTTTGGAATAATGCCTTAATGCGCGTTTTTATGGAGGGAAGAAAAAAGTTGCAATTACGACAAAAACTTTTTTAACACAAAATTAGCGTCTTAGTAGTCTTCGCCAAGAAATGCGAACATTTCTTACGGCGTGCTGATATTTTTTATGTTATTATTACAGCTATAAACTTATTTAATTCTTTATTACTAAATTAAATTTAAATATTAAATGTATGAATCAATGCACAACCTAGAAGCTAAATTCGAGTCAAACACAACCTCAACGCCAGCTTATTTTACTGCTGAGAAGATCAAAGAATAATGCGCTGTTACACATACAAAGTAGATATAATATAATCACGAGTGCACCGGGGCAGCCAGAAATACATGGCGAACGTAACGCAAACAAACGTACAAAGCAAACAGGACAAAGCATCGCTAATTTATGTAATGAGTTATACAAATATGTTTATAAATAAATATAATTGGCATAAATAATTTACATTTTCCTGTTGTGTACTTACATACAAACATGAAACACAACGAATAATATTCTCGTCATCTTATTGGTGCGCCACGCAAATCTGCATGAGAATATGTGAAAATACATAATACATGTAGATGTGGATGAAAATTGCGCTTTTTATTGACGTTTTTTTCTTGTTGTGGTTTTTGTGGTAGTAGTAAAACGATGTATTTTTTATCTGCCGACCCTTGTGTTGTGGTTTGAAAAAAAAAACACATTGCTTTCATAAAGCGCCACGTTTAGCCTACTTTTTGATTCCGCTGTTATAACGTAGGGTGTGATGTTAATATTGCAGTTTTTCAACAGGCTTGGGGGAGTTTCTCATGAATAGATGCACTTTTCTAAGGAACTGCGTTGCGCATTAAACTCATGCCGTGAACTAGTGAATACAGAACTTCCGCATCAAATGTATCGCAGTACATCTGGTACCTTCTTCTACTATACAAATAATACTGTATAGCTTGAAGTACAACGGGTTTGTTCCTTAGAATTTATTGTGATTCTAAATCTGTTTAGAAAACACTTTGCAGAGATATCTCTTGATTGGAATGCTGGAATACGTGAGTCAACAAGATTTGCTTTGTGATGCGCAAATTTGTTCGCTTGTTTTAGAGCGCATGGTGGAGTCGCCGGGCTTGTGTAGCGCCGCAACACATCTGCCTCGATTATCCAATATAACTTGTAGCACTTTTCGACGCGAGCGAATTGGATGGCGGTCGTAATAATGCAAACAACGGTAACAGCGATGTGCGTAAACATGCCCGTAAGAATAACGAATTCAAATCCACGAAAAGCAAAACCTACGCGAGCAACAAATCGATGTTGAGTGCGCCAGTTCTTTGCGCGCACAAATCATCCGCCTGTGGATTGAATCAAATTCGTTTACGGGTAATACCTACCTGGAAATACTAATTGAATTGATTTCATTCTCATGCGAATGTTTATCAAAACGTGTCGATTCATTCTATTCAAATGAATTAGGTTTTTTCAAATTCTATGTTTCAAATTGAAGTGAAAGTAATCTTGCCTATGTACATTTTAATTTATGTTTAAAAGTACGGTGGATAGGTATTTTAATGCAAATTTTCTGAGAATGCCATAACGCATGAGGGGAACCCGTTTCATATCCTTTGTTTTCTAGCCCTCTTCATCTCCCTTCGAGGCTGACAAATATGTGTGTTAACACTATAGCACACCAGTGTCAAGAATGTGGTGCGAAGTAAAGCGCTTGTCATTAGTGCACACCTCGGGTGGATTAGGACATTGGGAATTATGCAAAACGCTCTCTCGGGTTTGCGGAATTTACATTAGTTTGCGTCCATTCCACATGCCTTCCTGATTTCAACTCGTATACATACATTTATATTTACTCTTGTACCAGTTGCACAATTTATGGATTTTTTAGTCACATTTACATTTTCCAAATTTGCAATACGAATGTTCAGACGTGGGTAATTTTGCGATATCAGTGGAGTGTGTTTTGGTATTGTAAATTAGCAGATTAAACTCTGGTCACATAATTTCTTAACTTTTACTGCCAATCGGTGGCGTAATCCATTTTCGACGGATTTCTAGAAGCACGTAGTCCGAACGTGTCGTCAGGTAACGAGCGCGCCATTAAATTTCATCCTTGCTGGGCGAGGCTTTCTTTTGATTTTTGCTCTCTGGCTCATTGAATAAGAGAGCAGTGCAGTAACGTTTACCAGAACTGAAGAACGCGTGACTTGTTCGATGTAATGTCTTTACGTGCTGCGTCTGTGGCGGTTTTATCAACCAATAAATCAACTCGGTCCGGTTAGCAAAGCTTGACTGTGCGTCGTCAAAGTTTGTGTTTGGATTTTTTTCTATGGTGGTTAAAAAAGAAATCCGAACACCCAACATTCTACATAAAATATAGATAAAAGAAAGAAGGGTCATCTGTTACCTCAAGAAAACTGTAAACTGTATTTCAAGCCTCGCGTGAAAAAAACAGATGGAAAGACACCGGGAAAATCTAAAAGAGAATTACTTAAGGAAATAAAGCTTCTTGTCTTGTAAATAAAAGTTTCTTCTTGGTTTATTTGGTTGCCACCTCCAATGAAAAATAGCCTCTTGCAAGCGGAAGCAATGATTAATCGCATCTGGAGAATTTATTATATACCACCGCGAATTTTGCAAGTAGAAACCTCATCGGTAGCGCGCACTGCGGTTCTAAGCAGTTCTCGTTACGTTTGGGGTAGCTTTGAAACTCTAGGAGGAATCAAACACTCCAACACTGGAGCCGCGACAATGAACGAAAGCAAGGAAAAATTCTGAAGAAAGGAAATCGATTCTTTGCGTGAAAAGATTACCTCGCTTTTTTCTTCTTCTTTGTGCAATACACGGCGACGCATTGCAACGATTTCCGGGACCGTGTATAAAACGAACTTCGAAGAACTTTAGCATCCAGTTGTCCTGGCAAAGGTTTCATTCTGGCTCTTCACAGGTTACTGCAAACAAGTCAAGTGCCTTATGCTTATGTTGTCAGCTCCTCTCTGGCGTCCTTTAATAAAATCCTCTGTGTGTACCTTTTTAGTCCTGCGTCTCCTGCGTTCTCTCATCCGGTAAAGCACGGATATGAAAAATACGCTGCTTTAATGCTATGCATTTTCTTGTTGTGTATCTTCTGCTACCGGGATTATACCGGGGCGACGATTTATATTTGCATTCACGCTATGCCATTGGAAAAAATGTCGGCTGGGATTTTGCGGCGGCGTTTTGTTTTTCAGCGCGCATCCTAGACGCTCGGAATGAATATTTAATATCTGTACGATGAATCGATCTCGCCGACGACGACCTACCTACGAATATACTGCAAGCGAGGTCCTACGTTTGTCCTCGTCTTGTGAAACTTGCATGATATTTACTTATTTAAAATTGAAAGCATATGCGCTGGAAATTGGCACTGGCATCTATGACGACGCGCCGCCGGGTCGCATCTCCAGTGACCCGAGCGAGTTCCACAAGTTTGCGCCTGTTATTTCTTTGGGTCGCGCGGCATTCGGGCGCTTCCAGTTTGCTCACAATGCCCAGTAGACCTCCCTCGCTAAATGGGTCGTAATTACTTATTGACGCAGCGGTGCTGGGCGCGTTTTATAAACGTCTATCGTCGAAATTTTAATGTTTATTTAGTAGGCGCAAATGTGAGCAAATGGCGGTTTGCCATGTGTTTCCACGAACGCGCGAGCAAGCGCAACTTTACCAACATGTACAAACGTCGAGAATTTCACTTCTTGCGTGAAATTGCATGTGGCGTCAGCGCTTTTCCCAGACCCATTTCGAGGTTCGTGGCTACGAAACGGGACGAAATTTGCATATAAGCGATCTAACTTGACTTAATCAAGGTAAATGTTGTTGGTAGAAGTTATTTCACTTCCTTTTATATTTCCCTTCCGGTCTGGAATATGAATATACATTATTTATCAAAAATTGGAATGTGAGTGCTGGTGGAAATTTGGCACGGTCGATTTCTTTTATTTTTGTTTTATCGAGTATTTTAAAGGATTCTCGGTAGTAATTCATACAACAAACAGTATCGCGGATTCCAGTGTGTGTGGTGTGCGTGTTTTGGCGCTATTAAAAACGATTTTCTGATTGCTGCTTTTAATTTCGTCTTCGCACGATCGCTATATTGCACCTCCCCTGGTAAAAATATGGTAGCTAAATCGAGGCAACCGAGAAAAATTCATAATATGCGTGTTTACGGCAAGTGTGTGCTTCATTAGTTCACGAACATGAATTTGATGAATTACTTGAGCTTTCTTCTAAGCTTAAATACTATAACTTGCATACTTTACATCTTGCTATTTACTTTGTATTGATGACCTGAATATGAAAAAGTTACATAAATTAACTTTTTCTGGTTCTCATAGTCTTGATTAGATTGCTTAGTATCAAGTGTTTTATTTGCTTTTTGCGTTTTTAGAATGAATTTCGTATAAATTCAGAGATTAAAAATGATGAATGTGGGTGAAATAAGGATTAAACCTTTTACTAATCTGGAAATATAACTGATTTGTTTCAGGAGCTACCATAAACAATGGGTTGCTTTGGCAGTAAGGATAAACTGTCCAAAGAGGACATGGACTTTCTAAAGACCCACACACGCTACGATGAGACGACAATTAAGGAGTGGTATAAAGGGTTTAAGGTAAGTGATAATATTATATTACATTTTTAATAACCTAAAAAGCTAAGGAACCCTGATCCCGTTAATAATACCAATACTAGCGCAAACGTGAAACATGATCAACTCTTGAATTTTCCACATCATCGAATTTCATTCAATTCCATTAACAAGAGAGCTCACATTCCATCTGACATGAATACATTATCGCGAACAAATAACGAGACACAAGTGAATTGTGCGCGAAGCGGTCCTCGGCTTCCACCGCCCTCGACCCGTCCCCAGATGGCCTGGTCTACCGTGTGTTGCACATTACAAGATACTTAAAACACCCGACTCGTTTCATCGCGCAGCTTTAACAATACCGCCGCCGACGTGCAACAATAGCGCACATTGCGGCCCTGTGGGAAGGTTGATGACAATATTGGAATCCACATAATGGAATACCAAACTGCGACAAACCGTTGGAGGAGAGCCGAGCACTTTCCAGTTTTCATCCGAGGCATGCGTGCATAACTTCACATCTCCTCATCTTTATCCATTTCGCTCCACTTGCGCAGTTATTCATTTTGCACGCATTGTACTTGGTGTGCGCACATCGGGAAAATGTCCGCGCCAGTCTTTAGCGTTACATTCAGTTAGATTTCATTGTCACACTGTTGAGCCGTGCGACATGTGTGGAAGGGAAATATGCACAGAAGCGAGATGCACACCGCTGCAGAACAGTGGCAACATAATCTGATATTAAACTTTGAAGCCGTTTTCATATTGTTGGATGTATTATGTATGCATGTATCATGCGCGCAGAAGTGGAACGACATCGAACGATCCTGAAACGTAAAAGCACGCTTGTTAGACCGGCGAGCATACGAAATTAATTCTATGAAGTTTCCTGATAATCTATTCATGTTGTTAAGCTAGAGCGTCGAAATTATTAATTGTTTCCACCGAATTTTGGTACCTGGGCGTCGCTGATGCGAATGAAAATATTTAATTTTCTTGCTGCGCATGTTGCTATGATTTTCATTTTCACACGCATAAAACAGCTTCAAGGTAGCAACGCAACGTAAACATAAAGCGGGGTACTAAAAATCGACCAGAAAAACCCTAAACACTCATTTTTAAACAACATATAAATAGCTCATGAATGATGTGCCGCCTGGCTTGCGAAATCATTGTGTGCGAACATAAAACCTGAGTAAATTTAAAGTTGCTGCAAAAATTGCCTAAAAATAAATTAGATTTATTGTTAGTTTCGTTCTAATCATAAATCGAGTATGTTAATTTTCCATGCTTTGCCCGAAATTCATATTTCACTTTGATTTATTGCCATATGTAATAATACATAGCAAAATGTGCTTTTAACATGACAAAAGAATTCGATTTTATGTCATCCAGTGTCATTTCTTGATATTAATGAATTTCTATTCTAATAATACCCATCCTGCTCGTTGGCGCGCTTGATGGTGCGTTAGCAGGTCGTACACATAGTTTCACTAGGCTGTCGTTTTTCCTCTTCTTCTTGTGTGACGCATTCGTTAACTGGATGCGGAACCCGCTGTTAAATCTTCATTAGTGTGAGCGCGGGCCGAAAGGCATTTAAAGAGGCTTCTGCTGGAAATTGCAGTCCATTTTCCCGGCTCGTCGGACTCGTTAGTGGATCGGTCGGTGGCGGATTGGCGGCGAGGACGAGTGGTTTAGTGGCCCGAGCGATGTGAACACGTCCGAACGAAAGCGGGTAGCGCGCGGCGGCTGACGGGGCCGGCCAGCCTATGGCGCTTAGTTTGCCGACAGAAATATACCAGAGGATGACGCATATAGGCGAGCGGCGGCTACATCGTATGTCCGCCACCGCGGAACACTAATGAAAACGTTAGTGCAAATAAAGAGAGCTGTTTGCAGCGGGGAAATGAATGTCGACGGCTAAATGCTTCGCATATTTTCCACTCGCGTTAAAATAATGTAAAATTGTCGAACGAGGGGCGGTTGCGGGATGTTCAGTAAACCCCAACGAGATAACTAGGAACAATTATTTGTGCGAGTGAATAGTTTACACTACTTGCTCAGGAATTTAAATGTCTAAACACATTGAGCAGTTCTCCAGAGTTTTTTTTTATACTGATGTAAGGTACAGATTGAATGCTTGAAAAATTGTTGATCAAATTAATTAATATACATTTCGAATGCAAGAGGAGTCGAAATGTTGCAAACCGTCGCGCTTGGTGTTTGTACCACACCTTAAGGTTGAATAAATAAAGTGCAGGCAAATAATTCAACGTATGTTTAGGTGGATCACGTACGCATATTGGTTTCTTATGCATATATCTTTCACGGAAATTCAATTTTCCGGAAGCGTAAAATTTTATGTCTAACTTTAGGGACAGAATATAACACGTCGTATGCAAATAAAATTATGCAAAGCTGTGTTTTTACTTCCGTTTCGACAGGTATATCTTTATAGCGGTAAAGATATTTGAATATTTCGGTAGCTCGTGTTAGTTTATATTCATCATGCATTTGCGCATAGAAATTTCAATTTCCTGCCTACGAATATCAATATTTTCTCGTGTTTCATCCGATAAATATTTCATTTTAGTTCAAAATAATCACTTTGTGAGTTTCAATTCGATAAAAAGAGAAATCACAACAAATAAATAACGGATTTGTGACCGAATACTATTGAATACCTGTGTAGTATGCTGCGCTGTCTTCGTATGCGCATTTGGCAATAACGCCCTTTATTGTTCAGCCATATTACATCGTCCGCAATTCCATTAGTGTAGCACCACTTTCACGCCACACTCGGCGTGGTACTTCTGCACGTTACATCGGTACGTGGTTGGCAAACATATAACGATGGAGGCGCAATTTCTAGCATCCCACTTTACGACTCCGACCTATTCACAGTTGTACACAACACGTAAATCAAACATTCGTATAAATCAATATGACGTTTCGAAAATGTGAATTATTAGTTTCACACTCTTTGTGCATATATTTCGGGGCGTTGGATGAAAGGATATTAATACTATCACAAATTGTGTAATTAAAGTGAGAAAAAAAAACAATTTACAACCAAACACAAAACCCTGAATTTTAGGCAAACCCATTTGAAATTTTAATTAAACTTTTTTCAATTTAACCGGTTTTAATTCCTTTTAGTCAGCGAATCACTCAAACGCATAATTAATCCGATTTGCCGAATGCAATATTGAACACTTCCAAATTTGATCTGTACAAATTTACTGCTCCGCCGAGCAGAAATGAATGATACAATTAAATTCGGCGAAAAACGCGCCTACCAACAAGTGATGTGAACGTGCATAAACTGAAATTAATGATGATTACAATGAAGGTTTTGCAGCTATTAGGGCTATTTCAATCTGCATTTTCTTTTTATTGCGTTTCCAAAGCGTTCTACTTTACTGGCATGTGGTTGTAGATGTTTTGGTACACATGCGAAGGTAAAAAGCTTTAATTCCCACCGGTGATTTCGTTTTTAATTAAAATCATACAACTGCGCATCACCTATTCGATTCACATCGAACAAAGCATGTGCGTATGGTACGTGTGCAAGTAATAAAAGAAACAAAGCTTTTTGTCTGTCGCTGTGAATGTGACTCATTATCAGTTCGAATTTAATATAAACCTAACATGTGAAGCAGTATAATTTAGATCTTTACCTGGAAAATAGCAAGCGAAATTGTTGTATCGATTATTATTTATTTGTGTAAAGGATTTTGAGGGTAAACGTATAGTAATAAATGCTTTCAGTTCGATTATTAGGTGACGCACGAAGTCGGGGAAAAAATCGAATACATTGATCAAACTTGTCCCACAAAATGAGAATAAGTTCAAGTTTAGACGGTCGTATAATTAGGGGTTCCTTGAAATATTAATTCAAGGTTTTTCATATGCAGAACATTTATTTCTTTATTTTTGTGGAACCAAATAGATATTATTCTAATTGCTTATTTTTACTTATTTATCACGTATTATTATTATTATTAGACATGTTTTTCTTTCAATGCGTCCCACGTAGAACAGAATTTTAAACGAATTTTCAAAGAAATGCATGTGCACAATGTGTTGACAATAAATAACATCGGATTTAATTAACTTTGAACATCATTGATGATTTTTCATCCCTGGTACGCACGTAATAATTGATTGACACATGGTGATAGATTAGATCAATTACGCCTACAAATTAACGAATTAATAAATTACAAATAATTCGCTGGAAATGCCCGATTATGACAAATGACAACTAGCCATTTGTAAACATTCCCTGTTTATATGCATGATGTGGATAGACTGCTAGCATATCGACACTCGGAATGATTGAGTGGATCATTATATAGCTCGAGCCGCGACAATCGATAACATATTGCTGCGCAGGACAGTATAGGACATCGACGGCACGATGAGAGGAAATGCCGCGCCAAGTCTAGCCATCGACTACGGCGTATTTAAATAATTAGTGTAACAAACAAATAATATATATCCAATCAATACGTCTTGATATTTTTTGTCTGCTTCGTAAGCGTCCATCTTTCGGGTGAAAACTATTACAATAGAATATATTTATGATGCAGTATTAAAGCTATTGTTGTAAACCTACATCACATAGTATTTTGATTTAGTTACTTCAGTAATATGATAAATGGGGTGAAAGACAGATGACTGGAAAATTCTACAGATGCAAAATTCATTTTTATTTGGTTTTGATCAACCAAATATAATCATATATTATTTACTTCCATTTTATTAGTCTGGTGTTGCTAATTGCTTTAGACAGTAGAAAATGACGAATATGCGACACATGTTCAAAAATAAAAATTAAGAATATAACATGTTATAAAATGCAAACAAATAATTCATTTTTATATTGAGTAAACTAAATTGATAGAAACTTTAACGAAAACCATAGTTGAAAATGTCACAAAACCAAAAATTTCAGAATTAAAAAAAAGAATAAAAGTGCTTCTGTTGATATAACAAAAAGAATAAATTTCGCTTATTTTGCAAGTTTGACTGTATCTAATTATTTAATCCAAGGAATGTTTTGACAAACAGTTGAGCAGATTACGACATAACGATACAGACAGTGTTCACATAATTTTATCACATTATAATAATTTATCTCTGCGGGAAACTCGCGAACGAGAAGTCAGGATGCCTGCGATGTCACAAGCATATTATTCATGCGTAGTTTTGGTGTAATTAACTGGCAATTGAATTAATAACAGTGAGAAACTGAATGGTATGCCAGCAAGCGCAATCGCGTCAGCAAAAGCAATGTGGAGAACTACCGCATATTATTCCGCACGTTGGTGAATATGAAAGCACTTCTCACTGCATCCATATCCCAACAAATTAGTTTCTAATTAAATGTGAGTACGCCTCAGCGATAGTACAAACCACTAAAGTTTTCTAATTATAGCCGAACATCCTAGGTTGAGCAGAAAATTGTAATCGTGCTATCCGATAGGTTTCTAATTTCGAAACGTTTTTACGATTTTGACATTAAAATGTGATTTAATTTCATTGCTTTCGCTAGTGTTATTAAATCGATAAGACCGCCTATTTTTGGAAGATCCATTAAAAGACAATTTATCAATTGTTCTTCTGGAACCTTGCGTGTGTGCAAAATATATGAACTTTTAATTCAATTGCAATTTCGTTCGCAGACGTTCAAAGTCTCAAATAATCTTAACTGCACGTCTAATAAACGTAATTTAATTGTTATTTATTTCTTCGTTGTTGTACGTTTAGACCTTTTTGTTTTCAACTCGTCATTGTACTTTATTTGGTTGTTATCTTTTCATCGTGTTTCTTGTAGTTCGTTTCGCTGCTTGTCTGGGCGATTTTCCGAACAGACGAACGTTTCTCTCCCACTGGTCATTTCTTGCGCGTCGTCGTACTTCTACGAAACATTATTTCCTTCGATAATCCGGCCGACATGGATAAGGATTTATTACGTCGATCAATCGGCTTTCTTCGATTGCTCCTTTAATATCTCTCTAGTAATAAAAAGGCTTATCAGATTGGACAGCAAATTTAAGATGGATCTCTTGTTGGAAACATGTTGAAGGAAAACAAGTTTATTTATGGTATCACCGTAGATATTGTTGCAAAAAGATAATTGCATTGATTTTTTTTTACTAATTTTCATATTTATAATATTGAGGGATATTTCTTCTTTTGCGTCAAAAATAACAATCAGAAACATTTATACGAAAATGTTGAAAACTTGACAATTTAAAAATTATTTCCCACCTACGTTCTTCTTGTCAATTAATGAATATTTTATCAACTAACGAATTGTTCAATATTTCAACCTACAATCACTGTCTACTTACACTATCCTTTGGCTTGTTTATGTTCAGTATTTACAAAGCATACCAACAACGCCCGTGCGAAATCCGTCGAGGAGTTTCGAATTAGAACGACGTCAAATTTAATTTCGAAATTGCGGTGGCGACGACCCTTGCCATTAGTCGTGTGTCAAATCCTCGACGGAGTTACGTTTTGATTAAATTCAACACTCGCCCGCGCGAGAGCTTCGCCACGCTGCTGCGTTGTCGCGTCGGAAGCAGTGAAATTTCATTACGATACGACGTGTGTCTGGGATACAAAAATTAATCAATTTGGCAAGTCCTTCTACTCTCTATTTACCAGAATTAGTTAATTATAGCTGTAAGATATCAAAGTTTTCTTAAGCCTTGCGCGCACACATATCCAATTTAACATTTTGTTGCGTTTTATTGTTTTGCGACCGAACGTTGAACGGGGTAAGAATAAACGTCTGGAGATAAATGAACTTGGAATGCGTATAATTTATCATTTCAATTAAGTTGAGTGAGTGAACGTTGATAAAGTTCTGATGTTTATTTTTGCACAGCCAAGCGACGAAATTGCGGTTAAATTTTATTTTTAAGTACGGTAGATTGATGTCAATATTCCGCGCTATCTTCTCGATTGCATTTTATTTTTCATATTTATTTTGTCTTCAACATTTCATCTCATGGGGCAATACAAGATTGCGTCGAAGATTCTATTTTCTTTCCAGTTTTTATTTTTTTTATACGTCTTGCAAGTTTATCTGTACTACAGAAAATAATTTGATAGCTATGTTTCTATTAAGTTTTCCAATGATTTTTAAATGGTCTTTCAACAATAATTTTCTGGGAAAATATTTCAAACTTAAAATATCATTGTCTTCAATATTTTGCGCCCATTTTCCCAACGAAATAATATATTAGCACATACCGATTGGGAAAATGTTATCGGACAGGAATTTTGCTGCTTATTGCGTACATATGTCAATTTTCTCATCAATTTACCAACATATAACCACAGGCTGACATTGATATAAATATCGTGCAGTTTATTAATTGAGTTTTTCTTATTTTCAGCAAGATTGTCCAAATGGTCGTCTAACGCCAGCTAAATTCGTGGATATGTACAAGATGTTCTTCCCCTCGGGTAACGCAGAAGAATTCTGTGATCACGTGTTTCGCACTTTCGATATGGATAAAAATGGATACATCGACTTTAAGGTAAAAAATATTGCGATTTTTATTTACGATTAAATATTCCCTCCGTACAATCATGAATGTATGTTGAAAATGATGTATTAATTATATTATTCAATTAAGGTTTATGTTACAACAGTATTCATGATATATATTTGCATGTATCGTATATCACAAATCAGATAATATCAGCCAGCCCCTGGATGCCCATGGCGCTTGTATAAATCGATGCATTTTGTACTCAATAATTACTAATCGGCTGTGCAATGATAAATAGCGCTACGAAATTCATGCTATCGCCACCATGATATGAACGCTCGCAAACGATTTTATCATGTTTATTAATTACGTCGTTCGATTTGAGTATCGGATTCGCAGCTGAGCAACGCTCTAGCTCTATTTTTACGGTTATGGCGCGTATAAATGTTGATCATGTTTTAAACACACCGAACACAGCACAGAATATTGTTTCAATATTTATTTATGCAACTTCATGAATACATTTGCCATGTTTAATGTCGGATATGCGCAGCAACTGGCAATTGAATTAAATCGAAATTAACGTTTCGATAAAACTAATTACATTCCCCGGCGAATTTGATAAAGTACATTCGTTGGAATCATTGCCTACACATGTTGCCTTTACTGAAATCTGACATCGCCACTAGAGGCTAGAAGTACTTTGCCTTCTCACATTTAAGGTCCGATTCCCTATTCGCGTCGGCGATCTCGTCGTCTAATCGAGTTACTAACTTTATGCATCCTCATTGGCACGCTTCCGACCCATTCGGGTGAAACCCTTCCGTGCATCTTCGTAGGCGGAAAAGGAGAGCGGTCTAGGCAGCCTAGTACGGACACGTAAATATAAGACAATGAGCCGGGGACATTCGACAACTAATTAGTTTGCTAATGGCGCTCTTAGTTTCTTGGTGGCGCGTCGGGGTTGTACCATTAGGACAACCTTTAGTAAGACGAGAAGGACGAGTTGCGCGAGACGAGTGGTGTGCTTACCACACTTTGAAGCAGCCTTGCTGACTAGCAACCTTGCGCTTTCGGAATGGATACGCGACGGAACGAATTATGGCATGTCCATTGCTTTAACTACGTGACTCAAATATTTTATATATTCGAAGAAAAGGAACACCTCGCTCGCAGTTCGTTCACTCGGCATGAAGCATGTTGCAATCTGGGTCATATCGATAAGTGCTGTCGTAAACGGGCATGTCAGAAGAAATAAGAAGTGGATTGCTGAATTGGCTATGAAACGGAAGGAAATGGCGTGAAAATTAAATATGCCGGAATAAGCGTGTAGTATCAACCTGGTTATACAATGTACAACAGCGGTAAACCATTAAAATTTGCGCAATATTTTTATTATGATTATATGTTCATAACTATTTTCCTTGAGCAATAAAATTTGCATAAATCCGCTTCTAGTTAATTGCTGTCGACGATAAGAACGAACAAATCACGGATATTTGCAAATTTCAAAACTGGTCAAATTAGTTCAAAACTATGATTCAATTTATTGCCTATATATTATACCGAGTTCATAATATCACCCCTTCCCCTACATCTTTGTAACTTCTCTTTAAAAACGGGACGTAATAAATAACTCGACTGGGTGGTGGCAGCTCAAGTGTAGCCGTGATGGTTGCGGTAGATTTATTGAAGCTGAAATGCACGAGAGCGAAGAGAGAATTACGACAGTTTGGTCTTGCCTGGAATAAATAATTAAAACGCGTCTCCTTGGCTTTTTAATACGCAGGAGTTTCTACTCGCGATCGATGTGACGTCGAGCGGCACACCCGAGGAAAAACTCAAGTGGGCATTCCGCATGTACGACGTTGACGGCAACGGCGTCATCGACATCCAGGAGATGACCAAGATTGTACAGGTAACAACTCACATTTGTTTTCTTTTTCTACGTGGCTGGTTGTTGAAAGTGTCTACGTAATGTTTAACTCAATGCAATGAAAGCTGATACAATTGGTGACGTTTAAATGTGACTTGTTGTTTAGGCGATTTACGATATGCTCGGCGCGTGTTCGTCCAATCGACCGGCCGACTCGGCCGAGGAACGCGCCAAAAACATCTTCGCCAAAATGGACGAGAACAACGACGGGCAATTGACGCAAGACGAATTTCTCAAAGGTTGCCTTCAGGACGAGGAGCTGTCGAAAATGTTGGCACCTTAAATCCAAACAGATAATCATGAAGCGCATTTTAAAACTAACTCCATCGCATTTAAACCCTACTACTTTGTAAGAAACAAACAAACTGCATTTGACGCTCTCACTGTTAAGGTTGATTTATATTTTAATTTAACTAATAACGTCAGAATCATGAACTGTCGTGCCATATTTTATTAAAGAATATTTAGTATTACTGAACGGGTAACAAGGAGCAGTAGACACACACATGACGTCGTAAACCAAACAAAAGACCGAACCTAATTAATTTGAAAATTAAAAACATTTTCCGCATTGTGTCCAACTGATATCAAGTAAAGAGCACACACATACATACTCATACACATAAATGCGCGCACATATAACATTTAACAGAATGGTACGAAAATCAATAAGGTGTAAAAACAGCTTCGATAGAAAATAGACACGGGGGGAATGGAAGAATGCAAGCCAAAGCAAGCAGGCAGGACGCGTGTTGAATGAAACAGGACAACCACATGCACACAATATCTATCCGCGCGGGCGGACTTTGAATATCCGCCGGTTATCGGCAAAAGTACGGACCGGAATTTCCTAAACATGTCACACACGCCATCGCCGCGCCGTCACCCTCACGCGCGCGCACCCTCGGGCTTTGCGTTCCCGCCGCATCAATCCCAATAGGTTCTTCGCAAATCTGTTGCACAACAAAACGTTTCGTTCGTGATACTGGACGTGTTTACATAGATGTCATGCAAATACATAAACAAATACGATTCTAGTCTAAATAGGTGTGTCCAAGTATAGAGGATGATAGGCGCGCTTGTAATCGCAAATATTTAGACGCAACGATGAAATCCTTTCCACTGAACAGATTGGCAGACGTCGAAGACTAAAAAAACTAGCAAATTATCAGAGCATTAACATTCAACCAAAATTTCGATGTGTGTGTATAATATAAATGGGTAAACTTAACGTACACGTATTTGACATACTTGTAAGCATTAAGCATATCAAATTCGATTGTGTGGATGGTCATTCGATGTGTAATTAAAATTCATGGACGTAACATTTCGAACAATGCAATAGTGGACCAGTGTTATGGATTAGGATATGGTGTGCTGATTTGATTTCGAATAATATTTGCTTTTATTTTTATTCAGAAGTCTTATACTTTGTTTGGAGTAGAGTAGTTTCATGCGTCGTCGTAAAATATGCAACACTGTTGGATCAACTATGTTAAACTTGTTTGTTATTACTATTTTTGCTTTATTCTAATTTCTTTTAATTATTGTGTCTAATTTGTAATTTTGCCAGTTTCTTCCATCATGGGTAAATTAAATTCTTTATATCAGTTAAAATAAATCTTCATATTTATGGAGAATAAAATAGGGCCTGTCCTTATTGTCAAGTATAGCTTACAACAGTGGTGCATATTATTTTCGTTTCGTGCTTGCAACTACTCTATAGGACGAAGGGTCAAATTTGGATAACCAGCGAAACCAGGCTACCAATTTTATATAGTCACTCTAGTAGAACACTCGATGGCATATGAAGCATCCGAATTGAAAGCGTATGACAATTACATTTTAAGAGATTTAAGAGAATCATTCAGTTTTATCAGAGGATAGTAGCCACATCATGAACTAGCACAAAGAGCAAAGAAACCGCATTTTACTATTTATATAAACGTGTAATATTTAATTAAAACAAATTACATAGGTGTTTTTACGAATTTAATGAATACCATTGCATTTTACATTAAAATACATCAATGGATATATTTATTAGCAAACTGATTCAACACATGATCGCAAGTCACCTTCACTAATATCAAATAATTGCAAACACACCAATTAAACATACCTTAACATAATCGTAGCGAATATTTGCAAGAATCGTCGAAGTATGTATAATATCACAATCAATCGATGATGCGATTCTCTCCCTATTTTTCATCGACATACATATCTTACTTATACCTAAAACTATCTTTAACTATTGACATTTACGATAGCGCACGTTTATTGATTACATTTTTGTACTCCGCTCTTTCTTGCATCCATCAAAATTGTGGTCCTAAATTAAATTGAAAAGTTTGTTAAGCATGTGAAGCCGCGTTGAGTTATCAGAAAACGGTCCAAAATTTCAAAATCGAATTCTGTTTATATCATTATTTATTTCACTTTGATAACATTTTGTATAAGTGGAGTTATTGTTCTTAAAGAAAACAATTAAAAAGGTCCAAGAATAATCTCTTAAATCTAAACTAACTAAATCTTCTAACAAGAGTTCTAACTACGTTTTCGTAAAAGATTTGACTTAAAAATTGATGAATTAATAGAAAATTAAAGTAAACACACTTAAATGATGATGCTATTTAGTCGAAACCCTAATTCATATTTTTCTACTTGCACATACTGTACGATAAATATATACATATTACGATTAATACTACATACTAAACCTAATTAATTAACGTATCTACTTATAATTGTAATTGAGAACAACATGAGAAACACAAACTTCAATTTAAACTTAATGATGTTTATAATATTAACACTCGGAAACTGAGAGCCATAAAACGTATAAACGTTACTTTTTAATCAATAATTATTATCTAAACAAATTGTTCTTATTATGCGTAAATAATAAATGTATAACGTCAAACGTTGAACAGTTTCGAACTAATATCATAAGAAAGTGACATAGCTGTTAATTTTACTTGAATTTGAAGTTATATTGTATACTTATTATATTATGTACCATGTTATGTTATTGCTATTATTACGTATTTAAGTGATGATAATACATGATTAATTATTATTATTATTATTATTCAATGATATACATTGAAATATGAGATTTGTAACAGAGTGTAAAGAAAACTAATCGGCGCATCTTTCTAGTGCGAAGCAATCCTGATGACTTGTAATAATTGTCAATTAAAAACGAATACCAAAACATGAAATCGACCAAGGGAATCCACATATTAAGGGAAAACGTAATCAAATTTTAGCGGATGCTTAACCATCAGCTGAAAGAAGCCGATTAGTTTTGCTAATTTTAGTCGTTGTAGAATGACATACAAAAACAGATATAATAAGCTAAGTAAGGCAAGTGAAGCAGCTAACTAATATCGTCGTTGTAGGTACTCTAAACAAACATGGAAAAAATACAAAAATATCACATTTTATCAATATCAATTTCGATGTTTTGTTATATTGCATTCAGCGTATACATTTACGAACCAGCAATGATATGCATGCGAAAAGGTAAAAGGTTTAACTTATCAAAATATACGTACGTTTGTGCTCGATACAGGAGCATTTCATCGCGCAGTATTCGATTGTAGACATGTTGGAAAAACATGAGTCCTTCGAATTTTCATTGCTTAATTTCACGCGTTCTTACGAACGCTTGCTGTTTTTCACGCTCGTTTAACGTTTGTGCCTGCGTCTCTATTTGTCTGCAGGGATGCGAATAATAGCGACGACACACTACAGTAGATAGTGCCGCCGAGACGTTGACGTAACGACGCGTGAACAAGAAGAGGCACGAGCCTGCGACCGAAGAAGCCCAAGTGCAGGTACGAAGCCGCCGGCCGGCAGAAGAAGGACGCGGGGACGAAGACGACACGCACACACAACACACACGCCGACGAAGAAGTGATCGTAGTATAGTGGTGGCGTGGCGTGCGCGTTCCGTAACAAAAGACTCTAGTCATGGGAAAACAAAACAGCAAGCTAAAGCCCGAGGTACTCGAGGATCTCAAACAAAACACTGAGTTTTCAGGTCAGTTATTTCCGCACTTCTCTTTTTTACTTGTTTTCCCTTTGCGGCCTTCTCACATGTGGGCGAGTTTGCTTTTTGGTGTGTGCATCGTCTTTTTTCCGAGAGTAGTATTGTTTATTCTCGCAGTTCCATTAACGTGAACAGTTGTTTTTGTACATTCTATTCAGTTTTATTAATTGGATATGTTTTGCTTGGGTTGCAGATGCTGAAATTCAAGAATGGTACAAAGGTTTCCTGAAAGACTGTCCAAGCGGCCATTTGTCTGTTGACGAATTTAAAAAAATATACGGCAATTTCTTTCCATACGGTGATGCTAGCAAATTCGCGGAGCATGTGTTTCGCACGTTTGATGCAAACGGCGATGGCACGATTGATTTTCGGGAGTTTCTCTGTGCTCTGTCCGTAACGTCGAGAGGTAAATTGGAGCAGAAACTAAAGTGGGCATTTTCAATGTACGATCTGGATGGCAATGGGTACATTTCCAGGCAAGAGATGCTCGAAATCGTCACGGTAAATAATATATTATTCTTTATCTCTAAAGCTTTTGTATCATATTTTTCCTGGTTTACTGTTGCTGTCATGCAGGTTCAGAATATGATCCTTGAAAGGTGGACTTACTCCCTTGACAGTTACTTGAAACTATTTCGTAACATGAAATATTCAAATGCAAATATTTCATTCGCATATGGCGAATTCATGTCAGACTCGCTTTTGTACTTAAAAAACTTTCTTCACAGTGTATGTATTGTTCTATCATTGACACAGGCTATATACAAGATGGTCGGTTCAGTGATGAAAATGCCCGAGGACGAAAGCACTCCCGAGAAGCGCACCGATAAAATTTTCCGTCAGATGGACCGGAATAAAGACGGCAAACTGAGTCTTGAGGAGTTCATCGAAGGCGCCAAGAGCGACCCATCCATTGTAAGGCTGTTGCAGTGCGACCCCCAGTCCCAGTAGCCCAGGTACTGTCGCTACCACCTTAATTACTATGATCCTTCTCTTTATACATATTTCATTATTATTAATTAATTTCTACTACACAAAGCAACATCTGGCAACAACAGCAAAACAACGCAAAACGTTATATATCACGAGTGAGGCAAAAATCAGAAATATTGTATTGTTTAACATTTGTGTGTCAATTCGACAACCTGAAGTAGAATCGTGTCGTATACTACCGAAATCCAAACTAGACACATGTTTTATCAGGTTTTTCTTACTTTTTAGCAGCAGTTTAATTTATATATAATTTAACTTTAATTTATAAGCGAATCGAAACAAAAGAATACAAACTGTATGATACACTCTTTTTCAACTGTGTGATCGCGAGCTAACGAATCGCAAAAAAATGACGAAAAACTCCGTCGGCTTAAAACAATGAATAAATGAAAATTAGTTAATTCAAATGCGAACTGTAATTAATTGGAGAAATATTTAACAAAAACATCACCCACGGATTGTTTTCTCTGAATTTTTGTGTTGGTTCTCGCATAGATTTTAGCATCTTTTTATTATTATTTATGTATATTAATTATAAATATGAAATTTCAAGCGCAAGTATGACTTACTAACAATTGATTTCCAACTAACATATGCCTACTCCATTATTTCGTGTTTAATTTAACGCTAAAGCTGAAGCATAATTCGACAAAAGTAAAAAAAAAACAGCTAAAGTTGTTTCACTTGTTGATAACTTTTATTCCTCACAGAATATTATAAATTGCAAATAATACAGACGGATTCTATGATGGAAACCCTTTCTGTGATTTATTCGAAAGTAAAATATGTTAAATTGTGAACAAATGTTATAATCCTATAAATTTTAAAAATCTATACAGCAGTAATATTCACTAAAGCAGAAGATCCAACGTAATATTAACCAATATCATACCAGACGATTGTTCAGAAGTTTTAAATGCCGTTGCAGACCGTTAATCAAAGATATGATGCATCAAACGTTGCATGTATAGAAGTCACGATGAAAAGAAGAAACGAAATAACATTAAACATTTAAGAAAGTGATAATTATAGCAAATGAACCCAAATTTAGAAAGACGTTCACTGCAGTGCCGTTTGAAATCTTAAACAATATACAGGATTGCACTAGACGCGGCGAGTGACTGCTGAGGTGTCGTATTCTGCTTCCATTCTCCCGCAGTTTCATTCAAAGATACCTTATTAAATGTCAATGAGTAAGACTGAAGATTGCTGTAGTCCACGTTTCGGCAAACGGTTTGAGTACGCTTTGGAACGACAGTTCAAACCTGTATGTTGGGTTCGATATTAAGATGTAATGTTTAACATTGAATTAACAAGTTGTAGGATTAAAATCTTTGAGGTGTTTCAGAAGCATAATATAGAACACTCGGCGCGTTTCAAGAGCGACCTCGTTATACACACTGTAATCAAAATATCGCTTAACTGAACACGCAGCGTATTGATCCTGTACCATGTACAGGAACGCTTTCGTTGATTAATAGTCTCACATGCAGCAGCAAGCAACTATGGTCCGTTCTTTTCCTCACATTTTACACTATCTAGTCGTGATTCTTAATTGTGAAGCTAGCGTAACACTTCTCTTGCGAGTTACTTAAAGTTAAGTGTTGAGTATATGTGGGTGTGTCTTTTACACCGTGGTGTTCTGATTTATTCTGAAACATTTGCGAACTCTAATATCACGTTTTAATGTTACTGTTTTTCGAATTTTCAAAGTTTTTATGTGATTTGAAACGAAATGTTACGTGTGCTAGAATGAGCAGGTCTTTTGCGCAATGTTACTACTCACCTTATTAATTGCTAGCTTAAAATGATCTAATCTAATATACAAAACAAACGATATCTATACGAGAATGTGTCGACGGTACTTCTCCAACGTTTCGGACAACAATCTTCTGTCAACCAAGTAACAAAATCTTCTTCGTCACACGATTAAATAATGATAGAGATACTAATGATACTGATAGCAAATCGAATAATAAAACAATTAAATATCGATCAACTTAACTTATTCTCTTATTCTACGAATAATTATGATTAATGAAATAGTCGTGGGGAGGAATTCTGTCGAAGCGAAGACGCGGAACGACACACATTTATAATCCGTCATTCGATGCTGAAATGCGTCACCAACATTCAGACGGGTTCTGCGGATAAGATTATCGATTCAACAAGGGGAACGGAATGAAATGAATGATAAACACAATAATAATTGAGATAATTGAACCTGTGTATAATGGGAGAATACGTAGAATGCTAGTTAGTGACTATCAAATTGAAGTAAATACTCTACTCTTGTTGCTAGATCAATTAATAAACCAATACTATGAGTAAGTAAGAGTTATATCGAGTTGGGAAGTAACAAGTACGGAATTGCTAGAAGCGTTTGTATTAAAGTTTTCCTTATGAAAAATGATAGCTAGGGAACCCGTTTGTTTGTTTGATCGCATATTTAAAGATATAAACGATGAAAACACGATGAAGTTACATGGGAGTTTAAGTACCTACTATGAATCTTACGATAAATGAGTCGCCGGTTGCGATCTCGTGTAATTAATGATTCGCGACGCTCAGTCGCGGATGCTAACGACTTTTTGATGAATATTATTGTATATTATACAAGTACACTCGACACTCATCACATGAAAACATACACATTTACATTCACACGTGTACGACACTTATTGATCACCGATTCGACATTACAATTAATTACGATTCCGATGTTTAACTTAAATCTCAATCGTGTCTCTCGTTCCTCACTTTTTCATTTCCATGATTGCTTTAGTTTATCCTGCATTTTTTCCTATTTGGGATGTTCCCCCGCTGCAAACACTTGAACGAATACGTGTTCTCGTTGTATACTACAAGTAAAATGGATTTCAAACATTTGTAAATGTTTTTCGGATGCTATATTGATAGTAGGATGTTTATGGAGACGAGTTCATGAAGGATTCGTTCTTCACCGATTTGATTAGGACAAAATTGTATTGCAGAACTTTGGTTGTTTATAAAAAGGAACAAAATACGCATCAATGTCGAGGCCTAAACAACTAAATTAATTAATACTAAACAAATTAAACCAAACGATATTATATCGTAATCGAGATCAATTTTAAAATGGAGAAAGCAGGAGGAGACAAGTAGAATCGTTTTTCATAAATTAAATTAATAGTACTAGTCGAAAATCCACTTTACAAAGAAATACAAGACATGTCAAGCATTCAATGCCTTCAAAAATGTAATGATTCGGCCGATTCAAAGCAAATAAAGATAGCAAACATTAATGTTTCCCTCGAGAGAATATTGTGGAGATATGTGATTTGTAGATTTATGTAGCTATGTTGTTTTAACGTGATGTTTGTCTCAGTTGCACAAAACAAAGATAGCTCATATTTATTTGACCATCTTGTGTATAAATCCGAGCAAATCATTTGTATTATTTGTAGTTGTGCTCTCGGTAGGTGAGCAACCAGTTTACGCAAACAAAATAATTGTGATTTGTTGCTGTATATGTTCATACCTTTGTGACTAATCTTTTATGCCGAATATCAATTGACGAAGGTGCGATTTGTGAACATTATTTAATCAACTGTTTGAAACGTTAAATACGTCTTGATCTTCCTGAAGTTGTTTTATGCGTATTGTGGTTTTATTATAAACTCTTGTTAAAGAATCAAATAAGATATATGAAAAAGAAGATTCAACTCAAACAAGAAAATTACGTAGCTACCATCAACAAATGAGATATATGATGAGCATGTGCAGAGAGATTAACAAATTAACATATAAAAGAATGTTTTCAGATGTTGAATGAAAGTGAAAACAAACAAAATAATAATGATAATTAAATGACTTAAAAGTACTTGTCTACATGTAATATCCGAGAATATAAGAGATAATATATGCTAAAAGATCAGTTTGTGTTTTATTAGATTACCTTCTAATGTTCTATTTAGTGTCTGCCTATTTTATGTTTGTGGTGATAATTTGATTATTAATTGCATTCTTTGTAGACTGCTACAATTGGCAGCATGCCACGAGAATTGAACGCGTGCTTTAATTAATTTGTAAATACATGTCGTAAGTTTTCTTTTTTATTCAAGAATGCGGGCAATAAGCAAAATAAGAAGATATTTATGCGTTGTGAATGTACAATTTCAAGTGTTGACATTATATCGTTTTGTGAAAAAGGTCACCTTTCTATCAACGATAGTGCAAATATTGCCATCTGTGACAATACAATATGTTTTCGTGTCCAGTAACAAAACTGATTCCAAGTTGATCGTACCGTATTTTGTGATAACAGTGAAACTGGAAATCGTGCAAAGATCATCTTCTATAACTGTAAGTACTCAATATTCTACTACAGAACTAGTGCGGAAACACACACATAAAAAATTAACACCAATGATGCTGCAACATTGTGATATATCAGTGTTTAGAAAATTCGTGCGAGCGGTTGATTTAAATGTTTGGATATCTGCTGAATGTAACAAAATGTTTAGCAAGCAAAGTAGCGCAGGTCGTATCGTTGTGCGTCGAGTTCTATCTCTCATGGGCATTATTTATTGGTCGTTGTGTGAAAAACTCGTGGAGTGGGTAGACAGCACACAGCGGAAACCGGAAATTTATAAATATCTTTCAAGGTTTACTTTTGTCACTACCAAACAACACATTGTAAATCACCACATACAAAACCGTGAATATTCTCACCACTTTTTGATGCATCTATAATCAAATATTCAAGTAAATCGAGTTATGAAAGTTTAGTTTCGTTTATTTAAAAAAAAATTATTCCATGTCTATATGCACAATGTCTTTCTTTCATCAGATAAACTCGTAACAAGGCAGCTTGTTGAACATACTGTGGTAATATAATTACGAACGCGATATTTTCCTGTGGAAAATCCTAAATCTACAAGATCGACGAATACTTCCTATTGAAATATTCTCTACTGTGATAGTGATAGAATGCACCGGTGAGCTTCATCCTGGCAGCGAGCTTCTTGTCGTCGTCCAGGGATTTGTAGAAATCGGATCTGTTAGATTTGTTGCTGTAGGTGCGCAGGGCGCGCTCCGCCCAAGTCTGCGGTCGCGGGATCTCGCGCTTCTGACCCTTTTGTCGTTTATCCAAGTAATCGATTACGTCATCGTAGTAATTCTGCCTGTAGTCGAACAAATATTTATACTGCAGGAATTTCGGCCTGGAAAATAAAGTCCGACAGTTAGTGAGATATTTATTATGATTACGTCGGCCGCGATTGTTTGTTTCATTTTATTCACCGCATTATTAATTTTCCACCACGTTCAGAATTGTTCCAGCGCAAGTATATGCTTTTAATTAATAAAATTAATGAAACGTAAACAGCGCGCGCTCATCGTTGAATATTATGTCAAAAGTTTCGGGGGAGATTTACCTGATCCAATGCCTGCAAAGCAGTAACCTGTCAGGATCCAGGTACTCGGTTTCGAATTCGGACTCTTGCGGTGCTGCGGCCGCCTCGCCCTCGCCTCCTTCGGCCGGGGGTTCTCCGCCCTCAAGTCCGGCAATGGCGGCGGCAGCAATTGCCGCTGCAGCAGATGCTTGCGAGATCGATGAGAGCTTCCTCAACAATTCGCCTGGTTCCGGCGCTGGTGGTGGCAAATCATCCTCATCACCACCGAAGAAGAAATCATCGTCAGACATTATATGACTTTCTGCAAGAACCGACGGTAAGTCCTATGTTTCACTGGATATATCACAATTATAGAGAATGTCCCATGAATATATGTAATATCAGAATCAGTTATCACAGAGGACAAACACGTTTACTTACATGCGGTCGGTTTCGACTCGAGCAAATCTACCAGCAACTGCGTGGCACCTTGTTCACCAAAGACCTTTGTAAAGTCTGATGATCTAACCGCACGACAAATTTAAACGGGCACGAAATCACCTCCCCGCCTCCTGTACCTTGCCAATCACTGCCGTACTAGCAAAATCACGCACACCACTTCGTTTGGCGCTCGCACTGTTGGTGTGGTACCGTTTTCTCGGACCGTGCAAAGTCGGTGTGTTCGTTCACCGGCGTCTCTTGACAGACCCAGCACTCGGGTGGGCTTTATTTAAAGTACCTTACTATTTCGATGTGTGCGTACCCCCACGACACAAGCGTAGGTATTGTAATAGGACCAATTGCCAATCGATTTTATTGCGATATCATAATTACGTTTCAAACGCTGTTCATTTAATTAAGCCGTAATTAGACGCCCTTCATTTGAAGAGCCAGCACGTGCTGGGTTTATGGAATGCATGCCTGGAATACCAATCTGCAATGCACACCTCGCACGTGTGTGTTACATTATTACATTTGCATTCGCGTGTTGTTTATTTCGCCATACTACAGTGGGATATATTTTTGGGGATTGTACATTATGAATATTTTATTATTTCCATGGGCTTTTCAAATTTATGTGTTTTCATGGCTATAAAACATGCGAATCCTATCGTAGCTCTTAATATTTTGAATTGCCAAATTATCCTACATTCAATGGCGCACGCCAGGAATCAGTAATTCAATTAAAATAATAATTGACTCGTAATTGGCCCCATTAAGCGTCGACACACTGGCTGTGTGAGGTAAAATTGCGTGCGTTAGAAACGTCAATAACGTAATAAATCTGCATCTCTCTCCGTTGCCGTATCGCGTACGTGAGCTTTTGATAATTTTAAAGCTGCTTGGCAGATTCGTTATTTGCGTCCCACCACACGCAACCAGTTGCCTTCATCCTTTTTGTTTTCCCACACGGATGATGCTCCTACGCCAGCGGCACAGACATGCTAGACGTTTTCTAAGTGTTTGTTGTTGGGCTAGAGTTGAGTTATACGCGTTTTGGCTCGGCATCATTTATTGCCAACGCATTGTTCGCTGGCTGTCGTTACGCGCAAATAAATTCACGTGTAAGCTTTGCATATACCGGGGGACACATGAAAATCTCAAAACCAAAATATATAAACTAAACTGATTAATTTGATTATATGGGTAATTAATTTAAGTTAAATGTCGCGCAAAAATAAACAAAATTTAAAGGTTTTTAATCAAATTTAAATGCGCCGTATAAAAACATTTTTTATTGGATCAATATACTTTAATATAACGCTTTGATGATTTTAAAGATACCATTAGTAATGACAGCGCGTAGAGCTTGGATTGATTTCGAATATGTATGTGAGAAGGTAAATAAAACGTGTAGCAAGGATCGTGTTCGACCGTGCTCAGACCAGGACACGCCATGCGAAAATATCCTTTGATTAGGTAACGAAGGTCAATATTAATTAGCAGCAGAGTCAATCAATATTGATACGTAGTTGCGCTTAGGTTTTTGAGTTTACCACAAATTTATTCTTTATACTATTTTTTTCGCCTAGCATTTAGTTCCTGTAATTATTATTGTTATTAGAGCATTGTGCTGCACGACTAATGCATCTTCATAAATATAACTGGTATGTGGGCCAGACGTAAGAAGAGCGTGTCAATTATTTAAGTTATGCGACAATTATTATTATAATCTTATTAGAATTTAGGACTGTTGAAAACTTTGCTCAGATTCTTTTTTTTTTTGACTCTGTAGGTAAACACCTAAATGATCTTGGCGGGTGGAAAACTCATTTAGAGAATTTCCATCATTTTTCGACATTTCCTGGCTGTCATTCCCGCTAATCGCCGGCAACGCATTTAACTTACATAATGATTGCAATTATGTTCCGGTTGCGCTTGCTTTTATGTTTGCCGCGTAGTAAATGTCAGCTGTTGTCAACGCATTGAATAACAAATAGTTTCTATATTCTCTAAATTGCATACGGTGTAACTTTTTAATGTGCTCTTAAAATAACCTACATAAATAATCAGTTTATCACCCTGTATTACATTCGTTATTATTTAGTATAATAAATTTTGCAAAGTTTTTTTTTCTTCTTGAAATGCGAAAATATTTTCCTTTCGTTTGGTTCCGTTTAGTCGCGGTCTCGGTGTTTTTCTTGCGTAATTCTAGCTGAAAACACTCCAAGTAAACGCAGTCGAAATTAGTCAACACAATGAGATGCGACCACGATGATTTCATCCAACATCTAATATAAAAGGAGCATAATGTTACTCGTAGTAGTTTTGTTGACAGAAATAAATCTGTGAATTTATATATAAAGCGCAGTTTTTGCTAGATTCAACGAAAATAAATGTCGTGAGAAAGTAGATGGATGTCGGTGCGTAAAGTGTGCTAGTACGTAATGAGTCATACTCCCAAGGTTATAAATTATTTCAAGTATTTTTTATCAATCTAGGCGTAGACTTGTGCATTACACATTTATGGAAAGTTCTTAAAAATATGTGGGTATAATGGTGCATATGAAATTCTAAATCATAGACTAAAATAATATAAGAAAAATTTATAAATAAGAAAAGGGAAGGTGTTAGAAAAATGGTGTTAAAAGTTTTAGAATTGAAAGGAAACTTTATGATTATACTAAAATGCGAACAAAACTAGCTTTAAGAAGTTCAGACGTGGTTTGATGTTTTTCTTAATTATCTACTTTAATTAAATAATTAAAATCATTTTATATAATAGAACCAACTAAATTTAATAAGGCCTTTGAAGGAACACATATGCATAGTTAAATTAGTTAAATAAAACACAGGTTATTGTACGAGCATATTCGCTCATCGATAAATCCCATTCAAGATGGAACACACGATGTGGGGTGTTTAAACAGCAAATCCGTATTGAATTGAATCGAATCAATATGCATAAACGAAGTGAGTATGGTTAGCAAGCGCGTTCGTCGCGATGAGACCGACGAGTGGGTGGTGGCGCGGTGCGCTGGCGTGAGGAAAGCGAAAGGCGTCAGGATGGATCTCGAGCTTTATTAAGTTATCAACGTCAAGCAGAAGCGACGGCTGACTCGGGAGTTGTGAGCGATGCGCGAAAGGAGCGGAAAGCAAAGGGTTGGGTGGGCGGAAGAAAGTGCGGTAAGATCGGAGCCTCGCAGGGTACGGCTGGCAAACAAACGTGGGCGAAATCAAAAGCTGTAGCTAATGCAGGCGATATGACGGCTGAAACAAGCCAAGGTGGAATGAACGAACGAAGGAAATATGAAGGATGAAGGATCAGGATGCCGGTATGGCCGTGTGTTCAATGCGATAGGTACTATGCACAAAGTAAAGTGCTAATCAAGGAATTTATAAATATTAAAATAACAATTTAATCATCTTTATATTAAAATTATGATAAAACTTTAAAAGTGTTACCAAAATACCAAAATATAGAAAAGACACACATGAATACTTGGAATGTATTCGCACATAATTCGTCGTCGTCGGTTGTCAGCTTGGCTCGTTTGTTCCCGCTATTATTACAAAAGCCATTGTCTTGACGCCATTAAGATAAAACGAAGGAGCCGCTGCTTGGCCGATTTTTTATTCACGTGGCAATTTAGGCCGGACACACTAAAAATAAATTAATCAGTCGGACAACGCACGGCCGACATGTGCCTCAAACAAAACGCTCTAATAAGCATCGACTGAAAAACGAACGCAACAAACAAACCATGCAGTAAATTATGTTTTCAAGTTCAGATCTCATCAGGAAAATAACAAACCGAATCAAAAATATACGAGTAGATACAGACAGTGTCTACGGCTATACACCTATTTGTTTATTGAATATTTCACGAACTTTAAAAAAAAATTAACTGAATAAAAATGTTGTAATTTTTATTTTGATTAGTCACTTATTGTGTAATTAAATATTAAATTTGTGAAATGTTATTTTCGATTAATTAAATAACGCAAAATCAGCAAACAATCATTTGTTGGAGAGTGCATATTACAATGAAATTTAATTGAATGTAGTTAAAGTAAAATGTATTTTGGCTCCACTATGGCTAAATTGGCAATTTGTATGTTACATATTTTCAGCAATTAACAAGTTTTAATAAAGTCTATCAATGAAAAAATACTAATCCCTGTTTGGTTGTCAACAGACACTTACTTTTCTTGTGGTCATCTAAGGAATTGAATTTTTTGGCATCTATTTTTGCAATAAATTTAGATATATCTAAAAGTGCTGATATATTTAAGATATATTCAATATTTTAAAGTTAATTTTATAACCGGTACCAGCATCGAAGAGAAAATTGCATTTTAAGAGTAATGTATGTTGGTACATGTAATGCCATAGCAACGCACTTGGGATGTGCGCCAGATCGAACGAAAATAAAAATCGATCAATCGTTTGATACTCTGCCTCTTGTCCGCTTGTAAATGACGCTTAAATTCATTGTATAATCAAATTTTCATGTGTCTTAATTTATTTTCAATTTTATTTCAACATTAATCAAATTCAACACTGAACTGTCTCGTTTCTAGTAGAACGATTCTTAAATAGAAAAAAAGCAATTAATTTTTTGTACACGTTTGAAAAGACAAGACAAATATCTAAGCTTTTGAAAAACAGGCAAAAGAAAATGAAGCAGTAAATGCTGTTGTTCGAAATTTACACATTCTCGTGCGCATTAGCTCTCAAATAGTTTCAAACGTGTCCACCTTATTATTTAGCTCTGCCAAAATGTATTATTATTGCTTTCGCACGGCGTTCGGGCATCGGGCAATAATTACACATCACAGACTGAATTATTAAGCGTGACGAGAAATGATGATGCGCGACTGGACGCGGAATGTGCAATAAATTTGAACTGAATTACGCACGCTTCAAAAACGGTGCGGCCACACAGAAATTTTGCGATGCAACTAGGTAATAATCTATATGCACGGCACTTTGACAAACATTTTAATTAAATTAGAGCACAAAAATGCATTCAACCGCGATTCTATTGCGTACTACATTATTACCTGCATTTGAATCAATATATTCAACAATTTATCAACAGTATGTACTCGATATTAGTTCCGTAATTAGTAGATTTATATAACAATCTCGCAATTTAAAAAGGATGTGCATTCAATATATAAACTTTTGTGTAGTAATGAGAGTTAGAATGAATCAACATAAAGTGTAACAAGTTGTAACGTAAAATGTAAATTGTGTACTTATAGGATTTGAAGTCTAGCAGATTGAGTTTGGACAGGGTCCGACGTACGGTCTGGGTGGATACGCGGAAAAATGAAATGCAGCGATGCAGGAAAGCGTGTTATTGTTACGATTTGAAGTGTAGTGTGAAGTCTAGACTTTTGTAGCCCAGAATGATGTGAAGATATGAATCGTGTGAACGTACGCGAACACGTCCTATTACAAACATATTATCTGCACCTGACGCCGCCGATCATTTGATGGCACGGGTGGAAAATTTGTGGAGGATTGCCAAGTGTGTGTTCTCAGAGACAGCGCCAGATGGAAAACAGTTTGGCAGGCTCACAATGTGAGTTCCTAAATTTAATTTGTATTTCGATTGACATCTGGTTGTAGGAAATGCAATTGAAATAAAAACTTGTGAAGAAATCTATTTTACATTTAGCTGTACACATATTGATGCTGCGGTTGCTATAGAAACAAAAACATAGCCGCTTCATTCATCTTTATCTCACCACAGTATTAACACCATTAGGAATGCATTTCTTCATCAAATTTCAAAGTTTTGTTATACGTGGTTTCAAAGATTAACATATTCTTGTTTTTGACGACAGAAATATTTTTTGTTTCTTTTTGTTCTTGTTACTCGTATACAGAGTAACATAACTTATCATTTATTTATCTTCCAGAAAAAAGTTATATCTTAATGAGCGCAGAAAAGGCGAGGTCATCTAATGAATAAAGAAAGCTATATAAAAACAGAAACGTTTGTTGGTGCATGAATGTGTGAGTATCAAACTTCAGAGACCCAGGATTCCCGTGCAAAATATATGAGGAAAAATTGATATCGTGTTTGTGGCTCATATTTCTGCGTGCTAACTTTATGCCTCGTCGGAAATGAGGATGGGAAGACGGGGACTAATATGCATAGACTCCGGATGGATGGCGAGCGCTGTGCGCGGCTCGAAATGAAAGAAATGCTTATATAAAAAGTGGGTCGGTGTGAGTGTGGATTGTTGAGTGTTACACATTATGACCCCGCTGACAGATGCTGCCGGGTAGCGTATTTTTGCATGCTTTTATATTATCCTGTTATATATACATCTAAAAAAACTGATATTCTTGTCGTATATATAATGCGATATTGAGAAAAAGTTAATTTAATATGATGCGTTTAATATTATGCGTTTATTCTATTCATGATGGATTTGGGGAAGGCTTTGTTGAAAAGTCACTTTTGTAATAATATATTTAAAAGTTTGGTACGTTGCTAGCTCAGAATCCAGTTTATTAAATCCAAACAAATTTTCCACATGATAATGTGACTTGGCAGTGGCGGATTACGGCCTAGGCGCACTAGGCGCGCGCCTAGGGCCCCGGCTGCCTGGGGGGCCCCGGCTGCCTGAGGGGCCCCTGGCACTTATATGTCCCATATAGACATAGTAATTCCACAAATACTTCATCAGTTGGTTTTGACCTCAGCCTTTATGAATAGCGTATTGGTTTTCACTTGGCGTCCAAAACGGCATTTCACACGTGTCCGCAAAGCAACCGTCACTTTTATCTCCGATTTTATTTCTTTATGACAAACTGTTTAAAATAAAATTTGGATGTTTTCTGCCACGAATTTTTGTGACCTTTTCTTGAATATTGCGTTAGAAAGTTGTAGCTATAATGCGAGTAGTATATTGCCAATTTTTTTAAATTTCGAACATCTGTGGAGGAGATGAGTTGAGGAATATTCCATTGAGGTTGTAAAATAGCGGGTAACTCTCTTTTTTGGAATATTAATTATTTCGTCTTTCTATCATTTTTTCACATCTGCGGAACACGTTGTACCAACGTTTATCCTCCTACAATTTTTATCTAGATTTTTGGGGTGGTAGTTGGATTAAAAAAACAGAGAGTGGTCAGTGAGTCGTTAGAAGAAATTGTACTTAGAAAGTTACATGATTATGGCTTAGATATCACAAACTGTAGGGGCCAATCTTATGATAACATATATATAACTTTCTTTGCTGCATCTACAAGACGGTGGAATATTTTAACTGAATGCATGAAGGATAAGAATTCTAAAAGTATCAAGAGAATAATTGATACACGATTTGCCGCAAGAGCTGACGCTGTTTTAGCCCTAAGACTCAATTAGGTATCAATGAAAAAAAAAGGAAAACCAATTTCAAAATTAGAAGCAAAAAAATTATCAAAAGAGTTCGATCAATTTGAGACGGCACTGTTAACAATTTTCTGGAACAAACTCCTACAGAGAATCGAAATTACCAGCAAATACTTACAGGAACCAAAGACAAATATTCTTAATAGTGTTAGTTTATTAAAATGATACAGCATTTTCGTAAAGAAATTTTTTTATTGTCAACATTTTTTATATTGTATGTGATGTATTAACATCAGAAATTACTCGAAGGGGCGATGTCTATATGAAAGTTCTTAACGATTTTAAAATGTTCTTTGATTTAAAATTAAGCCGTGTTGAGACTAATAATTGTGTAGAGCGATTATTGTCTTAAGTATGAAAAAGATATTGAGCCAGAATATTTCACTGATGAGTTAACTCATTTTCTAAAATACATACAAGAAGAAAATATTAAGGATCCACATGAAATGTATGCAACATTAAGTAATGGTCTAAAATCAACTTTTCCAAATATACACACAATACTGCAAATTTGACCTTGCCCGTTTCTAATGCAAGTGGAGAAAGGACATTTTCAGTTTTAAAACGAGTCAAAAACTATCTGCGCAATAGTCTTTCACAAGAGCACTTAAATGACTTCGCATTAATGTTTATAGAAAATGATATTTTAAAAAAACTAGAGTACGACAAAATTATTGAAATCTTTGCCCAAGAGAAGGCAAGAAAAGTAAATTTGTAATTTGTATTTAAATACGATTACCGTTTTTGAGCACACGTACGATGAACTCGAGAACCAAGATAGCATTGAAAACGATAATCCCATCGCGGATAGTATGGCAGAAAATTTTACCTGTGATATTTCGATCGGTCCTGAAAACAATTAACGCACAACACCTGGTCCATCGCGAAGAGCGAATCGGAAGATAATCCATTAAATTTTGGAATAGTGCGTGTGGATTAAGCCTACTGGGGATACCACGATAAAAAAAAAACGCGCCACGTACTCTACCTCATGGTGGTGTGGAAATGAGTTTTTGGCACAAACGAATGTTGAAGTAGACTTTGCGGCGCGGGTTCGCTAAAACTATTAATTTTACTGGGCTAATAACCGTTTTTGAAAATTTTCGGATTTAGGGGCCCCAAACTTGATTTGCGCCTAGGGCCCCACTGAAGCATAATCCGCCACTGTGAGTTGGTTTGTTTGTGACGCTTTCACATAGACGCAACTGAAGCAATTATGATACATTTTGGTACAGAGATATTTTTGACCGAGCAAAAGCAAATAGACTACTTTTGTCGCAAAAATATGTCTTAAGGCGTATAAAAAAGACGGTGAAGCGTGGCATGCAGATTCAAATCTAGTTATAGTTATTTAATCCAAATCCAGATGGCGCTAAATTTAATTATTAGCACTAGCTTTTGCCCGCGACTTTGTCCTGGTAGTGTTTAATAAAAATGTAATTCGTTTTTATTCTCTTCTTCTAGACATAGTATGTGTCAATTTTATCAATAAAATTTGCAATTTTATTTTAAAGAAATTAATTATATAAAGAATTGCTAATAATGCATTTCAGCGCGCCATCTCGGCTTCAACAATTTAACAATAACTATGATTGAATCTAAATACCAACTTTTATCCTATAGAAAAGGACTGTCTTTACGGTTTTCCCGGCAATTCATCGCATTTTTCTTGCCGTAAAAACCATCCTTGGACTTTAATGAACATTTTAAAAAAAGAATTGGCCAAATTGGTGTAGGCGTTGTTGAGTTATGCGCTTACCAACAGATTTTGCCATTCATTTTTATATTATAGATTTAGTTATGTTTTTATTAAAATCTAGATATTGTTGAAGGCAAAAGATGGTATTATAATATGTATGAAATGGAATATAAGTCTGCTTGAAAGCTCACTTAATAATTTACCTGCTCTTCATAAGTGAATTTTTTGTCATGTGGAGTTCCATTTATTAATTCCTCGAAATAATTTATTTTTACAATACATATATACATTTACAGCAGAGCGGAAGCGGAAGAAGGAAATGCATTGGATTAACATGGTCTATTTTTTGCGCATACGACGATGATGAATGAAGTTGTTTCTGCATGTACATGATGATGTACCTCAAAGAAGGTCATGAATATAACAACAATAAATAAACTTACAGTAATAAATATTACGAAATACAAAGAATCAGCGAAGGAGGCGAAGTACAAACAACGCAAACATCATTACAGCAAAGCACACCAAATTTGTGATTACAGTTCATCGGCAGCTCATCTTCTTCTACCAGTGGTCGTCTAGCACTGTATTTGCTGCTGAAATCAAGGTAGACTAATGTAATGAATATTCCCCGTTTGTTTCTCCGTCCCTTTCGGATGCCCTTCGTACAATGATCCGCATAGCTTAGTACTCGATAGCTTCCCTCTTCTGGCGTCCGCTGGACCTGACGCTGGAGGTCTGTTGCTCGGTGCTCTCGGATGTTTCGGAAACCATCTGACGGAGACGGGCTGCCCTACGTTCGCGAACTTGCGCCTTTTCGGCCATTTCGGTCATCTCGTCCTCTAATTCGTTGAGACGGGCGCGTGATTTCTTTGCCCTGAGTACTGCGGCGCTGTTGTCCTCCACGGCGGCCGACATACCACCGTCAAACTTGGTCCACTTGACCAAATCGTTGGCGTCGCTGCCGCCGGTCGCGTCCACCGTCACCTTTATCGCGCGCCGCGCGTACGTGATGTCATTCAGCTTCTTGTTGCGTTCGGTGTTGTCGATGGTGGCGATGCCGACGCTGTCGAGCATCTGCTCGGCTCTGTCTTTGATGCGGCGCGCCTTGATGTTGTTCATCGTCTGATCAAGATCGATGTCGTCAATTACGGACACTTTTTTATTAGCCCTTATGCGTTGCAATTTTAAGGCGGTCTACAAAATGAAATCGGTGTGATTAACGTATGAATGATGCTACGAAAATAAACGGATGATCAAGAAAGATGAGACGAGGAAGTGCCATTAGTTAGTTAATTCAGAAAAGGGGGTCTTGTTCAAAGCCTTCGTAAACGAATGTAACACGTGTTAATTATGATTAGCACTCAAAGGGGTGTGTTCGATTCAATGAACGATTGAACTCAAAAATAAAGGTGCTACAAGCTTAGCCCCGAGCGTATGTACCTAGAAAGCTCAATCTCAATCAATCCATTGCGTTAATTAAAAAGGGGTTGTTTAGAAGAGTGTCAGTTAAAAGAAGTTTGGAGATGGGAGGTGGAGTAAACTGTGCGTTTTCTGTTCTCTTTTAAACGTTCTCGTTTTTTGCTTTTTTTTTTGTTGCCGGTTCGTTCTGCCTTTTGGGATTTGTCCGAACTCGTCGTAACGTTTAAATGACGCGATAACTGCACGTTACTGGAAGGACACGGACTCGCTTTCTCATTCGACGCACCTCTTCGTCCACGTCGTTATCGACAAGCTCCAGAGCCCTGGAGATGTTGCTGCGCACGTCGAACGCGTTTGCCTCCGAGATGCGCTTCTGTGCCCTGGAGCGTGCCGTCTCCAGGTCTTCGTCGGCAAAGGCCCGTTCGTGACGCTCCAGCAAGTCCGCCGGGACGGACGTCTGGCGCGGTGCCGGGCTCATTGGCCTGCCCGAATATTTACGATCCAGGCGATCGATTGTTGGCTGATAATAACTGTTGCCGATGTTGTAGTTGACATCGTAGATGCGTGTGCGTGGTCTGCTGAAGCGGCGGGAACTCATTTTTTCTGCGCTGATGTGCTACAAACAATTCCAAAAATAAATTCGCTTTTAGAAATGGGCCACAAAAGAGGCATTATGATGATGTAATCAGACTGCATTGGAGGTATATTCTTTGCGGAAGCATGTGTTATTTATTATATGTAAATCATTACCTATATATTGGAGTTTTTCTCAACAGATAAACCACATCTTGCAAAGTGTAAAATAAGGGATGAAAGTTGGTATGCAGTATCAATTATGGTTTACGTATTTTTTTTTATTTGTTATTAGGCTAAATGGCATTATTAACATTTCTTGATTCTTTGAATTAAAATTGCGAATCTGATTGGCGGAGGTGCCACATAATAGGTTTAAGAAAAAGAATGTAATTAGTTCAACTACTTTTCATTACTCTGTGGAGGAAGTCGTTAGCAAATGTTATAATTCCGTGTTTAATTTGTAGGTTAATGAAGTAAAATAGGTTACCAATAAAATGAATTTTATCGCTTGTTAGATTATAAATACCCAGTATTTTTGATAAAAATAAAGAAATGACCATCGATCGAAATAAAAACTATGTGGGACGCAAATGCTACGGTATATAAAAAAACAAGCGTAGCCAATAATAAATCCTCACTACGTTTATAAAAAGATGAATAGCGCGAGTTGGGGCGTATGTATTTATTTTTCTTTGAGTTTGACAGTTGTTTTCTTGTTTATATTTATGAAACATTTTACGTAAATTGCACGTGACAAATTAGATAACGCGGTTACAGCTAATCTAATCGTGTGAGCCTGTGACATAATTCACAATAACACTTTTAAGTTGAATGCGCAATATTTACAATTTTCCCGCACTGCGCGACCGAGCTTTGCATTGGAATTGGAATGTGGAATATATTTACATACATAGCGTCGCGACGAAATATAAATTCAGGAATTTTACTGCGACGGCAGTGCGTCGATCCGAGTGCTGATACATAATACACGTACAAAGTAAAAACGTACCTCTGCGTTTTGCGCCGGCCTGAAAATGTCCGCTGTTTCGAGTGAATTACCGGCAATAATAGCCGCATCAGGATCACGTGGAAAGTCCCGTAAAAAGTTTCCATGTTTTCTATAGCGCCGAAAGCTATTATATCGTAAATGTTTTATTCGAGCCTTTTAAAACTTTACTTATTACATACATACATATTATATTCCTTTATGCTTTGGTTTTGGTTACAATCGTTAAATGAGTTTTATATTTTTATTAATATCGATGAAAAAGTAATGTGAATTGAAATGATTTAAATTGCTAATTTAAGAAAGTATTACTCTGCCTCACACATAAATAACTACTCTTCATCCAAGTGTAATAAGAAAATAGTGGAATTTTACTACATTCGAGTCGTGCCACAATGTAGTAAAACTAGTGTAGCTACTTTATTTTGATGAGTAAAAAACAACTGCTCTAGAAAGTAATACTTTAGACACTTCTAAATTTGGCCAATGTGTGTCAACGACCAAGCGAAAATTAATACACATCTTAGCAGAGCTGGCCATTCATATTTAGGTCCTGGCAGTTATCCTGGACGATGGAATTGGCGAAAAAATGGTACAGAAAAGGAATGTCGGGCGGCGTGCGTCGCGTAAAAATAGCATTCATTATCTTCAATAGATCAGGTGTTGTCTTGGCACGTTTTGTCTCACAACTCACGTACGCCGTCGCGACGCTCCGACGCCGCGCGCCTTTTGCATGAGGTGTTTTGTGAATTATAATAATTATAATCGGTTCATTTCGGCCGCAGAGTATAAGATGGTACAAGTTTATACAAAACAGGCAAAAAAGATTTAATAATCCAATGGAACATAAATTAAATAGAAATTGAATTGAATTAAGAAAAAAATTATGTATTGTAAGAAACCTTTATCAACGTTATCGTAGGTGTAAAACATGAGGTTGTGACGGAAGTTGAACATTTCACTTGAATTACTTCTTGTAAATCAGTTTCAGAAATCAAAATTTTAATATGACTACATGTGTATAATCACCGTGAAAAACTAAATCATATTTAATTATTCTGACCACCATCTTGGTTGAATTTATGCATTGAAAGCGACTAGGAGAATTCGTTGCTTCCAAATACGTTTCTGAGATATTTTTATGCAGGCCTGCGGCTCTTCATCTTTTGCTGCTCGCGTATGCCACGCATGCATAAACATTCCCGCGGGCATTCAATATGTTTGATTCAATAGGTCAAGGATGAAAATTATGCTTATTTATACGGAGATTTAATCCTGCCAATCCTGCCAGCAATTTCAAAACTCGAGTGCTGTCAAAAGTGTTAATATAACCTTCTGAAAATAAATATCTACTATTGATGTAGCGTATGTCGTTTATGTAGTTTACGAAATTCAAATACATAATACGTCATGGTATTTTTGTTTTGTGTACTTATTTGTTTGATCTTTTGCGTTTGAAACATAATAATTTATCGTTTCAACGCGGAAGGTAATTTAATATAACGTTGATACGTAAATGGTATGCTATTTTCACAAGCTACCTACACATGCACTAATTTTAGAACAGTCATTACTTGTATGATTCGCAAAACGCCATTCTTTTAAATCAACGTGAATCATTAAGCTGTGTAAACAGGCTGGTTATTTTTTCCTCAAATGCGCGCCTATTTATACATTTATCTATTAATACTGATTATTGGCCGTTGGTCGAATATTTGCGAATGCGGGAAACGATCGCGAGCATTAAACGTGTGAGGAATCAATGAAAGTTTTTTGCAAGTGGATTCTGATTCGCCGACGGGTCGTTATCATCTGTTTCCTCTTATTCGCCTGCATGCGTTTACGATTAGCCAAAATTGTTACGATTTGCATCTAAACGACGGCGACGACGCTTTTTGCCGGCACATATCGCGGCCGAAAATCGCCGGTTTAAAGATAGCACAATTACAAGGCGCTTGGACTATTTTCCTATTCTTAGCGTCTCGCGAACGTGGTCACCGATCCAGGGAAAGCCGCGTTCTATGCCGATACCCGCCTTTTCACGTTCGGGAATTTCGACATTAGCGATTCGTTTTGTATTTATTTCAAATACTCGCGTGCGCGTCCGACCGGAATTCGAAAATGGAAGCCGTGACACAATGACACAGAAAAACTAATCCCTCTAATCCCGAAGGAGGTTTCCCAATTACCCAAATGTTGAAGTTTGCAAATTTCGGCGACAATTTCAGCCGACAAATTGGACAATTAATAATAGAAGGGTGTTTAATAGGGCGGATCGTTCGCATTGCGGCCATACCGTAATTTCGTGTTCCGTCTTCCGTGTTTGGGCGATCTTGCATAATCGATCGGCGCAAATGGCACGAGCGGATCAACTTACTTGAGCACGAAGGCGAATTCGGTTTTATTTCATTTTGCCTCTAATGTATGAGAATAATTATGACTAGCGCCTATTTAATCAATTGTATTGTTGATTAATGTGTACTGCATGTAAAAGTTTTTATTCACGTTTGGCAAACTTACGTTTTGTCTTATCAGCTCGTTGCTAGTTTGCTTGAGTCGAGCTCGTAAGGAGTATCACTAGATTCACAACACGCACACGCAAGACGCTCGGCGTCGTTATGGAATGATGCTTCTATAAGGCGTCTCCCACTTCGGATGCATCGTATCGCTCCCACTCGTTTTTGATATTTTTATTTTTAATAGTTTTCTCGGTGCGCTATGAACAAGTGAGAAGTGAAATGTTTATTTCCTCTTGCAGAATTTTTTTTTCATTATTATAATGTTCCTCATGTGTTTGGTCGTTATTTAAAAATTCATGTTTTTTTAAAATTTATTTCTAAAATAAAACTTCTTGAATAATAATTATCTAATAAATTATGTGTGAAAGAAAAACCTAATTGTGCTGCACCTTGTGATAAATTTATTATTTGCAAACGTTTTTGCAGCTGTTATTATCGTATATAATAATAGATTTTTGAGTATTGCGAAGTATTTCGAATAAACAAAGATTTTAAAAATACATGTGTTGAGATAAATGTACACGGCAGTTTGAGATACTTGACGATAACTAAAATCTTGTGCTGTTCAATTATCTGTGCTAATCATGTATTTTATTTTAAATTTAAATAGTAATTAAAATACCTTTTTGTACTATTTTTTGATCCCCGGAATGATCAAGAACATAACCATAGTTTTTTTTCAGATGCTACTTGAATAAATAATTGATTCTTCAGCATCTTTTTGCCTGTAATAATAGAAACCTATTGTTCATATAATAGTTATTAATACTAATTTAATTATTATGTTGGATATTAATTTACATTTTAAATCTATGTTATGTTACAATATAATTTAATTACTGGCATGTTTCGCCAATACCAAATTGGATATTACGTTTAAGATTGCACAAATTTAATGCAGATTTGTACACATTGGACAAATTTTGCTAAAATTTTTGTGCGAACATACAAACAGTGCATTTAAAAATAAAATAAAATTAAAAAAAAATTCAAATTTAGAAAATAGCGCCAACTCAGCTTCGTTACTTCTCGGGTTAACTCGCACAATATGGTTGACATTTGACATTTGTTGTGCAATGGCCGACGAGACCAAGCAGGCACACAATTGATCAAGCAACGTTGTGCTCTAAACTTTCCAAATTGCTCTGCAAATAAAGAAAGAAAGACGTTCCTACTGAAATAAATTAATTATTCAAGAATATATTTATTTCCACCATAGTATAATGGATGTGCTGTAAGTATTGCTGGTTTATATTCACTGTAATCGTTCTATTTTCTTTTCTAACCTATGGGGGTCTACGAACGTTACACAACGCAAAATCGCATATAACTGCTTTTAGTGTATTTATCAATTCGATACTTGTTTATTTATATGGATATTTTTACTTGCAGGGCTTCTGAGAAGGTCATTACCATAAGGGATGATGACCCCAAGAGAAAGCATAAGAAGGAGCACAAAAAGCACAAGAAACATGAAAGCTCCAAACCAGACAAAGTGAAGAAGCACAAGAAACATAAGAAACACAAGAAACGTCATTCAGAGTCTGATGATGAAGCTAGGGTGGATAGAAACGATCGGTATACACCAGAATTATCTCCCAAACCTGCTAAAGGTAATGTGAATAATGTGACTAATGGTAAATCTTGTTCAGGATCACCTGATAGTATACCACGGGAAGCAGATGAAATTGTTGATTATATTATGGAAGGTGCCACTGATGTGAAAGCCAACTCATTGGAGATTGTTTCATCTGAGAGTGATGACGCTGCTGTGGAAGCTGACTGTGACAGTGATGCAATTGATGTTAACATGATTGAGGCAGACATGGACTTGGAGGAATTGATGAAACAAAAAGAGAGATTACAAGCAGAGATTGCTAGAGCAATGAATGACAATGATGTCAAGAATGGTGGTGCTAAAGTTCAACCAGAATCAATTGCAGAAGTAATTCTGTTGGATGATTCTAGTAATGATGAAGTCAGTGTCAAGAAGAAACGACATCGGTCGATAAGTCACGAACGCCGTGTAGTTATAACCGATTGTGAGGAGAAATCCGAAAAGAAAAAAAGGTTGCATTTACATCGAGAGGAACGCGAAGAAAAGGAACGTCGTGATGATCGCAAAGTCACTGAAAGACGACGTGAAAAGGAACGCAGCTCAAATTCAAGAGAGGTTATCCTGCAGAGCTCCAGAGAGCGTGAGCGACACGAGAAGGAAAGAAGGTCCCATGATAATCATTTACGAATTGTTAGGGAGGAACGCGAACATGACAGAGAACGGGAGCGTGAGAGAGAACGTGCAATTGAAGCAAGGCGTGATTCCAGAGATGCTGAGCGAAGAGAAGCGAGAGATTGGCAAACGCGCGACCGAAGACATGCGGGTCGTCGCGATATGAGAAGTAGATCCAAGTCAAAAGAGCGACGATTGTCTCCGAGAGATACCAGGGATCGGCGGAGGCAGGATGTTTATAGAAAGGATAGAAGATCAAGGTCACGCTCCAGAGATCGCGAACGTGATAGAGACAACAGCCGTTACAATAGGTACAACAGGAATCGGCGGAATCATGTTGAAAAGTCTGATAAATACAAGGATTCCTTAAGCGAAGGACTGAAGAAAGCAGATAGCAGTAGTGACAGTGATGTGGAGCTAGATATAGATATTAAGGAAGATGAAGAAGATGAGCAGGCGATTATCGAGAAGCGACGCAAACAACGAGAGGAGTTAATGAAGGTAATTAAGTTTTTATTTTTTTAGAAATGGCATCAAATGCACTCAATATTAATAAATAATTATTGTGTTTTTTTTTTCTTCAATTAGCGCCTAGGTGGAACAAGTGAAGATTCTAACACAGCATCACTATCCACACCTGTAATCGAATTGAAGGATGACAAAGAAGATAAACCTCAGATGATCCATAAAAAGAAAGTGGAAACTTCACCTATTTTAGTTCCTGACCAAGATTCGGATAAAAGTGATGATCGAATTGAGGAATCATTAACTCCACCATTGTTACCTACAATGAAAGTGGCACAGGTGCATGCAGTTGAAGAAGAAAAGAAAGAAAAGGAAAAGGAAAGAGAACGGGAAAAGGAGAAACTGAAGACAAATCATTGGGACATGTTTGCCGAAGAAGACAACGTCAAACACTCGGTAAGTTTGTGCTTCTGTTTCTAAAATGATGTTTTTTTACAATAGAAGTTTGTTTTTTGCAGTCCCCAAGCACTATAGTACAAAAAGGATCTACTTGTGAGAATCCTGCACTCACAGATAACTGGGATGATGCCGAGGGATACTACCGTGTGCGCATTAGTGAAATTCTTGATAGCAGATACATGGTGTATGGTTACACAGGACAGGGTGTATTTAGTAATGTCGTTAGAGCTCGAGATCAGGCGCGAGGAAATCTGGATGTGGCTGTGAAAATTATCAGGAATAATGAAATAATGTAAGTATAAATTTTCGTCTAAGCTTTTCTATAAGAATGTCAGTTAATACAATTTTGTGCAGGCATAAAACAGGTCTTAAAGAATTAGAGATTCTTAAGAAGCTGAATGACGCCGATCCAGAGGATCGTATGCATTGTCTGCGTCTCATCCGCCACTTCTTTCACAAGCAGCATCTGTGCATGGTGTTCGAGCCGCTCAGCATGAACTTGCGCGAGGTGCTGAAAAAATATGGCAAAGATGTCGGTCTACACATCAAGGCCGTGCGCAGCTACACACAACAGCTGCTCTTGGCGCTCAAACTGCTGAAGAAAACTGGCATCCTGCACGCCGATATTAAGCCCGACAACATTCTTGTCAATGAGAGCAAATTGGTATTGAAATTGTGTGATTTTGGCTCGGGATCAACAGTAAACGAAAATGAAATAACGCCATATTTAGTGTCACGGTTTTACAGAGCACCGGAGATTATTCTCGGCATTCCGTACGATTATGGCATCGATATGTGGTCGGCAGCGTGCACCATCTACGAGCTGTACACCGGCCGCATACTATTTTCGGGCAAGTCTAACAACCAAATGCTTAAGTTCTTCATGGACGTGAAAGGTAAAATGCCTAACAAGGTGATACGTAAGGGCGCGTTCCGCGACCAGCATTTTGATGCAAACTGCAACTTTTTGTATCACGAAATTGACAAAGTGACTGAGCGGGTATGTATTACAAAAACACACTTCCTCCCAACAATCCAGCTTTAATAATTTGTATTATCTATCTATTCGCAGGAAAAAGTTGTGGTTATGTCAATGGTTAGAGCGTCTCGTGATTTACAAACCGAACTTGTAGCTGGCCAGTCTCTACCTCCGGACCAGTTACGGAAAGTGACCCAATTGAAAGATCTGCTGGATAAGGCCCTTTCCATGGATCCGGTCAAGCGTATTGGGTTAAACAATGCACTAACTCATCCATTTATCCAGGACAAAATTTGAGGAGGATATGCGGCTGCGTGCGACACAGTGTAGGGTTTAGCGAGGTAAACATGCAAAACAATACCTACCACATGGGGTATATTCGCCGGAGTTCTTTTCTTTGTCGATTAATCATAAATATTAAGTGTTTTAATTTGGATGCTGCGTGTTGCAAATTAGCACTTAAATTATTAAGTCATCAATAAAACATTATGTGAAATGTACTAGAAGTGATTACCGTATATCAAATTGTGTATAATTTGGTTTAAATTTAGCGAAACGCATTACTATGAATTATTTTTTTGTTACAGAATCATTCGGAATGTGCTGGCAATATTTAGAATGGATTGACTACTTCTGTCAGTAATGTTACTAATTTGAGGTATTGTTCCATAAGGTACACTATTTGTAATCCTATTTTATTATTGACTATAAATCGCGTTTATGGTTATACGGATGACAAATTTATAAACTAAACGAAATATTATTTATATGATTTATTAAGTGTATAAAATAAGACTATCATCGGGTAGCAAAAACTTTTAATGCTGGGGCGTTCTTAAATGGCGTTAAATGTTTATTATTTTCTTGAATACCACAATTAAATTCTGGAAATAATTTAACACCGAAAATCTTTACACCGTTACTAAAATTTAGTATTCGCGCCAATTCAGGGTAACACGCTTTTATTATTTTACCCAGAGAAATATCTTTAAAATTATATTTAAAAGAAATACTATATTACACTAAAATTATTCATGTTGACACCGTGAAATTTTTATTTTTGAAATCAGTGGATTTTCTCAGCGGGCATTTTTTTAAAGAAATGTAAAGAGAAATGAAAAAAAATGCTTGTTACTTAACATTATACAACTTTTTTTCATTAACACGTAAATGTATAATACATGTCATGACACAAGTATTGCCAAATACGCACTATCATAGAAAAATTGTCCGTGTTCTATATAATTTAATAGGAGTTTTTAATTGGATTCATTAAACTAAACTGCGATTTAAAAAATGTTTCCCATAAATTGCGCACAAAGTACCTGACTTTTGATTTGAGTAACATCACCGCTAATCGTTCTGTTTTATTCTTACAGTCCTAGGATGGGGCGGGACGTATGACAACCCATAACTTGTCCTGAAAATGAGTATCCGACAAAGGCTGAATGTAAATACAATATCTCTGGAAGAAACGTTTTATTAATCATGCACTTTTGTTACAGACTTATAATACTGACTTGACTGGCCCTGAGGGTCAGACTGTTAGGACAACTAGCAAAAACACTTTGTATTAAAATTGACCACACAACCAATATGAAGACTAACGAAATAGGTAAGTATTGTAAATAATACAATTATTATTTGACAGGCTCATCACAATAATATCAATAAATTTAATCCCTCGGCATCGGATAAAATTGTACTAAATTCGCCGTAATCTGTTCGGCGAGTTGGGGCGTGCTGGCGCAAAGGACGCGCCTTGAAAATCTGTCGAGTTCACCTCCGGATGGATCTATAACTACACCACCCGCCTCCTTGATAAGTAATTCTCCAGCGGCAATGTCCCAAACGTGGATACCGAACTCGAAGTAGGCGTCCGCACATCCCAATGCCACCATTGCCATGTCCAATGCAGCCGATCCCAGGCAGCGTGTGCTAAAAAAAGCATTTTTATTGCTATTTGTTATTCCTGTCGATGATGTGATTTCGTTTACCCGTGAATTTTTGGTATAATATTCTGTTGATTGATGAATAGGTTTTTCATTTTTTCGGGGTCTCGGCTGGTGCCGTTTTCTAACATTATCAGCGCTTTCGCCAGTACCGCCTCCTTGGATGCGTGAATTTGTTTTCCGTTTAAGAAGGCACCCTGACCCTTTCTAGCAGTGAAAAGCTGTTCCAGCATGGGATTATAAATAATACCAATTTGCGGTTGCTTATCGATGAATAATGCTAGAGAGATACAACTGTGGGGAAATGCATGTACAAAGTTCATAGTGCCGTCTATTGGGTCAATTATCCACGTGGGCTCATCTGTTAAATTGCATGATCCACCACTGGCAACGGTTTCTTCTCCGATGAATTTGTGGCTGGGAAATTCCGCCCCAATGCCATCCATTAGCAATTTTTCGACGGCTTGGTCTGTTTCGGTTACCAGGTCGATGTCGCAGGATTTAAGATCGGCAACCAAACTTACACCAACCTTGCTTCGGATTAGCTAATGAAAGGAGGGATGCCATATAAATATTTACAAAAATATTTGACCTATTGATTTAAATTTGAATGAACACATACCTCTCCAGCCTGGTTTGTCAATTTCAGCGCTACATCGTAAAATATATCTATTTCTTTAGCCATTTTCGGGACACGACTTGGTAAACACTTCAAATTCGCAAGTTGATTTATCTAGTTTTTGCTACTGACTAAACACCGTGAGGCGCTTGCTGCCGGCGGCGGAAATGGTGGTGGTAGTGGAGCCATGTGAAAACGCCGGTTGCCGTCAGCTTGTGTCGACAATCGCATGCTAACGAAACACGTGGTCGTTCGAAAATAACAGGAGCGCATAAACGCGTAGATGTGTGGCTGCAAAAGTATCGTTGAGTAGCTGGGAAGGAGGGGACGATTGGAAACCGCATGACAAACGCGCGCCGGTATTGATTTTCATGTGCGTCAGCGCTTTGCTCCAAGGTCATAAACAGAAAAAAATAAGACTTGCATGTCCATACTTTCAATAGATCCAGCGAAGTATTTACTTTCCTACTTAAATATGGATAGTGTTCGTATGGATAATGCGTAAATATTAATTCAAATGTTTTTTCTTTGCCATGGAAAAAAACAACCAATGGAAAATTACTATTTCAATGGAATTCAGTTGCAAAGTCCATTTTTAGTATGTGCGCTTTTATTTTAGGCGCTTTCTAAATATGGTATCATAACAAATGTCTGAATTACAACTTATTTTGATAGAAGCGTTTATTTAAAGTAATAATAAAAGTCCCGATGGCGTTACATTTTGCTTATTCATTGCCTAGGCTGTGAATTCAAAATAATTATTTGGTGATACATCTAGATCGCACATGCGCGCTGCTGATTTGCATCTTGTATTTTGTATTCGTACATTTGTTTATTAACCTAACCTAAAACTTTAGTTACCTTCAGTTCATGAGTTAAGTAAGCTTATATCTAATTTTACTTCAGTTCTTGACATCAAATCACCTGACTATGACATCATCTGACTATGGATTCTTCCTCTGAGGACCATCAACTTATGGTAAATTATTGGCAATTGTTTTGTTTGTGTGTGGGAATAAAATCTTGTAACAACATAAGAAAATAGCATGACCAAAATACATCAGGCACAAACAAAAACACCAAATTTAGCCCGGTTAAAGCAAAATAACTGAAATTAATTACAGCTAAAATAATTTTATTTGTCATTGTTTCACATGTTATATACTTTGTTATATATTTTCCTGTATATACACATTTATACATTATAATAGTTTTATCCTCTAACATTTCCGTATATCTCAATCCATAAGAAATGATATGTTTTGTGAACAAGGCAATGGGAAACAACATTCATTAAGTACACCTAGAATCAATGTATTTGTCACGTCGTGCAAACTAACATCGCCAGCATCCATGTTGATCTTTCTCTTTGTGTTTTCAATAACATATGCTAATCTATAGTAAAATCGTTTGTGTAACAATTCTGTGCTCCTTTATCTCGTACAATGTGTGCGTCCCATTCGAACCTAAATTAGTTTACATACTTCTAATGTATTATATTCGCTGTTCTCAGTTTTGTCTGTTGTATATTTGTATATATGTAAGTATAATTATTTTTATTCGTGATCCCTATATAACTAAAGATCTATCATCAAACTTAACAATTAAACTTCACAATTCGAGTGGCGCGTGTTTCGGACGTCGTAAAAACAAGTCGTAGTCAATTTTCATTGTCAACATAATTATACTTCCTCAAAATTTGAGGGAATTTATGTTGTTGTCAAATTAGTTTAGTTTAGTAATTTGGTAAACGTGTAATTTCAAAATATTACGTAATATTAGTACCACACATCACCACTGTGAGTAACACAACTGTTTGTGCAGTTGGAAATACATATTCGCCAACATTTACTGATAACACGTTTAGGTGTGCACGGACATAATATTGCCTACGTCATGTGCATTTCCGTAGACATACATAACGGAAACAATATCTATACTCCACTATATTAACTTTACAAAAAAAACAATCGATAGAAATAAATATTAACAAGCTTAACCAATTGTTTCATGAAACAATTTATGCGTTTACTGGCCGATTTGCAAACAACTCCTCAACTACGCCGCTATCGGCCAATGTGCTAATATCACCAACGTCACGGTCGTTCACCGCCACCTTACGCAATATTCGACGCATAATTTTGCCGGATCGCGTCTTCGGCAAACCGGGTGCGTTCTGCACGACGTCTGGTTGTGCGAATGGACCAATGCGCTCACGCACCAATTTCTTTAACTCATTGAGTAGTGTTTGATCATACTGGACACCATCGTTGGTTGTAATGAAGCAATAAAGACATTCACCCTTGACTGGATGTGGTTTAGCAACGACGGCTGCCTCTGCCACACCAGCATGCTCAGTGAGAACTGATTCCACCTCAGCAGTGGACATCAAATGTCCCGAAACGTTGAGCATGTCGTCGACGCGTCCTGTCACCCAAAGGTATCCGTCCGCATCTCTACGAGCGCCTATAAAAATCGAGTGTTTTATAATGGCATGATATTAAAAACGTGCCGCGCAATTTACGACCAGTTTAATACGCACCATCGCCAGTGCAATAATATCCGGGGAATTTCGAGAAGTACGTCGTCTCATAACGATCATGGTTGTTGTATAGTGTTCGCATCATGCCAGGCCAAGGTCGGGAGAACACTAAATATCCTTCGCCTTCGCCTTGAATTTCTTTTCCGGACTCGTCTAATAGCACTGGCTGCACACCGAAGAACGGGAATGACTGCAAGGACAATAGAATTAATCAGAGCGTGCTCGGCTTTCACGCAGTTGAATTGAGTGACATACCGCCGCGCCTGGTTTCATCGGCGTTGCGCCGGGTAACGGCGTCAATACGTGCCCGCCGGTCTCTGTCTGCCAGAACGTATCTACAATCGAGCATTTTTCGCCTCCAACCAATTTATAATACCACATCCAGGCCTCGGGATTTATCGGTTCGCCGACAGAACCCAGGACTTTCAAGGATGATAAATCATGTCTGTGAAATCAAAATCGATTCCGGTTAGAATCCTGTTGAGGTTTATAATCCCCTCAGCGCACTAAGGAGATGAGAGGATTAAAGTTTTTGCGTATTCTTACTTCGTCACCAGATCGTCCTCGAATTTCATGAGAGCACGGATGGCCGTTGGAGCTGTGTAGAATTGATTCACCTTGTACTTCTCCACCACTCCCCAGAAACGGTCGTTATCGGGGTAGAATGGTGTACCTTCGTACTATAAATAGATTTAGAGTCAATTCAAGTTGCACACGATTAAAATCAGAGTATAGCTATAAAAGTTTCGTCATTAATCTTACCAATACAGAGGTTGCACCATTGGCCAACGGACCATATACAACATAGGTATGACCAGTGATCCAACCAATGTCAGCAGTGCACCAGTAGACATCATTTGGATGATAGTCGAATACGTATTTGAATGTAGTGGCAGCGTACAGTAAGTACCCTCCAGTGGTGTGCAGGACGCCCTTGGGCTTTCCGGTCGAACCGGATGTGTACAGCATAAATAATGGATCCTCAGCTTGCATCCATTCGGGATAGCAGCTTGTAGACGCTTGTGGGACGATGTCATGCCACCAAATATCACGGCCTTCCTGCATCTTAATCTGCGATAAAAAATTGGCAATAAGTTGACAAGCTGACAATGATTGAAGAACAGTCATACTTTATTTGTCTGGTTAGACGCCGCTTTGCCGGTCGGATCGGTGACGCGTTCCAGATGAGAGATGACGAAACAATATTCCACATTGAAGCCATTCTTCGAGCATTTGTCCATAGCTTGGTCGCAAATATTCTTCAACGCGAGATGTTTCTCCCCGCGCCAGACGCCATCAGCGGTGATCAGAACACGCGCTTGGCAGTCCGTAATTCGTTCGGCAAAGGAATCTGCCGAGAATCCTGCAAACTAATTAAATTCGTGTTTTGAGAATAATTAATTCCAAAGTTCTATTTATGTCATTATTTAATTATTTCCTAGTTAAACTAGTTGTGAGTAAATAAAATCAACAACATAGAATTTTATTGACTTTTTTTAGTATTTGTCATAATAATAATGGTTCCTCATTATTTCGTCAAGGAACATATTTGTGATAGTTATTAGTAATATCTGAACATGAATCTGAAGCATATAACAATTTAACCGAAATGCCGTTTGTTGTTAACAAGGTCAATGTAATGTGATTTGTTTTATGTTTCTTACAAGGCAAATATCGATTATTTTTATAAGTAACCAGGAACTAGTTTATCTATGGAGACAATAGCTATTAGCATATAGGTAAAGGAAACAAAAATAAACCAATTTACTTGAATTACCGGAATTGTCGTGTGAAATTGGAACGCAAACATTGTTATTTTGTTGTTGGTCATGCACAAAGTTGACTTGCCAATTTATCCATCACTAGTTAATTTAAAACGCTTTAAATGTTATTTTCATTCTAATCATCATTCTAATGCATAAATGCATGTAGGAGGTACTTGTCAAATATTCTAATTATTTCTTATCGTAAAACGCGGGTTTTGCATTATTTTACGTAATTAAAAAAACAGCTACTCGTTTTCGTTTTTATAAATAATAATCTGAAGGTTATTCTTGTTTGAATTTACTTTTTATTCACTTGAAGCATTCTTCACATTCAAATAATAATGAGTCATTTTAACCCAGATATTGAGAGTCTCCAAAATTCTAACTAGAACTAATATAATTGAAGTATTGTTAAAAGTTTATGTAGATAGTCAAGGTTTTTGTTTGTTCGATTAAATGGAAATAATTAAATATTTTTTTCAGAGATGTTGGAGCTTCTGCGCGCGTGCTTTACGTGTAGTTGTGGATTATACGACTGAGGCGCAATAACCCTTTCATATTGATGCTAATCAACTGGACAACTAAATTGGTAAATTATAATAAATGTTTGTCTTTGGTATGTTTATCGGATAATAATCTTCAGCATTGAATTTCATTACTATTCGAGTCTCCCTGTTAACCATGAAAATGATAATAAAACATGTAATTTCCATATAGATATAGATATAAATGGTTACTTTCCGAAAGTAAAAGTGAAGTAGTATTAATAATTGTACTGTCCGCTGTTCATTAACCTATCTGTATTAGTCAGTTAGATAAATAATCTCTGCCTTCGTCATACCAAATATATCTTATCTCACATTACTATTAACTTACCACGAGTGAATGAACGGCGCCAATGCGACTGCAAGCCAAAATCGCCACAATCGATTCGAGAATCATAGGCATATAGACAGCAACACGATCGCCCTTCTTGATGCCTTTGCTTTTTAGCACATTTGCGAAACGACATACTTCCTCCAACAACTTTTTGTATGTCAAGCGGCTATAATCGTCGGGATGATTGCCTTCCCTATAAAAGAAACAATTAAATTGCCATTAAATACGCGAATATAATCTATCCACGTAATGTGTATCGTAACTTGCTAGCGTCTTATTTTTGCAATTATGTAAATTAATCCTCAATACTTGAATTATGTATGTACTAGACAAAGCACTTTTAGCATACTACTAAAAACTCTGCGTGACTAGAAATATTTAATATCGCAATTTACTCCAATTGAATAGTCTCGCATCTATCGCTTGGTAAGCAAAAAAATTAAACTATTTCATGTCTGTCTGTCTATTAAAATTGCCTTGACCACGAAGAAAACAACAATTAAGTATCATTATACTATTTTTATATTTCGGAATTTATTTAATTGCTGGTGGGGACGGTTACGGTCGTTGTTCCCAAACATATGAATTTCATCCTTCATCTGCGATGTTACGTGAACTTGCAATTTATTGTTAAGTCATGAGCCGGTACGATAACACGTGTACTAATAGATCCGCGTTGAATAAACGCTACACGTTAGAATAATTCAAATTTATTTAAAAGCCAACGTCTAAAGTCAACATATGATGGCCGAGTAGAATATTCAATATTTATACATCGTCGCATAAAGAGTGTGTCAAATTCGTCCAGTTGACGCACTTTTCGCGCCTTGAATACGCGTTCATTGTTGCCTTCATTGATATGAGCCACCATGCGCCCGTGCATCCATACTGTTAAGTCACGGTGACTATTATTCATTTAATTATGGTCGCTGTGAGGATTAACTTTTACTATGTTCGCGATTCGCGATTTTAACAATGCTCCTCTCGAATGGCATATCGTTTTATAACAAGCGTATATACGCGAAAGTGCTTAAAACCTTTCGGACGTCGGTAAATATTAGTCGATTATGAAACTCATTTCTCATACTCGTCGTGTTTAACTTTGACGTACGTTTGACTGTTAATGAGTTATTGCGTTGGTGCAAATATTCGGCTATACGTTTGCAAAGATGTTACATGACACAGGATTATATTATATTAATAAGTATAAAATTTTGCTTTCTAATTGTTATCTACATTGCGGAAGTGTTTGTATGAATCATTTGCTCTTAATTCAAGTACCGCCGTAAAGTGGATATTAATAAAATTTTGATTATTGATAGAATTCACATAAGTGGATGAATATTATTAAAATTTGTATTTGTTGGCAGCGTGCTCCAAAAAGTGTTCGTGAATCGACCGGATTTCCAGCGCAGTCGCTGGAATACGGGATTTCCCGACCCCGACGCCACCCGTGCGGCGAATCCATCGACGCCATAAGCACGGCCAGCCAATGAGATGCGCCTCGCACTGACCTCACCTCATACAAACGAAAAGGTAGATTTCGAATAAATTATTCATGTCTAGCAAGAGACAAGTAAAATTGCGAAAACTAGAAATTCAAACATGCGCCCACGATTACGTACCAATAGAAAGCGACTTTATCGCCGTGACCATTACGGACGTTGCGATCCAACAAATTATAGGAAATGTTAGTGGTGGCACCGTCCAACCATTTGGTGAAAATAGGACCCTTGCAAATGTCGAAATTGTAGGTGAAAAAGCGATCGTAATTGATCGGACTCTCCCAGTGAAACTGTTTGGCGATATCGCCCCAGAACTCTTCGGGGTTGTCAATCGATTGCTGGTACAATTCTTTGTACTGCGCGAATGTGGAAATGTGCGCGTTCTTCGCGAGATTCTTATCGGGAAGGTAGACCGATTTTTCCGACGGCATCTTGACGGTTGTTATCTATCACTTCTTGTCAGCAAACGGTAGACTGTGTGTATCGCACGAAGGTGCGATTTGAAATGCCGCGCGCAAAATGTACACGCTTCACGGCAGAGAAGTAGGAGCAGAGTGAATGCGCGTGCCGCCGAGCGTGCGTACCGGTGGTGAACTCGCGCCGCTAATTTCGCTCCACTGCTACGATACGCGCAGCGCCGAAACGATGACTGAAAACAAGAAGCGACTTGCGCACTCTTAAATAAATTTCCTCCCGTAGGGAACTCCCGGTGAGCGGGCGGTTGGCGCTCCGCTCGCGTTGTGACTTTTTCAAAATCTTTTCCTACAGGGCCACGAACTTATAGTGTGTATTTGATACGATCATGATCACGTCAATTACATCCGAATTTTAAACTAATCGTACGCTAATCATGCATCTAATTGGTGCCCGCATCTAATCGGATGAAACATTCGGCAAACAAACTCCACGTTAGTTGTTGATAACGAAAATCACCCGACTCACGTGTTGCGACCGTCTGATTGCGACTGGTTGGTTACATGGTTACTAGCCGCCGGCGGAAAGCATGCGTGTTTACAATGCGCTATTTCGTGTCAATTTTTCGTACAGCCCGAATACGAGTCACATTGTAAAATTATCGCAATTTTGTCAATTTTATGGTTTGCGGTCAACGTCGCATGCTGCACACCCAAATACATAACACACGAATAAACGTATTGCGTAATATTCAATTTTATAGACCGTCTTTTGATGTTTGTTTATTTCTATTATATAAAACTTTAATTGATTAATTGCGTTGGAAATAAACTTGACGGCAACTTTAATTTTTTACGGTGTCATTCGTCCCGTTAACAATGCAGTCTAATAAATAATTTATGCGGCAACAAAACGAAAATGTGTTTTTTTCATTGAAATTTCAACTTGTATTTAATATTTATTTGTTGCGCAGAATGTTGAAAAACGTTATCAAAGCGTTGTGAAAAGCTAAATATGTCTATAGTATATTCGTAATCAGTTGTTTTGATGAACATATTTATGCCCGTGCACCCAATATCGATAATAGTGATTAAAAGAGTGCAGCAAGAAAATAAAGCCGTTAATGTTCGAGGTGATGCGTTCATAATCTCAAAATATAAAAAAAAGTTAAAGGTGGTGTGTGGCAGAGATAACGGTATCTCTGCAATTAAAGTTACTTTAATAACATTATAAAACGTCATGTCACTAGAACATTAAACTATTACGCATAGTGCTATTTTCGGTGTAAACGTCACTTATCAGATTATGCTTTCAAAATAGAATTATCTATCTTCATAGCAAGAATAGGATATGCTGCTTGTAATACAAGTTAGAGAGGTTCATATTAAAGTTATAATTTGAATTTATAAACCTTATATATTAATGTTTTTATCATTCTACACTATACGATGGCACACACATTAATGATCAGCGGTTTTCAAAAATTCCTTGTACTTCTCCTCGGTCATCAAATTTTTCACCTCGGCAGCATCTTTTAGTTCTATTTTGTACAGCCATCCTAAAACACGCAATTTTGTTGATCGTGCAATGAAAATTCTATCGCAGTATCACCTTTTTCATAGCATGAATTGTTGATTAGCGCCGGTGTGTCTTCAACGTCTTTATTTTTGGCCATGACTTTGCCGGATACCGGGCTGTAAATTTCACTGGCGGCTTTCACACTTTCCAACGCTCCACATTCATCTATAGAAATAAAGGAGCAATGATTATTAACTTTTAAACACAATTAAATTTCTAATCATACCTCCTCGGTTGAGTTCAGTAGCGGCCTCTGGTAGCTGCGCGTACACAACGTCGCCTAAAGCTTCCTGTAAAGCAGATGGCAGCGTTATACACAGCAAAATACAGATTTCTGTACATTAATGAGTATGGATTATATAAGCTGTTGTTTTATTCCATGCGGTCAACGAAATATTTTTGATAATTTCTGATGGTTTGCGTTTGTGGAAAATTGAGAAGAGAATAAAAACGCACCTGTGCGTATTGTGAAATGCCCACGATTCCAACATTTCCATCCACTTCAATCCATTCATGCTTGTCGGTGTAACGCCGTTCTAAAATGTCATAGTAACATTTCGCAAATTTACTTATTGGAACACCATGTCTTACCTGCACATAGCAGTCGTGCGGTGCTGATTAACCTTAATGTTTCACATTTGTTTACGTTCGCTATTTGAGAGAAAACCGTTTGGTTGATTAATTTGTTTGCACGGAGAACGATCCTTGGTAGTGCCATGTCGACGTTGATCACAGGGTCTGTATGAAAAGAATGTCGTTTGGTGATGTTTTGAATTTTATATGTTGAAGCGTAACGTTTCGCTCCGATCGTAAAACGGGACTCTAGATTGCAGGCTATGTCCTAATGTTGGCCCAGAGTCAGTGGCGTCTCACGTATAAGCAACAATTTTAATAAATAATGATGCAATACACAGATCTACGCCCACTTTTTCTGATATTTTTGATATTGTCAAATTTGACATGGTATTTTTTTACGTAAATTAGTAGATTCTATTTGTTTTTAAATTGGAGTCATGTGAATAATTTTGCTGCTATTTTTATATTAACCCGGTACTGTATGAAATGTATCTTTGGGATCAAAGGGTTATCCGGGCAAAAGCACCCCCCGTCAACAGTTTGCGAATAGTAGACGTTATAATGACCCAATAATTAAACAATATCAAGTCTACTTGTGTCGAGCTCACGCAACAGTTCACGTTTTGCGTGTCTTGTGATAACGAAACATCATTTGCCGCGTGACGATAGCGTTTTATTACATTTTCAATATCAGTTTTAATTATTAGATTATTGGGTCGTCAATAGTTCTTTCAGCATTTAGGCGCGTGCTGTTTTAATGGGAATCGTAAAATTAAACTAATTCAACGTATAATGACTGTGAACGTCGGTAATTGAGATTTGAAAATTTATACTTATTTATACTACATTTTCCCGGTTATGTGTACACAATCTATGAAGTCTTTGAAAATGTAAGTTGAAGATGTGCCATGAACACATTAACCAATAAATTTGATTTGGTCAAAGTGAATTTAAGCTCAATGACGAAAAAAGTCCGGTTTGGGGTATGCTACCCGAATGCTTAAATTGATTACAGTTATTAAATAAATGTCCGTAACGAGGGGTCAGAATGGTAAGAAAGGAAAATATTTTTCGTCGTTACACAGAGCGGTAACGCAATATCAAGGAAATGAATAAAAACCTACCCAATTGTACCTATAAATATTGTGGTTATACGAAGTTTATTACAAAGCGAGTCTTCATTGTAATGTTTTTTGTTTGAAAAAATCTGAACTTTTAATAATGCATTATCATTAGATCAAATCATTAGACAAGTAACAAAATATAAAAACTCCACAAAACGTTTTATTACTTATCAACGAAAATTAATATCAAGCATTTTTTAATGTTAGGTTTTGTTAATGCAAATTAAACATTAATTTATGTATTTGTATCCATTTATTAATCAATTGACCTTATCAATTAATGATTTTCAGATAAACAAGCCCAAACAACATTATCAAGTGTTTAAAGTTTGGTCACTTTGTGGGTGCCACCAACACCACGTTAATAGTTAATGTAATCTTTCATTCATTTTAATAATCTAAATTCCGAGACTCCTACCGCTATCATTCAGAGATGGCACTAGTTTGAACTAAAAATCATAAAATGGAATTGTATTGATTATTTTTATATTTATCAGCAAACGTGGGCATTCGGCACGAGAATTGTGTTTGTTTTGTACACAATTCCCGAGTGCCGTCGTTGAAATCCCTTCACACCGGATACAGCTTCTTCTAGTTTAGTTTAGATCGCAGGTATCGTGCCTATTGCGATTTGCGCACAAGGCCATCGACGCGCTTGTTTTGCACATCTCTTACTTTCTTATCGCAAACTGTCGCGTAGTTGCTTGCTAGGCTACGGCAGGCGCTATCGATGGGGTTTGCAGGCAGTTTCGTGCCGGTCGTCGGGTGATCGAGACGTGTTTTGACCGTCTCGTTTGTTTGTTCGGACTTCTGCTTTCTAAATTTGCATTATATTCGATTAATTATCAATCGCCTATTTCATTGTAAATACATTCTTTAGTAATGCTATTTATTATTTTTATGTACATAATTGTTCAAAAGTGGTAACTATTTGATTGCGTTTCGTGTGCACACTTATGCAAGTTACAAGGTTTGGTGTCGGTCGCAAATGAAACGGATATAGGATGGCCCCATGTAGATTTATTCATCATTACCCTTGTGTAAGTAACTAGGGTACACTAGGTACCTCGAAATACCCGCGAAAGTTGGCCCTTTTTCGCTTTTTTCAAAACTTTCGGTGGAAAACGGGTTATATCTCGGGAACCCTTCGTGATATAATAATTTTTTTTTCGGTTTCAAGTAGCTCAAGAATGGTTTTAAACGATACACCTCCTGCGAAATTTTGGGAATAACTCCTTTTGTCAGACTTGCGGAATGCGCAGGCGCTCGTTCAAAGTTCGGATCATGAACTTGCTTCTCCGCGCGCACACGACTATGCGTACGGCTATACGAAACTATAAGTGTAGAAATAGAATAGGTGGTTAGGTAGGTTACCTTGTTTGGTAATATTTGTGGGGCGCGGGGGTGGTAGAAGGGGCCGCTTAAGAGTACGGCGCGTACCTTGATACAATCAGAATGTCAGAAATACAGTGGAGTTGCGGTAATTCGGCCCCTGTCTAATCCGGTACCCCTTGTAATCTGACATGGTCATATGCCATATGTTTGTACTTCAGAGTACATATAGAATCTTATTGGATCTGTAATTTGTAGGATTACAAGGTAACCAAGGTAATCAAGTACAAGGTTTTGTAAAAGCTTCCGGACTGCAGGGGTCTTAGGCAGTCCTCTATAATCCGACACTGCCCTGCAAAGTGATTGTCGGATTACCGAGATTCAACTGTATTTGTTTATTGTAGTATAGTATTTGTTTATAGTAGTTACTGTATATGTTTTGTTTATAGTTTTTATTGCATTGAAGACTAGATTACGGTACTACGTATTATCCGGTCTATATCCGCACGACCTTCACCAAACTGGCCGTGGGGAGCGGGAGAGAGGATATTTTAGCGGTCTGCTAGCAGTTTCGGGCCGATTGTCAGCTGGTACGGTGGGTGATCCGCGTTCTTCACTCGCGTGTCTGCAGATACATTTTTTTTCTTTTCGATAGTTGTATAGGTATATCAATATTTTTAATATCAATTAAAGTGTAGCCGTTTCAAGAAGCGTTTTAAAAACATGGTGTGGAAAACGCCCAGAATCTCGTAAATTGTTTCACTTTTTACCGTTTTTTTTACCGTCGTGTTAGAGCGGGAGAGTTCCTCTACAAGATCCATACCCCTCTTACCAACCAGCCTTTTTGGAAGTGCCCCTAAATGCCCTTCAAAAATGAACAATTTTGGGAAGAGTTGAAAACATGGTGTGGAAAACACTTGGTATCTAGTGAACTAATTGACTTTCTTAGAGTTTCTCCACGCCAGAATACAGTTAGAGAGTTCCTCCACACGATGTATACCCTCCAACTTTCCAACTCTTCTGGAAGTGCCCTATAATGCCTTTCAAAAATGAGCAATTTTAGAAAAATTTGGAAACATAGTGTGGAAAACATTCTGTATCTCGTAAACAAATTGACTATTATTTGGTTTCTCTACGCCAGAAGAGAGTCAGGGAGTATGTCTAGAATTAAATTATCTATCAGAATCCGATTAAGAATTTAATATGAATTAGTAGTTCCATGCATAGTACGAGTACAATTCTTCTCATGTTCTGCAATACTACACTGAAAGTATCAGTGTTTACAAACAAACATGTTTCTTTTTCTCCTGCTGTTTCGTGCGGTCGCCACGCGGTTGGCGTGCGTACCACGTTAATCTCATTTTTGTCGTCAGGTGATCTGGACACACATTTTCTTTACAATATTTTGAGTTCCTTAATTTTTCGTCGCGTTATTACGTGCTGTTTCTAAATGCTCCTTCGATTGTGCGCGAGTGATGTGCGGCGTTCGTAGCGCGGATTGTACACACAATTATATTATGCGCATCTCGCCTTATCTTCTAAGTTGTAGAGTCAGCATTCTTCGCGACTACTTATGGCGCGCGTTGCAAAGCAGCGTCACTTATTATAAGTTATTATTAGCAGCTCGATCGATGCTGAGAATATGAATTGAAATTATTTATATTTCTGTCAATTACCAGAACATATAATCATCGAGTGTCCTCGTCAGAATGTAACTGTTATATCCGAAATATTGCTTGTATTGCAAGTCTATTATCTGACAGGACGGACTTTATTAGTACGCAGAGTATTATATATTTTGTTTTGTTTCAGCGAATTCCTAGATTACCCGATGCAGGGGTAAGTTTGTAAATATTATTACATCATTATTACATTTTGCTTTTTAATCGCGTGTAGTGAAAGTATCGTTATAGTTCAAAATTGTCGCGTGCCGTCGGATACATTTTTGACCTCGCTGCAGAAAGTTGGTTTTACTATCTTTATTCATCTCACATTTTTCTGTTGTTTTGCAATCTTTATTCTGCAATCGCGTTGATATGTCTAGTAGTTTGACAATTACTGTCCGTAAAATGTATGTAATACGCGATTTCAATATTTTCTTTCGCGTGTGCGTGCCGTCGGCCGGCACTTTGTCGGGAGATTGCGTCGCAAATATAATCTTTTAGTGGCATTGTTGTTGTGTTGCCTTCTCTTGCATTTTCCTTCGATATCCATTGTGAAAATTGTAACATTTTTATTTGACTGATGTTCTCCTTCGAGAATTTTGAGTTTTATTGTTATATGTAGAGATTTTCTTCTTATGTCACCCTATATATTACATTTTCCTGCTCCCTTACCAAGAGTTGATCAACCTTGTTAATTCCTGATATTTTTTGCTTGATCTGGGAATTTTCTTTTTAAATATTGTCATTTTCTTTTGGTAACACCCTGTATATTTGTTTTCTTTGATTCCCAATCAATCCTTGACCAATTTTTTGCTTTCGAATGTTTTCATTCTTAAACTTTAGATTTTCTTTTTGTAACACTCTGTATATTAGTTGTCCGTGATAAATTGCTATATTTTGGTACCTATGTGTTAGTGTTTATAATTTGGTATTTGTCTATATGTGTGCGATTATGCAGGTCGTAAGACTTGTTCCAAAATGGCGACTTGAATTTTCTATGTATTTTACATGCTTGTATTGAATTTGTAAATAAAGAATTATTAAAGGAGGTTATGACTAACATCATTTGTGCACCCATTCTATCATTTCAGGTCCAGGTCAGAACTTGTAAAAATATTTTTAATATTGAATTCTATTGTTATAAAAGAAACAGTAAAATATATTGACTTCTTTGATTTGTGTATCCCTTCTATCATTTCAGGAAGAGTTCCCTCTCTCAGGGGATGATTCCCACTATAAAAATGGTTAAGGTCTCCTGTATGATTTGCGTACTCCTTCTCTCATTTCAGGTACAGGTCAGAACTTGTAAGAATATTTTTAAGTGTCTCCTCTCTTGAGGCGACTTAAAACTTAGAAATATTTTTACAAGACCTTAAAGGATTGTCTTTATAAGGAATTCCCTCTCTCTGGGGGTGATCCCCCACCATAAAAATTGTTGATATGCCTGATAATTCCTGGGATGAAGCGTAGAGACATCGTAGCTGTAGGATGGGCCGGGAGCAACGGACGCATAGAAGCAGTGGGCAGTAAGACTGTCTTATAACGACACGCCGCCAAAAAATTTAAAAATTCTGTCACCTCTCTTCTCTTCTCTTTCCTTCCTGTATTCTGTTTTTCTTCTCTTCTTATTTCTTCTATTTCTGCTGCTCTCTTTAGTTACTTTTCTTCCTTACTCCTCCACTCTCTTCTACTTATTCTTACTGTTACTTCGTCGTACTCTGCTTTTCAAGTTTCTTCTAACATTTGAATCTTGAATTTTTGTGGTATGCAACCCACATTTCGTAAATTTTCTATTATTTAATAAAATTGTCTCCTACAACTGAGATTCGATCCAGGAACCTCCAGCATGCTAGAATATGCACATGCCACCTGAGCCACAACGCTCACTTATCAAACCCTATTCGTTTCAGGTATAAATGTTGTTCTTTATCTCCGCTTTTTAAAAACAACAACATTTATATATCACTTATACGCATTTCAAACACGAGTGCTAAAAACAACAACAAAAATTAAGTATGAATTTAAACCAAATCGATGGAAGCGCCATCTGGCCGTGGCGGCACAAAACAAAATAGATAGCGGACACTAGTGCAATCTATATGTGATAGAACAAAACATAGTTAAACAGGGCCCACTAGCGCCATCTAGTTTTGGGACTATGAAATAACTCTGAAATCAGCAATGCGCCTGCTTATATTTAAAATAACTAATTTAATTCATTTTCCATTGTATAAAGAATGATAATTACTTACGAAAATGATAAACAAATTCAATATTTACAAGCTGATGAAAAAATCGTTGTCCTTGGACATTTGGATTGCCTGCAAGACACCTAAAACAACCAAAAATTAGTACATCGATACACAAAAATGAGAGTTTCACGAGTATCTCGTGTGCTAATCACACTAATTACTTATGAATATCTTAGGATATTTTGTTTGCCCGCTAGACACCTAAAACAACAAGAAATTAGCACATGCAAATACAAAAATGACATTTTTGCGGGTTTCCCTTGTGCTAATTACACAAATTATATATGAAAATAGTTAACAAATTTAATACTTACAATTTGATGAAAAAATCGCTATCCTAGGATAATTCGTTGCCTGCTAGACACCTAAAACAACAAAAAAATAGCTCACCGTAACACAAAAATTACATTTTTGCAGGTTTCCCTTGTGCTAATCACACAAATTATATATGAAAATGGTTAACAAATTTAATACTTACAATCTGATGAAAGAATCGCTATCCTAGGATAATTCGTTTGCCCGCTAGACACCTAAAACAACATAAAATTAGCACATCGTAACACAAAATTATATTTTTGCAGGTTTCCCCTTGTGCTAATCACACAAATTATATATGAAAATGGTTAACAAATTTAATACTTACAATCAGATCAAAGAACCGCTGTCCTAGGATATTTCATTTAACCGCTAGACACCTAAAACAACAAGAAATTAGCACATCGTAATACAAAAATGACATTTTTGCAGGTTTCCTTTGCGCTAGTCACATAAATTATATATGAAAATCGTTAACAAATTTAATACTTACAATCTGTTGAATGAATTGCCATCCTAGGATATTTCGTTTACCCTCAAGACATCTAAAACAACAAAAAATTAGCACATTGTAACACAAATATGACATTTTTGCGGGTATCACATGTGCTAATCACACAAATTATATATGAAAATGGTTAACAAATTTAATACTTACAATCTGATGAAAGATTCGCTATCCTGGGATATTTCGTTTGCCTGCTAGACCCCTAAAACAAAAAAATAGCATATTGAAACACAAATATGACATTTTGCGGGTTTCCCGTATACTAATCACAAAAGTTATAAATGAAAATGGTAATCAATTTTAATACTTACAATCTGCAGAGAGAATCGCAATCCCAGAATATTAAGTTTGCCCCTAGACACCTAAAACAACATAAAAATTAACATATTGTAACACAAAAATGACATTTTTGCGGATTTTCCTTGTGCTAATCACAAAAGTTATAAATGAAAATAGTAAATAAATTTAATACTTACAATCTGATGGAAGAATCGCTATCCTAGGATATATCGTTTGCCCGCTAAACATCCAAACAACCAAAAATTAGCACATTGTAACACAAAAATGACAGTTGTGCGGGTTTCTCTTGTGCTAATCACACGAATTATATATGAAAATGGTTAACAAATTTAATACTTACAATCTGATCAAAGAACCGCTATCCTACGATATTTCATTTGCCCGCTAGACACCTAAAACAACACAAAAAATAGCATATCTTAACACAAAATGACATTTATGCGGGTTTTCCGTATGCTAATCACAAAATTTATAAATGAAAATGATAATCAAATTTAATACTTACAATCTGATGAAAGATTCGCTATCCTAGGATATTTCGTTTGCCCGCTAGACACCTAAAACAATAAAAATTAGCACATCGTAACACAAATATTAAATTTTTGCGGGTTTCCCTTGTGCTAATCACACAAATTATATATGAAAATGGTTAACTAATTTAATACTTGCAATCTGATGGAAGAATCGCTGTCCTAGAATATTTTGTTTACCCTCAAGACATCTAAAACAACAAAAATTAGCACATTGTAACACAATATGACATTTTTGCAGGTTTCCCGTATGCTAATCACAAAAGTTATAAATGAAAATGGTAATCAAATTTAATACTTACAATCTGCAGAAAGAATTGCAATCCTAGGATATTAAGTTTGCCCTCTAGACACCTAAAACAACATAAAAATTGACATATTGTAACACAAAATGACAATTTTGCGGGTTTTCCTTGTGCTAATCACACAAATTATATATGAAAATGGTTAACAAATTTAATACTTACAATCTGATGAAAGATTCGCTATCCTGGGATATTTCGTTTGCCTGCTAGACCCCTAAAACAACACAAAAAATTAGCACATCGTAACACAAAAATGACATTTTTGCGAGTTTCCCCTGCGCTAATCACATAAATTGAATGTGAAAATGATTAACAGATGTATTATCGACAATCTGATGAAAGCATTGCTGTCCTAGGATATTTCGTTTGCCCGCTACACACCAAAAACCACAAAAAATTAGCGCATCGTAACACAAAAATGACATTTTTGCGAGTTTCCCTTGTGCTAATCACACAAATTATGTATGAAAATAATTAACAAATTTAATACTTACAATCTGATGAAAGAATCTCTACCCTAGGATATTTCGTTTGCGCGCTAGACACCTAAAACAACCAAAAATTAGCACAATCTAACACAAAAATGACATTTTTGCGGGTTTTCCTTGTGCTAATCACACAAATTATATATGAAAATAATTAACAAATTTAATACTGACAATCTGATGAAAGAATCGCTGTCCTAGGATATTTCGTTTGCTCGCAAGGCACCTGTAACCACTAGAAATTTGCAGATCAAAGCACAAAAATGACATTTTTGCTGGTTTTCCGTAGCTATTCATACAAATCATATCTGAAAATGATAAGCAAATTCAGTACTTACAATATGATGAAAGAAATGTTGCCTTAGGAAATTTCGTTCGCCCGCTACACACCTAAAACAACCAAAACTTAGCACTTTCTCGGCTTCCCCGCAGAACATTGTCCATGTCCATTGTCCAATCCGTTGTGCAAGTAATAATACAACCAATATTGTGAGACGTTGCATGCAACCTGTATCTTGCAAACATGCAGTGTAAACAAGTTGATAGAACGCGGTCATCTTGCGACGATTGCAAAGAAAATTGCCGACTTTGTAATAAAATACTAACGTCAGTAATGGCTAAATGCAGTCGATGAACAATTGAAAAAACGCGATTTACCAAATTACAAACTCAAAATTAAATGATGAACACCCGCGAGAAACACGCCTGACCCTATCAACGACCGGCACAAAACTGCACTAGGAACACTAGGCAACACGATCAGCAACGGTGCACAACAACCCGCGATAATCCTGCGCGCACGCCGAAATAAAACGCGCACTATTTGCAACAGACAAAGTCGCATGCAGGATGGCAAACTCAATTAATGCAACTAGAAAACTTGTTTAATGGAATTTTGCGTGCAAAAAAAAATGTTGCTTATTTTTGAGAAAATCTAATTCGAATGCCTCAAGTAACGTGGATCACCATACGACTAGCCCAAATAGTGTTCGTCTTAATGATGTATAATTTTTTTGCTTCATTTTATGTTTAAGCCTATCTAGTTTTAAATTTCCAAATAAAATAAATTAAAGATGTACATAATTATTTACATCAATATCAATTTTCTATTTAATAAAATTACATTTTCTTTCGTTTTTATACCATATCGTTAAAGCCTCTTATATAATCACATGTTAATAATATTTGTAGTACGATGGATGCGCAGCATGGCCTAAATATTGAACATCGGCATTGAATCCATTGTGCTTATCAGCGGTGTAGTGAACAATACGAGTACGACCATCGGGTTGAACAAGCTTATAATGCCCTTTAACAACATCTCCATCACGATGTTCCTCTTGAGATTTAATGTCGTGAGTATGGGGATCCACAACACCGTATTTGTAGGCATATTGCGGATGATGATAGCCATCATAATGGTCATCGTGATGATTATAGTATCCCTCGTGGTGTCCACCATAGTATTCATTGTAATCGTCTCCTAAACCCGAACCATATCCATTTCCGTATCCGTAACCATAACCCGTGTAGGCAGAGCCATAGTGCGGTAAGTAATCATGATGGTCATCGTGATGGTAGTCGCCATGATGATCAAGGTGTTGGCTTATAGAAGCATACGAAGTTGCATAGGGTGCAGCTAGGGCACAACCAACAAGGGCAGCAAGAGCACAAATCTAAATAATTTACAATAAACATATTATACATTATTATATGAAATAAAAAAATAATATTAAACTTAGTTTTTACCTTAAAGTACATGTTTAGGTTTTGATTCGTAATGTTTCACGTTTTAATTGGTGAATGATTATTGGGCAGTATCTGAATCTTTTATAGTTGATATAATTTCCACCTCCAAGTAAACACACCACTTAATGTAAATTAATTATTGCGTTCTATATTTGGTGCACTGGACTTGTACTTGACTCTCAAGAATTTCTTGCTACATAGACTTAGCGCATTACGCAGCAATTTTTTTGCAAGTCAACGCAATGGGCATTACGTACAAATGTCGTAATTGACCATTGATTTTGCACTAAATTCCTGTGTATTGTTTATTCCAATGGCCGATTGCAGATTAATGTGTACAATTATTTTAATTCTTCAAGGTCATCTTGATATTTGCTACTAAAATTACTACAGACGTTATGCACTAATTATTTCATTATTTACTTGGTATAATAGTACATACATATAAAATTATGCAAAATTGTAATTATTTTAATGTATTATTTTTTTTTTCAAGAATTCTTTTTTCTGTGAATCGGAGGAAAACTTGAAATATTGAACTTTTAATTTTTTTCAGGAGAATTACTTGTAATGATTCAATTACACGAGCTGCAGCAGCGTCTGCTTCGACTTGTTTGACTGGCGGCGTATGGGATTTTATATGCTCTTGTGCTGTACCGTAGCAAATTCTCCCTAGACCTGGGCCGTGCGTGTTTAAAGTACCACTTTTTGTATCTAAAAAGGTGGAAAATCAGTTGGTGGAAGCAGAAATAAGAATTTTTTACGAGTTATAGGTTGTTTTGCACACTATGCTTCAAATTAAATAGAAAGTGCTGATTTGTATTTGCTAAGAGTATAGTTTGTTAAGAGAATATGTATCAAGCAAAAAGTAGTAATTTTTTTACAATATTCACCATAAATAACAATTTCGCCTACATGGTATCAATAGTGACTTTAGCTATGATAACATGAATAAATCACAATGCATTCAACTTGTCAGAGTTAGACATTGTTCTCATAAGAGTAAAAGCAGACACACCATTTCTCAATACCTAAAACCATTCATTAAGTAGAATTTAATGGTAAATTGAATGTTGTTACTAACGGCAAGATAACTCTCCAAATTTAAATCGTCCATGTTACCAATTTTTAGTTTTGGTGCTGCTTGAGCTCTCGCTATCATCAACAATACAGAATGACGAAAATCTGGTTGAGTTTTATACCACCAATCAAGATCATAAAAATGGTGTTCCATTGATTTACTCTAAAATGAAAATGTATGAATTACGAATGTATTTTATAAAATGTTGTATTTGTATACCTGTTCAAGAATGATAGTGCCTGCATAGCAAAATATTAAATATTGAAAGCAAACAGTGGTCAAAAGGCTGGCATATTTTGCTAGTACTTCAAATTTTGGTGGAATGCTACAAAAATAGAAATATTTATATTTCAAATATATTTCTTTGGAAAAATATTACCCATCCAATGTTATCATATACAAACAAAATATTAAACTAAACAACGATGATCCAGAATGCACCAACATCATAGGACTATAGAATTTATTAATTTCTTTAATAAACCTGTAAATAAAAAATCTTGTTTTTATTTAAATTTCAAACAATCGATAATTTTCTTACTGCATAACTTGTGCATGTTGTTCAACAATTTCCGTCAGATTGCTTTTCACCAATCTTTTTTCTTCTTCTGTCTCATAGCGTAAGTTTGGAGGTAAGTGATTCTTTTTAATCACTAAAGTCATTTGCTTTAAGGCAACTTTTAGCATCTCCAGATTGCAATATGCATATCCGATAAAACACACAAACAGTCCATCAAATCCCATAACAATGGGGAACAACTCAAAATAACAGAAATAAGTTTGCCAAACCATATTTATCTCATAACACGGACTGCTTTGCAAATTGCAGATATCATAACCCGGAAAAATTAATTCCCGGTTCAACAGACCACTGATCAACATAGAAAAAGCGGTACCCATTACAGCTGACGCAAAAAATTTTAAAGCAGCCATTGCGCGGTCTAATATTCCAGTTATGCGAGTTTCGGTATCAACATCAAACTTGTCAAATTTCCAAAATTTGCCGACTGTATTGATTAAGTTTAAAAGTTTTGACTGATTGATTGATATATAAATACATTTAGCAGCAAGCTACCGGCCCAAAAAATAAAATATAGTGTATTTATTTCAAATATGTAATTGGATCTTACTATAGATGTAGAAGATATCAAATGCACATCACCAAATGTCTCAACACCATGCCAATTAAGAAGTAATTCGAGCAAGTTAATTATAAAAACGGTGACCACTGACGTCCCATTAAGAAACATGAGTATTTTAAAGAAGCAGTTTTGTGTGGTTGGGTCCATACCATTTATGCGGAGCCCCACCAACATAATCTTCATCATATAATGCATTATATGTTTTTCGTTATGATTGTTTAGAAAGATTAACTTGCTAAATCTGCTTAACAATAAAAGGCTGTCAATTAATGGAAACAATTTATAGGCAATTATTAGGCCAAGCATGCAGTACACGTATGGGCAACTTAATTGTACGTTTTGATAATTATAGATGTGTACTATGCTGCACTATATTTAAGTGTTTAAAATCAAGGCAAATATAAAATTCAATCGAAACTGCAAAATTTCATATGGTATCTTATAATTGATACGTATCCGAAGTTCTAAAACTGAAGTTACAGTAATTAATTGGACAAATTTATGTTGGTTTATTTTTTTTAGTTTCAGAGAGATAATTAGTAGTTAAAAAAAATATTTAGTGTTATTAAAACAAAAGATATGTACATGTATAAACTAAGAGCCTCTCTAGACAGTGATTTTTTAAGTTTTTAAAAATTTATACCGCTATTTCAAATATTAGGCGCATCCGTCAAATTTGTACAAATTAGTTATATTCTTAAAGATATTAAAAAAAGCATAAATAATAAGTAATTGTAAATTGACTGGAAATATAGAGGATACACGACCATACTTATTTAAATAAATACAGATTAAATATAATCTTTACAACCCCAAAGACCTTAACAAAGCACAATTGACCAAAATTTTACTGTTTTGTTTACAAAAAATACTGATAGTATAGTTACACCGCACACCAAATACAGTGGATACTATATGTTGTGCATAAATAACATGCTAATTATCCTACAAAACATGTACGAATTTGTTCAAATTTGCATTATATAGACAAACAACATCATGCAGAATAAAATTTAGATAATGAATGATTTTCATTTGTTATTGCACTTTGAAAAATACAATACAGTCAAAAAATAATGAAATAATTAAACAACACAAATCTGCTAAAAAATACATATTTATTAGCAAAAAAAAATCACTCACGTTGAAAAATTTGCCTAGAATTTTCTAATGAAATATGACGTCTGATTTAGTTTGGAATACTTTAAAAACTAAATTATAATAAGTTTTAATTTAAATAAATTAAAATATTACGATTTGGAAATATGTATATAAAAGCGTGCCGAGTTGTAGAAAAAGTGGTGTTTTATCATACTCAAGCACGTCAATACCTTGGCACATAAAATTTATCAACTAAAATGGCTGCAAATAAGGCATTGGTGATTATTCTTCTCTTCACTCTCATTGCAGTTGTAAGTATATTTAAAGGAATTATTACAGCATTTGCATTAAATGTGATTTGATTTAGGTCTGTTCTAAAGCAGTAGCCGTTCCAAACAAAGCGGAAAGAATATGTATTGATTTACCATCGGTTCATTCCTTCCTTAACTACGTCTATTTGGGACTTGTTGGTGTATTGTTTTGCCCAGCATAATTCAAAAATCACACGAGATGCAAAACGTATGCTTTAAAATGGTATACGATTTATTTTTTATGGTATGATTTAATTACGGATATAATTGAGAAGGAAACTTTTCGAATATATTGATTGTCCCAATTTTAATACGTATTTCACATTTATTTTTTATTTTTTATGTTGAATTGCATAAACATTAGAATTATTATTAAGAAATCAATATGGTATAAAATAAATTAACAATGTACATAACACATTCAAAAAGATCTAACCTACTATGCAATTACACTCTCGAATAAGCAAGCTAGTTTGTAAAAGAAACACTGAGTTATTTTTATTACAATTAGGAAATGGCACTATGCTTTGAAAATTAGCATCAACACTTTGTTAGACATCAAACGCTTACTATATGGCATCATCGTCGCTTTCTGCTGACCTACTGAAGTTCTTTATTATTTTGTTCAATTTTTTTATAGTTACTTGAAGCTGTGCAACTTTATCTTCTAGAGATGAAATTCGTGATTGCAACCTTTGTTTTTCGTCAGGTTTTGTGACAGGCCGGTGATTTTCCGGTGCAGTACTATTATTCCCGTAACTTATTCTATCTTCATCAAATGTATGCCTACGGTTCCTTGCATTTAAACGACTGATTGTGTTCAACTGTCCCGAATATCTGCAATCAGTGCAGCATTCGGACCAGAAACTCAAATCGACTTTGGGTATGTTGTCACATTTCTCATAACCACCTTGGTGTTTAGGTAGCACAAACACATTTTCAGTAACATCAGTGATGTTATCGCCGTTGTCACAAAGTGCTCTAGCTAGTGAGTACTGTCTTATTTGGACTAATTGCTCTGGCTTAAAGGTGGATGGATTTTCGTACCAGAAACGATCACCGGCACGCAAACGATTAAACTGTTCGATTAGCAAACAGCGGAATAATGGCCCTACTTTACCACCAGCCACCTGGTCTTCCAAAATGCCACCAACCCATACGTCGATGTTACCCGGGTGACCATAGAGTTCACGTAATTTCTCTCGTACGTTAGGATCAGTTATTTCATTCGCTAGGTCATCGAAAGTTTCAACAGGACTCATATCGCATACTTTTCGGAATTCAACATAGCCGGGAATTGCATGATCCCTTGATCTATGAATATTGATAGCCGCTAAATCTAAAGCAACTGCATGTGCAGTTTCAAATAAACGTTCTGTCAGGTCAGTATTCAAATTTTCTGTAGGTTTCTTTAATTTGGCTGGTACTGAAAATAATCCGCGCATAACCGGATCAATACCGCCCTCATCAAGAATGCGCCACGGAGAAAAGAATGCTTTATGCAAATGTAAATGACCCTCTTTAATAGGTTCAAATGAAGAATTTAATCGATGTAGTATCGGGTTAATTAATGAGTGTCCGAAGCGTAGCGCAGCTGTAGCAAAAACGTTCGCAATTGACGGATTAATGCGTGGATTATATCCATCGTAAGCTCCTAACATTTTCATGCCCTCGTGACCTAAAATTATCGGCAACCAATGCGTGTACGTAATGTGCTGCATTGCGGCACCAACTATTTTCCTAGCTTCGTGATATATCATATCGCCCTCCCAATGTGGATTTAATTGTCGCAATTCCTTCGCTAATCTGTTATGCTCCCGGAACCACAATGTGTGCATTGATATTAAACCGGTTTGTTCATTCGCTCTGATATCACCCGCTAGGAAACAATTCACACTACTTTCGGATAAATCCCGTCTGCAATCCATTTGTCCACCGGAATATGGTAGCAGTGGTTTTCTACCAGGGAATGATACACCTTCACGGAGTTTTCCTAGGTCATTTGTAACATCCCGTAATTCACGTGCCAGTTCGTCTGAGAAACCATACACTTGGGAAGCGTCAATATAAGCAGTTAGTTGATTAATTTGCTCTCTAGGTTGCATATGATCGAAAAATACTGAAGTGATACCCGAACCGCAAATTGCAGATGAGCGGAAAAAATCAATACAACGCCTATTTTTTACACGTGGATCATTGGGTGGAACATCAATTGGGAAGCAGGGTGCAGAGTAATCGCATGATCGTTTACAGTCTATACCGTTCCAGCTTTCAGAACTAACTGCAGGAATAGCATGGTCCAAGTCATGATCTAAAAATTGTCCCCACTGCATAACCATATGAGTAATACGATCATCCGGTGTAATGTCATGGGTGGCAATCAATTTGGTTGATACCAATCGTGAACTAGGTTTGGAATATCCAAAATATTTTACATTTTTATCCCAACCGACAGGAGTGCTAAAGCCATTCTCATAAATGGGTTTTAACACTCGGCGGAATCCAGTAAGCGAAGCTCCCCACATTGGGTTCTGTAAGTTATTACAAGTGCCATCGATACTGCGGTACTTTGAATGGAAGCACATGTCTGTGCAGTTCTTTTTTGGTCGGTGTGCCATGCAGCCAGACAATTGCGCAACGAGATCCAAGTGGTCTGTCGACAAAATCTCCTTGTAATTGAAGTCGACCGTGTTGTTCATTTTCATGCCTTTCTGCACATGCTTTCTAATATTAATCAATGTGCGCTCATAAACTTCAGCGGCGCGAGCCAGCTCTCTAGCAGGCGCATTAGGATATCGAATGATGCGAAACAAATCGCCAACATTATGGTTTTTGTTCGCGAAGATATCCTGTAACGTCTTGTTAATAGCTTTATCCACCTCTTGAGAAGCTTCGACAAAAGCAATTTTAACAAATTTATCGCCCACGCTACCAAAGTTGCCAATGTTCAGTTTAGTATGCGAGTCTTCTTTTACGCTGACATAACCAGATGCAGTCGCACGTCCGTATTCGTTGATGGCAGTGCACTCGTATCTGCCTTGGTCTTCCAAAGCGATGTTGTAGATGTATAAATTACCGTTTATTGACTCCCGCCACCTACCAGTCCTTTGTAATGATGCCCCGTCTTTCCTCCATTGTACGCTCGGCGTAGGTTTTCCTTCGCCTTTGCATGGAATCTCAATAGTGGCACCAACCAGAGCCTCGACGTTGTATGGTTTATAAAGCAGCGTAGGCGCGCGGTATTGTGTTTCTTTTACTGATAAATTCGCATCGACAGTGCGCCTGCCCAACTCGTTTTTAACGCGACAGGTGTAGACATTGCTATCGGATTCACGAACATTCGGAATTTCTAACAACCTTCCATTTTCTCGAATTATATGTTTGTTTCCGTTCCGCAGCTTGGTGCTACCAAGGTACCATGCAAATTCAGGCTGAGGCGATCCACTTGCATCGCATTCAAAACGCACAGTTGTTCCAGCATCGACGTTCTGTGACTGTGGCAGTACAGTGAAAATTGGTAATGCTAAAAATTACATAAATGTTGAACCATTTACTTATATTAAGATAATAATTTATGAGACGCCTTTCTTGAGAATTGCCACTTTGTTGATCAGCTATTTTGGACTTGGCTGCAATTGCAACATTTTTGACTTTGAGTCAATAAAGCTGATTAACAGGTGCTTTTCATTTGTCGTCAGGTGTCTGCAACTATTTTAATAACTTACAATTAATTATTATTTCAGCAGTAGCTGATACTCTTCCTAGATTATTAGCAGCATCACATCGATAAATACCATAATCGCTTGGACTCAACGGACGTATCGTAAGACTCCCCTCCTCATCTTGATAATACCTACTTCTGATGTCTAAAGTGATGCCGTTCTTCGACCAAGTAATCTCCGGCTTTGGAGTGCCCGAGGCCTTACAGTCCAATTTCACCTCATACGTGTCTTCGCGGGCGGTGACGCTCTGAGGCGTGAGGATAAATTGTGGTTTACCTGCAGCGTATGCAAACAAGATGCGCATTTAATGAAAGTGCCACATACAACAAGTTTTACCGTTAGTTTCTTCAGCGGCCCGGCTCTCTGGTCGAAACACCACCATGCGTGCCTGTCGCGACTTAATTACACCATCGTTATTCTTGGCCATGCACTCATAGACACCAGAGTCCGACTCGACGGTGTGCTTAATTTTGAGGCTGCCGTCTTCGTCGATCTGAAAACGATCGTCATCTTCGGTCTGCAGTTCGTTGTCATCCTTCATCCAGGTAATGTGAGGAGAAGGATCGCCTTCTGCATGACATTTGAATACTGCTACGCCACCAAAAGATATTTCCAAATCATCGGGTCCTTCCATAATAGCAGGTGCTTCTACATATTAATTAAATTATTATAATTCAAATTCTAACACTCTATGCTTACATCTTGTTCGAAATCGACACTTACTGCAATGAAAGTCGGATGAAGCCATTCCCTTCAACGCCTTACCGTACATCTCATTAGGATATTTGCAATTAGCCGCGACAAGCATAGACTGCTCGTTAATCATGTTTGCCAACCAGGCGATTCGACAATCGCATACCAGTGCGTTGGAATCAAGGCGTAGGCGTGTGAGTTGTGGAAGATTTTCGAAAGCGCCATGCGGAATATGCTTGATTTTGTTTTCATACAAAAACCTAAAATTACGGCACGTCAATTAAATCAATTAAATATTCATAATGTGCAAATAAAGCTGAAGTTGAAAGCTTACAATCTGTCGAGGGACGGCAAATTTGAAAAGGTTCCCACTTTGAATTCCTCCAAATCATTATTGTATAAATATCTGAAAATATTTCGTTACTCAGGAATTTTACAACTTTACAAATTTAGCATGTGCAAAGATATAAAAATAGTTCTAAATGTAAAAACTACATAACTCAGTTCTAAACATCATAAACGCTTACTGCTCGGATTTATTCGAATTTCGATCATTTTCGAAAATACACTTTGTTTTGACAGAGCTCAAGCCGTCAAAATCAATATGCTCGAAACATTAAATAGAATGTACGCAAATATGAACCTGAGCAATGCGGCTAACGTAAATATCGCTATAAATAAAACAAATTTAGACGTAGGAATTATGTTTACACATTTGCATCATAACTTGTGATGCAACATCATAAAAATGCACATCTCGTTAAAAAAAAACATGTGCGTAGATCCGGAAACTTACAAGTGTTCCAATCGAGGCAGATTTTGAAAAGCATGCGCTTCGATGGTCCGGATGCGGTTCTTGTATAAATATAAATGCTTCAATTGTGGCAAGCCGGCAAATACGCCATCCTTCAGGGTCGTCAATAGATTGTTGCTCAGAAGCAAGCTGCGGATGTGTTTTAATCCTTTGAACGTGCCCGGCTCGATGTTGCGGATTTTATTGAAGCGTAAATCTCTGAAAACCCAATGCATTCATATAAATACAATCATTTAAACCAAAGTACATAAAAAGTGCCATTTTGTTGTGATATATCTCATTAAATCCCAGTACACAAGCATGCGGCGACTAAATGAGTCATTAAGTCATTACAGATCCGCGTTGTTCGAATACGCGGGTAGAGAGCGTGATTAAACGTTGTTAAGCTCAGCTTTGGCTTCCATTCGCTTTAATGCACTTTGATTGCGATAAGCTTTAAACTGAGCTCGATGACTCGAGCGCAAAGTACGCCACACGCTCACGTTCTACAACCTGAACATGATTCGTAATTATTTTCATTTCATATTTGCGACTGGCATGCGAAAGTACATGCAAAGTACTCTTACAGCAAATATGGCGTCTACCGCAGGAGACTTTAGTTGCCCTTTTATCTCAACTCACTCGCTTATTGCCTGAATTAATATTTATCATTTGTTGGTTTTACTAGATAGTTTTACAGTTTACCTTTACTTAATTTCGTTTGCGTTGCGTGGATGGAATTAATTGATTACTGAATAATAATGGCCCGAAAAGATATCCAATTACACCAGGGTATAATAAGTCTAGCACGCACGAATATCAGATTTTAAATTTACGATTTAGATTCAATCGCTAAACTCTACAACACGCTTGAAGTTGTAACATTTATCGCATACAAGAACTAACCTAAAAATATTTATATTTTTAAGGTTAAAATTTTATTGGTTATGAAACATGCAGTATTTATTATCCAGATTTCAGTTTAATCTTTAAACCTCTCATCGTGCGGTACACGAAGTTTGAAAACAAACACACCTAAACGCTGTATGAGATATGGCGTGTAACGTGCAAAGTAAACTCTAATCTCTAAATCAAACCCAATAACATATTTTAATGGACATGCCAAAGGTGCACCAACCAAAGGTGTACCTATATATTACCCGCGTTCTTGGCGGATCGTGTTTAGGCGATTATGAGCTTTCGCTTGTTACGAGCGGCCTTAAGCATAGTAGGTGCCTTACCAAAACACATAAATCGTTTCCGGCGATAGTTCTTGCACCGCGCTTCTCATTCTATTAAAAAAGAAGCGAGTTGTTTGTATGTAGATAAGTAAAAATGCTCATTGAATAGTTGCCTAATTTCGAATCATGGATAGGAATAAATGCGAGCAGTTCAGCAGATTTGTTTGATTCGTCGATTAATCCAAATTAATTTGCAAACGTAACAATTCGTGCGGTACGCATTCATTTCACAATGCAATCGCAAACAAATGCATTAATTTAATCGATGATTGAATGCAATAAAACGTAATAAGTGGTTAGACACAAAAATAAATCAAGTTCATTTCTTTGCTAATTGAATTAGACGCTTTTGAATTTGATTATTCAATTGTGGTGCGCCAAGGTTTATTTGACCATTAGTGTCGTTCGGAAATGTTTCAGTGCGTTGATTAATCGACGATACAAATCATACTGAAGTGTAATAGTGTGGTAAGCAAATAAATTTTATATTTTATGGCTTATTGATAATTGAAAAATTGCATGTGGCAAAGTTCTACATCTTTCATGTTGTAATGTATAATAATAAAATATATAAACATTTCTTGTTTTGAAAACAAATGTATGGTAATTACTTTTCGTACGTTTATATTTTTATTTCAGAATTTCAAAATTACACCAATCACAATAAATTTCATATATACTTATCAAGAGTGTTATTGCACCAAAATTAAATTTATGAAATTTCCGGAATGAAACAAGCATTGATTGCACACGATCTATTTAGTTGAAAAGGTCACAGAGCATTTAAATATTCGATAATTGATTGAATAGTTGAATTGAATGTAAATTCCTTCCTCAATCTGTACTTTTGAAATGTGTAACATGGATAACAACAAAGCCATTGAGCAAGTCACCCATGCGTGTAATTCTTTGGCAGTTCTGCCTAACGGGCAGGCAACTTTGTAGCCTGTCCGAGACTGTATAAAAACTACACACACACACACACATCAACTACAACACGATGCAAAAGTGACAGATTTTACATTTTATGGCAGGCGTATATAATGCCTATCATGTAAATCAATCAACTCTCTCTCTATCTAACTGATATATACCCGACAATTTGTGTTAATCATGCGAATTTGCACCATGCGGCACACACAAAGCAATTTTTAAGCAAAAATATATTCATGTAAATGCTTATTTTCTACTTGAATAAGTCACAACTCACTATCAATTTCCTAGACAGACAGTGTTATAAATTAAATCTAAGCGCGAACATATTTACAAACAGCGGGGTCTTCGCCATGTCGCTTTCGGCAATAAATTCTATTCATAGTAAACTATAGCAAAGTATATTTTGATGCTAAAGGCTAAGTATTGCTATTTTAGGTATTGCTTGATAGTTGCGCGAATATTCTTTGCTCAAATCAAAAATTATACACATGTTGATGCGTTTGTTGTTGTTATTTATTATAATATCGTGTGAGAAGCACTAACAGAGAGTACTCGTATATGCACACTTGGTTTGTACCAATTGATTAATGGATTCTAGAGAGTAAAGATCGTTTATTGTATTGTTACGAGTGACTTATAAGCTTATAAGTTATGGAAATCTGTTCATTATATCTCCTTCATTATTTTTAGATAATTCATAAAGCTATTAGCGTCTACTTCGAATGGAATTTATTTGAATATTAATGCATTAATAAAAAAAACATTAATGATTTATTGTAGGTAGGTAGGAAGGTATATATTTGATTATCTTATACACAGTTAAAGTAAAATTCTGTACAAAAAAATGACGAAACGTGTGGAAAAAATTAGTTTTCAAAAAATCTAAGCGGAAATTTCTTCACTGGAAAATATACTCGCGTTTTTTTTTAAAGTGAATAAAATATTAAATTCCAATTAGTTCCAGAAAACTATATAACCTTCATATCTCGGAACTGAAGTTGATGATTTTAGAATTATTAAAGTTCACAACTTTATGTTAACAAAACTGAGACACGTTTTAGTGCAAAAATAGTAAGAATCACTTATTAACGTATATTCCCAAGTTTATTATACTTTATTTAATTGTAAAATATTTACCATTAAAGCAATTATTACAAACATATTATACGAGTGATCAATCTGCGGTTGTAATTAATATATTAATTACAATTACCCACTCCTGTTAATAAAACTTCAACTTAGATGATTATCTTCCTTGATAAGTACCCAAACGCCTTTCAATAAACGCGCATCATAACTACTAGTGACTGGAGTCAGTTTTAATTATACAACAACAATAAAATTCGATCAACTCGCTAAAGTTCAACAAGAACTTTTTAATAGTTCAACTCGACGTCTTGCGCGTCTCCCGTCTACATAAATTCAGCGAGTGGCCGACTTACACAAACGGCACTGCCACACTAGCGAAATAACGTTCAGCTAGAGCTAGGCAGTAAAGAAAGATTACTTAATAATTAACAAAACGCACTTCGAAATCAATCATTCTCAATCAACGCAAACGAACGAGAGCGTATCCACAAAGGAGGCGCTCGAATGCCGAAGCAGTAAGCAGCGTGCTCCACACTGGATATTCAGCATACTCGAATGTCAAGTAAGATTTATGAGGTTATTATGGAGTTATATTTGTATCGCATTCGAATAATATATTGTTGATACGCGCGTTGATAGTATTGTGGCAATACACAAGCGCGTCCGTTAATTGATGATCTCAGTTCGTTTTCGCCATTCGTCACACATTACCAAATTGTGCGTAAGAGTGCGCAACGTGAGCTCCAATTCAGTTATCGATATGCATGCGCCATGAAATCATAACATTTAGAAACTAAAAATAATTGTAACTGTTGCATTGCCATACATAACGAGCATGAAGATAACCTTTTGAAAATTGTTTTCGCAAAAATTCGACCTGGTTACAGCTGGCGGTTAAGTGCAAACCTTCTGCCAAATAATTAAAAGGAAACCACATTCAATCATTTCAAAAATGCAGCAACGTTGTAAATTTAAAATAAACTTTATAAATCAACCAACATAAAGTAAAAATCAATTTTGATTTCGGCAAGAAACTATTAAAATTCAGTGCACAACTTATTTTGTGCACTTTGCGGCAATTCGCCTACATTATTATCATCCTAATCAGTAAATTACTTACGTAGTTATTATTATTTAATTTTCGCAATTTTTAGTGCACCTGGTTATGTGTAACTAATACTAAACATAAATAATTTCCGTAAATAAATGATTAACATTTCAATTTCGTTTTATTGCTTTCCTGACAGCTCGTTTTCTTCTTCAAAAAATTCAAAAAATCCAAACTTCACCGTCACCTCACGAAAAAAACTAATTCAAAGAGCATAATAAAAAACAACAAAACACGGGCAGATGTGTTAAGCACAGTACCAAAGTGTTAAATATTTACATACGAATGCTGCTTCCAACAGCTTTTTCAACCCATCACCGCGCGTAAATCACATTTTTTATTTATAGGTGCGCGTCGTTCCCACATTCGTCCAAACCAATTTCCATTCAGTTTTAAGAATACTCGCAGATGTAAATATTTCACTTCATTCTAAAATCCTATTTAGTCAAATACTTTAATCTCTAGGTTATGAGCGTCATATCTGTGATTTATTCCAATTTGATCGCCGTATTTATTACCTAAGTTATGACTTTAAATACATGTTTGTAATGTGTGCGTGTCACAATGTCCGAATTCAATTTCAGTCTAAGCTTTATGATGACATTCTTATATGATTACAATAATGCTATGACTTTTGTAACGGCAACAAACATAAAGATAATTTAAATTGAAAATGTGTTAATAATCAATTTTATAACACTGTTTGTACTGTTGGTCGCGATGCCATGCAATATATAAAACGTTTTATCGAGCGATAAATAATGTTATTCACTTAAGAATCGTGTTTTGGCCGTGGCGGGCTGAAACGAGTCAGGTTTTCGAACTTAATTACCGGTTGCTGTAAATGCTGGCGCGCTCGCTGTATTAATCGCCCATTCAGGCGCTAATTACGCGCATTATGGCCGAAACTTGTGACCGGAACACCATTTTACATCACATTAAAACCCAGTATTGAAGTACAGCTGTATATGAGTTGAAAAAAAGGCCAAAGTAGGGCGAGAAGAAAAGCGAAAGTAAGTAGGTACTACAGGGATTAATAAATTCAGAAAATATAAATATTTTCCCAAATCGAAGTCAAAAATATCATTTTACTGCATAGGGACAGAAGTGTAATTTGAAAACTTTCACCTTGAAAAGTAAAAGTAAAGAAAATAAATTCTTATTTGATGGTATGATGGATGACGAATGACTTTTGTTCTTCTTTATTTTGCTGAAAAGAAAAGTTGAGGTGCTTTAAATATGATTTGTGTGAGGTTTTAATTAAGATATCTTCTATTCAAACCGAACCATGCTGTGTTTCAATTATTTTCTTCTGAATGTATTTATAATTAAAAGTTTTCCAAGACTTCTTCATTCAATATAAGATCATTTACTTTGGTTTAAGGCTTGTTTGGTTTAATTCTGGTTGCGGAATAATATTTTCAATTAATTATTTGACAGTTTATTAAACATTTCAGCTCCTACCATAAATAAACATTCATATTTATAAGCAAATTCTAAATGCAGCGTAAAAATTGCATTCGACTTTATTTACTCAATTTGTCATCACTGGCAAAAGCTTGGAATCACAGTTATTTGATGTATATTATTCATTTTCCGGCACTGTAGTAAGTGGACCGTCTCGGGCCATTTCATCTATTTTAATAGATCGTAATTGTGTTGATTAAAATGTACGAGACACTCTTTAATTAAATTTAGAACGCTTATTTCCACGTGCGGAAGTGTTGCGTGCTGAATTGAGGCCAAGAGAACAATATAACGATGATACGCGCGACCAGTGCGTAGAGCAATAAATTCTTAGTATTGTGTCAATGGAAATATATATGATCTCAAAGAGAGAATGGAAACGAAAAAGAATTGCACTCTTTTACAGTACAGTAGATTTTCGCGTGCTCGTACGGCCGTCGTTATGACAACCCCGGATGGCGTTTACTTTCAGGCACGAATTGAAAATTGTATTACACCAGTGCCATCGCAGATGGAATATCGCATTACAACTCGCGACATAAAATATGAACGCAACAAAGCCGAGAATTGTCGGGACGAACTATGCGAAATCACAAAGTGAATGCCAAATAGACACGTTTTGTTGTTATAGCCGCTCGCAATCACCCGCTAACGCAATGCTGGCAAAACGAAGTTGGACATAATGGCGCACTTTGTTCTTATCGTGCAGAGCGTCAAACTTGGGTGCCTTCAAAGTCTAATTGAAAATTTAAATCAACGTCGCGAGCTCGTTTCAAAACAGACAAAACGCACTCCCGTCGTTTGGATTTGTTTGACTAAAGTTGATTTGTTCGTTTGGTGTTATGAAAGTTATCAAATTGAAAATGGATGTTATGTTAATTACGTGTTTTAAACTTCAACGGTTAGATATTTGGCCAAAACAGTGAGAAAATAATAATTTTGTTAATGTTTATTTTAAAAGTCTGCATTCAACAAAACGTAAAATTTTCTAGTATTTATTTTATTCGGTGAACTTTTATCCTTGAACAGTCGATGTTGCAAAGTAAACGTAAAAATCAAGCAAAAAGACAAACAGTCAGCATACCACATGACCATATAAGAATAGCAAAATATCTCTAGCATTACGAAGAATATAAGAATAGCAAAATATCTCTAGCATTACGAAGAATAGCATACTCTACGTTTCACATAAAGATAAGCGTTAAATAAACTGACAACTAAACGAAATTAAAAGTAAAATAAAAATTTGCTTGCTTACCGATATTATAAACGAAGTAACTTAATACGTAATTCGAAAATATTACATAGTCAACATTACATGACCGTACGCTGTTTGAATCTGGGAAGAACTATATTCCAGCGTTATAAATAACTACAAATATATTAGCGTTAAACTTGTGAAAGACATGCACGCCATAAATTATTATAATTTAATCAACTTATTAATTATTCACACATTCGAAGTTTAAAATTTTCTCACATCACTTTACCCATCCGCCAGTCCACCAGCTTAATGTAAATGTCATGCAGAAGAACTTCACGTGTGGTTGACAGCTATTAATGAATATAAATTAGCAGCGCCATTGATGAATTGTCAATGAGTCACGTTCGACTCATTAAGAGCTGCTTTACTCCCTGCGAAATGATCCAGGATAAGGACTAGGCATGCGTCGGAAGAACAAACTCAAAGGTAAGTACCAAAACATTAGTATACACACACATATTGATTATTTATTCTAAGCGGTACTTATTCACTTAACGCGATTCGCACATCTGGCGATAAATTCGCTGAATGTGTTTATTTAAATATTTAGTTAATTTATTTAAATATTCACACAGTCCTCATTAACTCATATCCTTCTTAACTGATAACATGATCTGCCTATTTAGGAATAAAAACTGCAGCTTAATTTAATGTTCGGCTCAGTGTGTTCTCAATTAGTGTCCAATGTCGATGAGAATATTCGCAATTACGCAACGACTAATTGAATTCTTTTGTGATATGTCGAATTGAGTTAAATATGCGCAGTGGAACGGTTGTAGTACTCGTATATGTAGTTTATTGTTTGCTATACGAAAATTCGGCCAGATGTTTAATATCTCGTTTCGAGTTTTTAAATTTTAATTACGCGCAGACATAACTCGCATGTGAAAACAATCCGCTGGCTTTGCTGGTTGTAAATATTGCATGACACAAACTTTAGGTCAAATATTGAGTTTGTGGCTGTTTATTTTTATTGCCGTTAATGTTTAAACCAACAAAGAAATGATTTGCTCAAATTTGTTCCCGAAGTTGGATAAATTTGCACTATAAACGAAAATATAAGTAAAATTTTGTGTGTAGATTAGTGCAAAATAATAACAAAACTTTAAAGGATACCAAATACTTTAGGATTGAATATTCCTATTATGCAACTTTTAAATTCCACTAAGAATTATGTATTTCACCAAAATACTTGCTCAATCAAAATTGGATTCTGATATTTACTTCGTAATCAAATCACTTTATATTCCAAGAACTTTTATAACATAATCCATTTAAAGTTCACAATTAATTATGTGCTGACATTTTTTGTCAACATTCAAAACTCGAAGCATCGCATCGCTCTTATTTATATTTATAAGAAGATTATAGATTACATCATTTGGCTGGCTGCGTATTTTGATACATCCAATTAATTATTTTCATTCGCATTAGAGTTATTAAGTGCTGAATATTATTATAGTAAATATAATAATAATTTAAAAGTTTTAATTTAATATCTTGGAAAGGATTTGTGCTCAAATTTTATCATCCTCCGTGAATTATTAATTCTATAGTTGTCTATATAGTGTAAGTATAGATTTTTTCATCAGATATTATAAAAACTAATAAAAATTAATTAAAGTTATTGCAAATTGTAGGGAAATAGTTCTGTTTAATATCTACTAAAATTTATTTTGTAAGTGGATAGATTTACGAATCATTAATTAAAATCTAATTGATGAATATAAAATTATAGTTGGGTTATCGTTAAAAAAACTTCTAATCATGTAAAAATTCAATAGAAACAAATTAAACAATTTTAAAAAATTGTACTTACAGTAAAGTAGTCTGTGATGACACCTTGGGCACCTCTTCCAAATTCAATTGCATGCATCTGATGGTTCGACGGAAGCAAACGCATTGGTCCGGACACGGTAAACTGGAGTAGTTCCGTTTCTGCCCATCGGTAAATCCGGCAAACACCGCGAGAACCACGATCGCAAACGCAGTGTACAGGCGCATTATTAGATAAATCGAATGGCAGTTATATATCTATTTGTGTTATTAAAATAACATGCTTCCCAATAATTTTGGAAACAATTTGAACTGGGTTGTTAAAAGTTCGCGCTTTGCACGTTTTTCACACGCACGGCGGGCGCGGAGCTGTTGCTGGTCCGTCGTCCCCGCAGAGACTGAAACGAGAAGTGGCAAAACGCAAACAACGCGCACTCCTGCTGCCAGAGTTGCCTCATTCGAACCTGCTTCGCCCGTCGTGCAGGCTCATATCGTCTTCTACCGTCGTTAAACTTCTCTTTTTCTCTTCCGTTGAAGAAGAATCAGAAACAGCAGCCGACCGTACGAAAACATAACAAAAACAAACATGCGCTTCGACATGGGCCGCCAGTTCTCCAGTCGGTAGTAACATGGTAGCGAAATGAACTTGCAACTCTTCCATCCTGCTTCACAGCTGATTACAATGTATTCAAGTCAACGATCAACCGGAACGTCATTACACACTCTCGCGGGTGGATTGTTTTCGAATGCGTGCTGCAAGCGCTTCCGTTGTTAATATTCGTCGCGCAGTTGATTGACTCGCTTAACTTTTCGTGTGTTGTTCTTTGCGCTGGCGTGATGTGTAGTCGTCGAGTCCTTGTGGTTATTTTCAGCGTCGAACGTGACATTTTGAAAAATCAACGCATGCACCACGCTTAGTTTCTTAACATTTGCTAGACCGGCCACGATTATGCCGTCTGCTTGTTGCGGATTTACGAGCACCGGCCTGACATTTCCCGAATTTTCCAGGTCAGTGAAAAGCGCGTTTTCGCGTGTTTATTTCGTGCTCGTTAAAATTATCCAAATACGAAACGACAACTGGTTGTTTCGCTTCGTTTGCATCAGGGGAGAAATATGTTTCCCGCTCGCACGGATCGCACATGTCGAAAACTATTTCCTTAGGAGCGCAAATTACACGAAACTAGGCGGCGTTTACGACGAAAAATATATATATATTAGGGTGTCCGTTATTTCCCAAAATGGATTTTATTTTTCAGACGCCCCTCAAACTTTTAGATTTTGACCTAAAAAAAAATATGAGACCCATTTCAGCCCTTAAAATTGATATTAAACCGTGCCTAAATCATAATCCTTTTCTCATTTAAATAACATGGGATTTCCTGACGTTTTGCATTTAATTTTATATCTCCAAAGTAAATAAACCTACAGCTTCGACAAAGACATATTCTAATGCAAAATTTTACCCTCTACAAAAAAGATCTCTTTGGTTTTTTGCTTAAAAACATTCCTGTAAAAGTTATTTGCGATTAAAGTTATACACATAGTTTATAATCTCATTTACAGCAAATTCTAACTGCGCCACCTATAATCAATTGATCGAAACTAGAGTTTATGTTACAATAATCGCGTATCGAAAACGCGACTTAATCTTTGAATAACTTTTACAGGGTTGATTTTATCGAAAAAAGTATTCAGACCTTTTTTGTAGAGCGTAAAATTTCCAACAAAATATGTTCCAGCGGTATTTTTAGCTATATTTGTTCCGATAAAAAAAGAATAACTGTAAAAAGTGCAAAAATCCCATGTTATTTAAATGGGAAAAGGATTATGATTTAGGCACGGTTTAATATCAATTTTAAGGGCTGAAATGGGTCTCATATTTTTTTTTAGGTCAAAATCTAAAAGTTTGGGGGGCGTCTGAAAAATAAAATCCATTTTGGGAAATAACGGACACCCTAATAAATATAAATATCATTTCGCAAAATCGGAAGTATCTTTGGAATATTAATAACTTCATCGTGTATAAGATCTGCTACCTCGCGGATGTCAATCATCAATCAGATATAAAACTAATTCCTCTAATAATGTTATTTTCAATTATATACAACAGGCAGATCTAAGTCATACATTCAGCGATCGAAATCATAATTTGTCATTAAGTTCTAAATTAAGTAACTTATCATTAATTCTTAATCAACTATAAACGTGTTTGTAATTTGGTTTGAAATGCGGTAAAAAAAAATCTGATTTAAATCTGTGCCATGTGAATTAACCGCTCCCTAATTCGCCTGCCTCGCGCCTGCTGAATAACGTGATAAACTTCCTCAGGGCTGTTAAAAATAATCTTGGCCTCGCCGGAAGGCAAGCCGTTCGCATTATATTTTCTGAGTACATTCTCGCCTGACACGTTATAGCTACCTAAGAAATTAAGAATCTCATCAACGCCCGCTTTGTACGGTACGTTTTCCATTAAGAGAACACAACCGGGCGGCGCTATCGCCTCGTCATCGTCGCAAATATTGTCATCATAATCCAGCTGCTGCAGTTGCGGATGATGCGGCTGCTGGTGGTGGTGATGTTGTTGTTGTTGGTAGTGGTGCGGATGCGGGAATCTGCGCATCAGTGGCATTCCGCGTCCTATTTCATTCATTTGCATCGGCATATGGTGAGGAGGAGGTCGAGGGCCACGCATTGGTGGGCCGTTAAATTGATTGGGATTCTGGAAGAAAGGACGATTGGAATGGTTTCCCTGTGGATGGTTCATGTTCATGCCGGGTGACGGCATCGCCCGTGAAAACTGCTGCGCCATAAGCGGTGGCGCTCCACTTGGGTGTGACTTTTTTGGCGCTTCATTAACCGGCTCATATTTCATACAGACGGTGTTATTCCCGAAAAGTGTGCCATTTTTCTGGAAACCTAGAATCGCATCGTCAACGCTGTAAAATTCGCAGATCGCCTCGTCGATAAAGCCCGAATCGTTTGGGACCATATTTATTTTCGCGGGCATGATACCGATATCCGAAAAGAAATCGATGATGTCCCTGTCACAGCATTTCGGCGGCAGACCGGACATTGAGAATACGTTTGTAGGAACTTGGACCGTATCGGTGCCGTGCTTGCGGGCGGCATCTTCGAACTCGCCGTCTGAGCATATAAATACATTGATCGGTTTGCCTTCAAATTGATGAGTGCTGTTGTCGGTAAACGCACTCTGAGCGACTTGCGGATTGTTAAATTTGATATAGGCCGAGCTGACACGCCCTTTGGGCTCGATAACAACCGCTAGCAGAGCATATTTGTGAAATATTTTGCGGATATCTTGCGACTTGATAAAGTTAGGAAGCGCATCTAGTTTCAAATGTGCAAAAACTATTTCATTCAGTCTCATATTGACGTCACAGTTAGGTTCTTTAGGAATTTGTACGTTTTTAGGATTAAGATACATATTGACAAACTCGTCATCACCAACATGCTCAATCGCAACGATCTGATTACGTATGCGATCACCGGATCGACCTAAAGCCTCATCTTTACCTCGAGCATACGCAAAATTGACAAAGATTTGACCATTGCGATTACCAAAGACATCATTAGAAAACCGCACACCGTCTTTGACGATTTCTAAATGGCCGAAAAAGCGTGTGATATCAGCCACCCCACCAAAGAAAGGAAACAACTTAATGCAATGATTTGGAACATTCGCATTATTGTTGCCGTTATCTCGCTGCTCAAAGTTGTTCTTATTCCTACCATTCGCATTAATTTCATGTCGATTGCCTTGATTCAAAGTGGGTACAATAGGCGCATTCTGCTGCGGTAATCCTGGTTGAACCAAAGGACGAAGCGGAGCATTATTACCTTGTAGCTGAAACTGTTCTTGTAAATTTACACCCGCTGCCGCGAGCGCTGCTAATTGATTAACATTGCCATTTCCATTGAGTATATTAGGCAATATGTTATTGGCAACAAATGTCGCTAAAAGATTGGCGGAATCAGCAGCATTCGCAAACACGGTCGGTGGTGGCGCTTCCCAAACGCCAACACGATGTGGTTGCGTCGCATTTCCTCGACCACCCTGCACGCTATTGCGTCGCTCGATAGACTTAGATCTTTCGCGACTCCGACTTCGAGTTCGACTGCGTCTTCGGTCTCTCGTGCGATCCCTGCTGTCCGATCGGCTGCGGTCGCGTTGCCTGTCTCTTCGATTAAAGCGCTCGTTCGACCTGGAGCGTGAGCGGGACCGCGACCTACGACGGTGGTCACGCTGGTCTGTCTTGTTGCTTTTGAAATCTGTTAGAGAGCTGGCGGTCGAAGGTACTGCGGTCGGCATTATCGGAACAATGGAAGGTTGCGACTGTTGTTGTGATGCGCCCAAGAACGCCGCCATCGATTGATTGCGGGCGGCTTCGATGACCTTTTGCATTTCGCTACGCGAGCTGAGCAACAAAGTGATGGGTGCGTCCTTAATTTTGCCATTGCTGCGATTAAAAGCTTGACGTGCGTCCTCGTCGGTGCTACATAAATGAAAGATTCAAATTGTTGTAATTAGTCATCTGCATTAAGTGCAAGACTGTGCGCACGCACGAATTATGCGGGTAGCAATCGAGTAGTACCTGAACGCAATGAATGCGTCGCCCTTTTCGCCGCCAACGATATGTACACCACCCTCGGGGATGCTCAGTCCATGAAAATATTGTCGAATGTCGTGAGCGGTGGCGGACCAAGGTAAATTTTGAAGACGAATTATCACGCTCATTGTGAAACCTATAATTAAACATTCCCGTTGGTTCCTTTTCATTTAGAAATGTGGACACCTAGACAGCTCAACAAAGTTCGCAGTGGCAAATATAGAATAAATTACTTTTGACCTTGCATAAATTTTGTTTAGTTCGCAAATATTTTTGAAATGTTTTATGACCAGGCATTTATGCACTTAATTTGTTCCAGAGCAGGTTTATAGTATTTTTGTTTATAAACGTTTGAAATGTGTCCAAGTATTATGAAAGTGGCAGCAAACAAAATTTTATGGGAATATTAAATATACGCTCCTAATAATCACAAAGATTTGTCAATAATTTGCAACACTTGGCAGGAAATCCTTCGTATAAATTAGATATAGTTTACGTTGCAACGTAACTTACGTTTGTAATAACTTTAAAAAATTATTAGTTTATTTAAAATGAAAGAATCCCGTTGCATGAAAACGTTATAAAATTAGATATGTATCTCCACATTTCTATTTTCGGATGGTAAACAGTATAGTGTATATTTTTGTTGATGTACTTAAAAATCATCAACGTAAACTCATAAACGCCAAGGATTTAGCTGAAAATTACATTTTCACGTACTAAGGTCGTGCTACAAAATTGCTCATACTGAAAATTTTATAGCAATCTGAGAAATGGTTGAGGAACTATGCATTTGGCAGTAAAAATAAGCGTTGAGGTTTAAAAATAAGATAGTCAAATTATTATATGGTCGCAATAAAAATAATAGAATGCATCATAAACTGACCTAAAAATATAAAACACTATTAGAAACTGGCGCTTAAAACTTCATAATAAATTGTCAGTGATTTTGATATTGTTAGTGTTAACTATTTTTTTATATTTGTAATAGTAGCAATATAGTAAGAGAATATAAGTTTTTTTTTGGATAAGCGCAATTAATTATTAAAATATCGGATACTCGCTAAATGTTATGTCAATGAATAAGTAAGGTAAACTTATTTTATCAATGATCAAAAATATATTCTAAATCAATTTTATTTAACCTTTAATTCATTGCCCTTCATAAAGCAAACCAAGTATTGATCAGCTTGATTGTTTGGGAAGTTAAAAAATATCTCAGGTCGCATTTGTTCCTAGTAGAAATCTGACTTGATGCTATCAAGGTAATGGTAAAGGCTTACATTGACCAATTGAAAGACATATCATACAAATTGATATATGCTTATTTTTCAATAATTGCCATTAAAAACCTTATTTAACGAATGCATCATAAAGTGGCAAGTTTTCCAATATCAATTTTATTATGCCACCCTCACAAGTACATTCTTGTTGTCTGGGCATCCATGCAACATCAACCTAATTGTTTACCCTTTATATTTACCAAACGGTAACTACAATTTTCAGATAAGATAATATATAATTCAACGATTATCTAAGTTGGTCGTTATTAGTATGTTGCAAGGTTACACACTGCACCTTATCTTTGTAACAATTAAATAGCTTATTAATTGTGCTCATTGCAACACAATGAGAGGACTACCTTCCTAAAACAATTCTGACATTATTTACTCATGAGCATTTGGGTTGCGATTAAAATAGTACGTAATATTATCGCTTAGGGAAAATCATAGATTCACCCAGTCCGCAGATTTGTATTCAGTTTGGATTAGTGGTTATCAACAACAGCGAGCGCCATACATGAGAATCCAATTTACGCGTTACACATATCGAAATTGTGCAGAGAATAATTCAATATATTTAGCGGTTTCGCTAACTTACCTTACAATGTATTACATTAATCTTCGCATCGAGAATTGATTAAATAATAATAAGCAAATTCGAACAAATATCTTGAGAATCAACTAAAAAGACGTCGGGATTGCAGATTGCAACGGCAAGTCGATGGTTGACGTTTGGCCCCACTTTCGCTCGCACGTATTAAATGACAGTTAGAGCATAGTTGTCGCATCCGAAAATGAACGTTGCGGTGCTGCCAAGTGTTTCAAAATTATTAGGGAAACAGTAAACATAAAATTTGTTATTTTTGTTTAATATGATCTAGTAAAATACATACATTTTTTCAGAATTATGTTAGCTTTTGTACTTTTGTATGACTTTTGTACCTGATTAACAGATTATTATTGCTGATATATTTTGCGACATCTGTATTTGGGTGCCATCTGTTGGCGGAAACTACAATTAATATTAATATAAATCACTTTATTACAGTATGTTTAGCATTAAATATAATTAACTAACAATTGATTTAATGCATTATATATTAATTTATACTTCTAACAGTTAAATATATTTATTATATGAATTAATACTTGAATGAACTATCTTGAAAGCAGGATCCATACAATATATATAAGGTTAATTCAAAAGTATCCACACGTTTTCAATTATTTTAGTAGTATAAACAGGTATTTGCTTTAGTTAATATTATATTATTAATATAAAGAAAGATATTTAAAATATAATTTCAATATGTTATGTTGATTATTGAATTGTTTAAGTTTGGCGCGAAGCAAAGCAAGGCGTAGCCACGCCTTGACTACGTGTTTTCTAGTTGTTGCTGGAAATTTCGAGTGAAGTTAGCGCGCATCAGTTTATGTCACTCTAAAATCTGTTCTAAATATATTGGTGACATTCAAATTGAAAAACGTTCAAAAAGCATACATATGCATTGCGATACTTGATTTAAATTGAAGTCAAAGAAATTTACAACGAAAAACTTCATTCACCAGTATTCTGGTTTAAATTTTTGCGGGGAAGGGAGGCAAGTTGCTTGCTGCGTCAACAGACGTTTACGCCTGACGTAACGACATTTCTCGCATTCCATTTAAAGTCGCTTGCCCGCTCTACCAGTTTGCAGGCATTTCGTAAATCCGTTTGGATGTATGTAGGAGCGTCCGTTGCATTTACATTAGTCGAGTTCGTTCGCTCGGTGAAGGTTGTAGAGATGTGTACGTGCCGTGAGTCAGGAATTGCTTTCTTGTTGTAAGGAATCAACGTGCGTGTGCGTCGGGACGGTCTCGCGCCACACCGAAAATACCCAAACAAGTGGGATCCAAGAGGATCGAGCGGCGGCTACCTACGCGAGTGCGGGCGCCGCACGAAAATCAATAGTGTTTGTGGGTTGTGTGCACGTTCACGTGTTCGCTCATGCCGTTTCGCCGTGCGTTTAGTATTTGATATTTCGCGTGGCAAGTTTCGTCGACAGACAACCTATGCAACTAATGGAAATGAGGCTGAGTAGTCAAGATAGGAAGGACTTGGACAAATTCACCAAGTTCTTGGCGTTCAAATCCGCGCAAGTGATTGTACAATCCAGATTGGGCGAGAAGAAATCTACGAAATGCAATCCACAACAATCCGGAGCAGATTGGGTGAGTAATATGTGATTACTTTGTTTATTATCAAAGTATTTTTGTTACAATGACGATGAAGTGTAACACAAACACAGCTGGTGACGACAATGTAACTTCAGATAAATGCATTTACTCATGCTACAACTATGTATAAACTAGGATTAAATGTTTAATTCCTGTATATTGGATTTATCAAATGTGCATATGGTTTATTTCAGTTCAATCTAGCCATCGAAGATCTTCCCGAAGTGCTAACAGAGACGAAGAAAGCGTTAAACGGCGAAGTGGTGACAAACTGCCTACCACTTTGCGTGGAGATATCCTTAAAGACTGTTGAAGGCGATCAAATGGTGCTGGAGTCCTGGTGCCTTGATATCCTACCGGAACAATGTGACCCTGCTGTGCGGGTGACGCACACGGTGTACAATCGCATGGGCATCTTGCTCAAATCGCTCGTCTCAGTGACGCGCGTCACACCTGCGTATAAATTATCGCGGAGACAGGGGCCCGACTCCTACGTCATCTGTTATCGCATCTACATGGACGAGCCGCAGATGCACAACTTGGGCGATGGATATAAGCAAGTGAGAGTGGGCCAGATTTGCACGCCCATCGGCACGATTCAATTGACCGTGTCGTACAGGACGAAAATGACAATATCGCCCACGCAGTCTGGTCGCGAGGATTCCATCATGCTGAAGAGCGATCACTTTAACACCAACTGCAGTCCGCGGAATATGCGATATAAACAAAAGTGAGTACGTTTTTTCCAACCTGGGATTTACCCGTGATCGGTTGAGTTGTATTTGAATAAGCCGGTTCTAAAATTACTAAATTAACTTGTCTGGTAATGTAAATGTTTATCTATGCATAGTTTTACCACTAGTCGTTTGGAATATTTTTGGTTTTCTACTGTATTTAGTGTGTTTAGTGCTGATATACTTTACGGGCATGCATTGAATTGAATTTCAAATTTTTAGAGAGTTTAAATCAAATATGTTGCATTGTTTTTATAACATGCGACAACCACACCAGGAAATTCCTAATACTTGCGTGTAAACAATTGATATTATTGTCTCCTCGTTGTCTTTTAATCGCATTGCATGCATTCTATTCGAATGTGTCGTCGCTGATTCTAAATTTATAGTTTGGTAGCACTAAACTGTTTCAACAACATTTTACACAATCAAATTTCGACTAAAGTTCACTTTGGTGGACTAGTAAACAAAAACATTTGCAGTTAAATGAACTTTTCGGAAACCAATTGATTCTTTGATTTGTAAATTCACAACCGTGTAATTATTTCATGAGAACATGCGTTTTAGAAAGATCGCACACATATGGGAACAAATAATCGCAGAGGTTTCCCAGCAAACTTAGAGCAATTAAGAGATTTTACCTAATGATACGGCATTGCAAGTCAATTACGTTTTTAACTTGTTCAGAGTTCTTAATGCAAAAGAGAAGCTGCAACTCTTGTGAGTGCGCCTTTCAATTTCACTCGACGAAATTTCCAAATTCATTCAATCAGCAACGCGCCGCTTAAATTTCAATTGGGTAAAAGGTAAAAGTAAAATGGAAAGTTGTCAGGTGAACGCATGTAATAACGCACACGCATGCATTAATTATATGGCGATAATTAATCGCAACTTTATGCACATGCGTTGATTTGCTTGTAAATACCTCGTTTTTGCTTACGTAGAATGATTTTGTTGTTGTGCTAACAAGGGAAAGTGATAAGATACTAACAGCTAGCTTCGTCAGAACATTCAACTTTGGTGAATGTGTGGATGTGGGATCATCACATTTTGCATTCGATCTGCCGACGGCGAGAATTTTGCACTTGCGTGTTGCTAGGCTGCACACATTCCCGGCAAAAAACTTGTCCACCTTGATGTGTACGCGCGGTGTATCTAGAAATAATCTGTACCTCTGGCGCTACGATGCTACCAGCAAAAAATTGGCAACGTATTTACAGTGCATTGTATTTATTTGCACAGAAGGCGTTCTCGCGTTCTAATAAAAAGTATTTTTATCAATTTGAATCGCGTCCAATTGGACAGTCTAGCTAAACTAAACGATGACGAAAAATCAGACGGGAAACTGAGGCGATGGGTGTGTAGTCTCGCCATATGTGTTGTGGTGGGTTGAAATGCAATCCCAGCCTCATTAACAGTCGCGACCATTGCACGGACCACGCTATAAATAGTATTATTTAGCATAAAACCGCGTGCGTTCGACTATCGGCTTCCACAGCCCACATCCTATATGAACTCTCTGTCTGCTGTTACAAGGCATTAATTTCACATATAGGACTTTAACAATGTCAAATAGTGCATAACCCGGCCATTTTTATGGATTGTATTTTAAATTACTTCATTCATATTCGCGAACTCGTTAAAAAAATACATAATTTTACTGATATTGGCGACTATGAGTCACTCTGTACCAGTTGATTGTGGGCTGCGGTAAAATGAAAACTCGGACGAAATGGCAGTACCCACGCATGAAACACCAGCGTCATGCTCACATATGGCTTGACTTGGCTGACTTATGGTTTTTCAATTTAAATAGGCTTATGTTGTCAAGCATAAATCGCTAGCACTTGTCTGGACTTTCTTTCGATAGTAGTCTGTTAAACGGATAGAGAGAGCATACGTCATATGTAATACGCAGTTTTACCTTCGAGTCAAATTCGGATGTAGAAGGGACCTTGAGCCACGTTCAAACTTCAAACTTTCTAATTGTACGTTTAATGGAATCTGCTTTTTTGGTGCATTTGACTATTTTTAGCACGTACACCATGGGTACGACTCGTTACTGACACGAATTGCATAACTTTTTTATGATTCATAGACATAATCTATTAGAGTGCCAAAACTGGACGAAACTGCTTGGGTTAATTACCGAATTCGTTTTAAAACGCACGAAAACTATTGACACACTTTACTAATAGATTTATAAGTTATGTATGACTAACTGTTGTGGTTTTTTTGTTGATTGCAGCGAAGAAAACATTGCATCCTTAGGTAACACAAGAAAAATTGGTGCCTTTGCTGCCAACGGCAACAAGCAGAACTCAAAGCAGTATCCGATGCCTGACTTTATCATTCCTGAAATTCCTTACACGAAACTCTTTGAAGATCAGCTGAAACTGAAAGTGGACGAAGAAGAGAAAGAGTTGGAGAACAACGAGGAGCAGCCTGCGGATATCAACGACTCGACTACCACTATCAAACCGGACGAGGACAAAAATGGGAATTCGACAGACTCGATCGATTCATCACCACCCAGTCAGACGCGGAATCGATTTACGATGATGTCCACGCTCAAAGACGATTTCATTATGGTAGAATTGGTAAATTATACTTGCTGAATGCTGCATGAGTTACTAATTACATCCCATCGCATACAAATAACACATTTAGGACATTTGTTACGCTAAAACTTTTTTGAAGTTAGGTGTTAAGGTGTTGTTTTTAACAAGGTATGATTTTGTTGTGCACTTAGTTTGCGAGACGATTTGTGGGTGAAGGATGGTCGCTTTTGAGCACATGGCTGTGACAAGCGTGCCCATTGCTAATTATACATCGTTTGTGCATCATCATGTTCCTCTGTTTGAATGCGCGTCGTACGAACTCCAAACAATGCACGCGGTCATACTTTCAAGTCATGTTTGCTCGCGTTGAATTTCAAATTTTCTTTGAATTGTTTAGTTGTTTGTGTTTGCGTGTCGAAAAATAATGGGATGATCGATAAAATACACGAAACTCTACCCGGACGTTGATAAGATATTCACGTAACAATAGAGAGATCAAATAATCGATGGTGGCCCGTATAATTTATTACATGTGCACAAAACTGATTTATTTATCGTGTTGACTGCCACCCGTGCTCAACGAAATCTAATTAATTTGGTTATTGAATTTATCGGCATTGTATATTCCATTACTTGTTTTGCGTGATGATATTTTTGCATCGTGTTCGCATAGATAACGACGCGTGTTTACAAAAACAACCTAATTCGATAAGTGATAGAAGAAATAAAAGCGAGTAGTAACCCTGAACAAGGTCACCGCGCGGTTATTATGGAAGGTTATTATTAGATATTTATGAGCAGATTCGCGCACACGATTCGGTTATTTTGCATCGTGTGAGGCGTCGAGACTTGAAAACACCTTTGGATGAATATATATACGCTAGTGTAGTAGCGGTAGGACAGTTCACTTCCCAGCCAGCCATCCTTGGCGCACGTCACGTACACCAGACCACTAATCCTGAAGCATTACGTGCTACCAATTAACTTCCAACCGTCGGCGCCCGTAATTAATTAATTAAGGCGCTAACAATGAGTAACATCAACAACTCTAATATCCACCTTTCATCGGTAATCGACTTTTTTGCATTATTAATTGAGCTTAGCATGCGCCTCTTACACTCAACTAGTAGCTGGATTTCTACATCATTTTTATGCCAGGTGGCGATGATTAACCGTGTCGATTTTATTTGTTTACAGAAAACACCGTTCGCGAGTTCGACCGCAAACAGCGAGCTCGGCGAGATCTATCGTGAATGGAAAGAGGCGCCGCCGCTTCAAACGTTCAATGATATGCCGCCCCTCGTTGATCAAGTCCCCGATTTGACGCAGCAGCTCGAGAACTACGAGTCTGACATGCGAACATACGAAGACGTTCTACAATCTCTGTGTCAGTCGCCTAACAATAACTAGCTTGGGTAAACTATAGGATAGATTTATTTATTTATTACGTTTTCGCCGATTTTGTTATATTAACAAAACACGAGAACACAGCAATCAGACTGGCAATTGAGTTAAAAATGATTTCGCCATATTTGCGTGCTTGTGAAGCATTTCATTCCGCGCGGTGAGCAACAAGACGCACGTAATTAAGACGATTTACTAATTGCCGTTATGATTTGTGTTTTTAATTCATTTTGTGATTTAGTGCGCAGGAGGTCGAAATTGAACATTACTGTTCTTGTATATAGCAAAGGTGGTTTATAAAAAAATTAAATTGCTAAACATGTTGAATTTATCTGCCAAATTGAATTGATTGTTAATGGTGTAAAGAAAGTCAAAAGACATTATAATTGAATACTTTATCAATTGTTATAAAGTAGGATGCGAAATTTTAACAACCAAACCTATGAGGCAAAATATCATTTGCTTTTGTATTGAAATTAAGCTTACAAAGTGTTTGTGTCTGTTGTCTGTTACGATGTACCCGCTATGAAAACCTAACAACACATACAATGAAACAAACGCAAACTGTACCAAAGACTGATAAGAGATAACGTAGGATTAACGGACTGTAAATAATAACATATATACAATAAAATTACAAGCTCTGCATACAAACAAGACGTGTAAACGATTATAAACTGAGCGGAAAACATATTATTATTAACAATAAGCATACATGAATCTTGCTGAACGTGTTAATCACAAAATTGTTAGGCGCACAGTTTTGCGCTGTGGAAACAACTGAGATCTTTTTCACACATTTGTTACTCATGTTTATAACAGTAATGCATTAATGGCGTTACGCCCAAAGCAGGTGCTAGTGTTTTTACTTTGCATACTATCGATTGATCGATAATTACAAGTTACAACCGTTGGTAATTAATAAACAAGTCGAATCAGAGCCAAGTTACATTATGCACACATGTAATGCTTCGTTGACAACATGTCAACGAAACACATGCTATCCAGTTGCGCAATTTTCTGATTTACAAACGGATTTCACAGTTTGTCCTCACTGTGCTCTGAATACTCTGAATTGATGTGTGGTAATAATGTGATAGGGAAGTAAGCAGGAGGCGCGTAGCAAATTGCATTTGCTAAGATAATCGAGCAACAAAGTGTACTATGGTTCAACCAATTGTAGAGACAGGCCTTGACTTTAAAATAAACTCGGCGCCGCAAACATAACGCATTGTGAATTCCTACGCCTTGCAACATTTACTATGCTCGAGTGCCATTTCGCAATATTGTTTGTGCGTTAAACAACAACATTATATATAAATTGCCAGCTTGCTGCATTTTCCAGTCGTTGATTAGCAAAAACATTCATCGCAATCAATCGGCACAACTAATTTGCCTTTGATCACTAGCGTAACATTGTGTTTAAGAAAGATATGACGCGCTTTTGTCGCTGATTGGAATTAAAATTGCAAATGCAATTGGACTGCAGCGGGGAAATACTGATTTATTTGTTTACGTACAGCTCATTGTTGTAATTGCAAGCTGATGATGCATCCCGTCTGCATAATGGGCTCAAAGCGCATTCGCATAAATATTTAATTTTGCTTCTGAATGCAAGTCACGTTCACATATCCACTGATTTTATTTCAACTACTTACCGTACTATAAATATAGGTATATAGTTTGCCCCTACGATGGCAGCACGTAATTTGAGGAATGTGTTATTATCCTTTCATTCATCATCTCGACGTCAACGTCGGCGCAAACTGAAACTTTGGGTCTGATTTGACTGGTAAATTGCGGGTCACCAACCAGCTACCGCAATCATAACAGCGTAGAATAATTATGCAATATCTGAGTTTGCATCACTATGATAATATCGAACGCGCAATGAATGTACATCTTATACAATCAGGAAATCATAAACCTACTCAAGTCGATTAGGTAAACAAGACTTTCATGATTATTTGTTCGACAGTAATCATTTACATACATCTACATCTATCTATAAATTACTTCTGGTTTACTTATCTCTACGTTTAAGTATTATTGTTGTGAAATTGAAATTAAGAGAGTTTATGAACGAAATTCGGATATGAATGCAACGAGTGCATCAAAGATTCATATCTTGAAAACATATTCAAAGTCCACGCCGTTAATGACACCGGTGACGCTATACAAACAGACCCAATAATCTTACAATACTTTTTTGTATCGTTTATATATTGTACTTTAATTTTTATCGGTTAATATTAAACATGCATAAAATGTAAAACAGATTCAACAAAAGTTGCTCAATACAATATATTGCTTGCTAATGCATCAGAACATACGAATAATGCGATAAACTTAAAGTTTATGCGAATTTACCTATAAAACATTGATTTTATTGTTCATAAAAATTATTTATGTTTATTTTTGTTAAACGAAAGATATTAAAATGCGTTATTTTTGGATGAGAGACATTTTGTGATTTTATTTAGGAGAAAAGGCAATGCATTAAAAACTGTAAACTACACTAATGAACACATGCACATATGCAAGTAAACAACAATTTTTACAAATCAGAAGTGGAAATTATCATTTTATTAATCAACATTATGCGTATTATGTACCAACATACTTCATTACATAATTATGCCTTATTTATTATGTACTATGTTAATAAATATTAATTATCTATATAATACAACTGTCTTTAACTCTTTTACATCCTCGTCACATGTGTCACAATACTACTATTGTTCATTTTTATACTAAGTTTAATAAGCACACAATTACTGATTGTCGTTTCGCAATTTCATACACATTGTGTAATATTTTCACCGTGAGAGTTATAGATAATATACAATTGATCGTTAATTGAGCCATTATTTTGTTTTGTCTGGAATTTGGTTGTGTAGTAATTACAGATATTGACACGTGCGTTTTGAAGGTGTCATAAATTACTGTTTTGTACAGGAAACATGTACGTTTAACTAGGTTTGTACCACGTGTAGTGAAAACATCTACATTAGTCGCCAGCGAGCGCCTAAAAATGTGTTTTACAATTGTTTTCTATGTACAATTTGTTAAATTACGATAGGATGATATCGAAGTTGATTACAGCCATTTAATTAATTTGTTCTGGATGTGTATAATATTAAAATATGATATTTTAATTAGGAACACTTTTCTTGTCTTTTGGAATGAAAGGAATTTAGGAAATTTCATAGTTTACTTGTTTTAGGGAAACAAATTCCTTGGTAATAGTAAAGGTAAATATTTTCAAATTATTTATAAAATGAGTGTTTGAAATTTAACCGTGCTATATTTATAGTCGGTAATTATTTGCACACGTGTTTTGAAACTACTATTAATAATCTGTATCAATGATATGTATTTAGCAATGCACAAAATTTGCAAACGCCATCAATGCCATTGTTATTATTCGTGTTTTAAATCAATATTTATTAACTACCTTTTTAAATGCGCTATGTTCCATGCAGCGCATGTTGGCACTCACTTTCTTTAATCGCGAGACCTTTCCTTTTTTTGTTCATATTTCCAATTCAAGGTTGATTGTGTTTCGCGACTTGTGTTATGTATTTTATTGTTTACGATCGCCAGACATGGAAACCGGCTGACCTAAAGAGCCTTGCAAGGACGTTCCGGCAGCACAATAATGCGGCAATAAAAATACGGAAACGGCGAGACCGGACTACCTTTTTTATTCGTTTTACTGGTTTGTACGTCAATGTCAATCACATACCTAGAAATTAATTGGTGCATGGCCGTGCACCACAAAATAATGCATGATGCAGGTGAATAATTTTTTTATAACTTGTACTAATTTCAGAAAGTTATTTAATTATTTTAACTGTTAGATGCTTTAATTTAATTTATTTGCTTGCAACACGTGTATTTATATCTTTCTGGTCCTTAAAATTGTCAAAATAACCTTTGCTGAGCTATTTATATACTTGTCTCCAGTAGTTTATTATTCTAGGTAAAAATATAAATTACACCTGTTCTGTGGAACTGTTGGTGATATGTGATAGCTGTTATCAGTGACACTTGCTTACCTCAACTTATTTACGCAGGTTTTTAAGTAACAATTGAAAATACATCAACATGATTGTTTGCTCACTTAATGGTATATGATGTAAAACATTTTATGACATTAAATATTTGCATTATGTTTTTTATTTCTAGAAAATTTCAAGAAATTTCAAGTTTCATGGAAATATTACCAGGCGCCACTTTACGAATATCATTGGTAAGATATAAGGTACATTGAGAGTGTTAATTGCAGGTTTTAAATAATATTATAAATAAATACATGTATTGAAATTAGTTCTATTCGTATATCTAACTGTATTGCATTAAACGTATTTTAATGCAATTTTTGTACAAATCGTCATAGAGAATTGAAGTTGATTTTAAAGCGTTCAAAATCTATTTAAATTAATCGAAACAGAATCCGAAATTAAAATTTTAACTGATATAACTATAACAAGAGAATTAATATTTTTGTACATTGTGCAATATTGGTACCTTTGAAAAATGCAACGTAACTTTAAAACTTTCATGTTTGGCCATTTTCACATGTAAAATATTGAAAGTCAGTCAACCGACATAAAGGTCAATATTCCACACAAGTGACACTGTTACAAACAAAGTGATAAAAAGAATAACGCGCGATGACGAAAACATTTACATTTGACTGTTTGTTGCTAAGGTTGCGTTAAGTTAAGTTCATAGGATTTTACCATACTTGCCACAAAAATGACAAAATAACTAAAATTAGGCCAAAACACACAATGCATGCATGTAATATAAGCAGCAACTTAAACATAAGTAAAATATGTACTTTTTTAACAATTTTGTTTTGGTTATATTATTTAATAGTATGCGGCAATCACAGGCTTTCAAATGGCGCCATGGTTATCTTGCCTGGTGCCTGATAATAATTGTTGAACACTCATTAAAATTCTATCACGCGACATGAATCAGCCGAACGCAAAATGACCAAATGTTATGTTTATAGAAATGTTTGTCATTGTATTTACATTGTGTAAATACCAATTTTCATCATTAGGTCAACAGTAACCAAGATATTTCCTGTAGCTAAATAATATTAAGAATTTTCCGCAAATTTATGTTTTATAGGTTAGGAGTTTTCCCGCGTTTTCTATTTCGTGACTTCTATAACCTCGGAAACACGTGAAGCACGTCAAAGATACAAACCAACAATGTAAGTGATATTTTTCAAATTAAATTATAAAGACGTGCAGTATAAAGGAGTGTTAAGCATCATTTCGTAAGTAAAAATCAGTAACATTGATTCAAAATTTGTCTGCTTTCAAAATATATCAGAAAGGTTGATCTTCATTGTAAATTTGGAGATGTAGACAACTAATTAGTGATGCTGAACATTTAACAACTATTCGATATTAGTTGACTGATGTGAAATGTAATAATGTAGTCACATACTTGTTTAATTTGTTTACAGAATAGTGAATGAGTGATAATTTCCATGACAGATGATGACGTTGATGTTCGTAATTCTATTTTGCAATCATACGTATATGAAAGAACGACAAACAAGTCGTGATGAGTATGGACTTACGTCAATCTCTTATAGTACTACATGAACCGTAATATAGTCGCCTTGTAAAAGTGAACTTTAATTGTTGCACATTTAAAGTTCCTTGTAGACACATTTAAATGTTATTAAACAGAACTATGTACTTTGAACAAATAGTTTTCCGAAGTACAGTCTGGAATGGTGTTAATTCTTTTTACAAGCGAATTGGCGCTGAACTAACTTTTCGAAAGTGTTAATCAAAATATTAGTTCAAAGCGTTAAACATGTTTCATTGTTCAGATTGTTACAAAACTTTGGGCATGTTTTATGCGAATAAGTTTATTCAACTGTTTTACGTCCAGTGAGCAAACATAATTAAATTTTAAAAAAGTAATTAAAATATTTTTACATGATGATATGCAGCCCGAATTTAATTATGAGTTTTTTTTGTTCTAAAAATTATTTTAATAAAAATAAAGTTATAAAATCATCCAACCTATCTCTACTACAGTAATTTTATCAATTGAAATTAATAATTAAATTCTGCATAATTAACTAAATTCAATTCATTGTAACTTTTGCATTATTAATAAGTATCAGGACCTAATTTAAATATTGTCATCATAATTAAATTATAAATTCATCAAATCAGTCAATTTCATAATTAAATTCAAATACAAATTATCACCGATCAAAAATCGTACGTGTACGAATCTAATCACGCGTATTTGTTGTGATCGTAAAATGCTGACATGCATATTATGCATTATTTGTTTACCGTCGATGACGCAGTTAATTAAACTCGGATTACAGGAATATGTAACCAAATAACGCTTACAATCTAAAAATTGATACAACTTGCACTCAAATTGCACTCGCAAACAATTATCGCATATCTTATCATTACACAAGTCTCCCATTAAATTAAAAAAAAGTCGTAATTAAAATTTGCTTACTCTCTACTTGCTATTTTTGGATTATCGTCTAGTAAAGAGTTTAAGTGCTTATGCAAATTGAAGCCGTAAACTGGTCAAACATTTATAAACGTTTATCAATTAATTAAAATCTTGCGCGTTGTAATCAAATGTTGTTCGTTATGTCATTGCAGCACGACGGAATTAATCAAGCGCGAGAGTTAATTGTTGATTAAATAATAATCAATTGGTTCTTTACTTATTCAAAGTCCGCGCTTGACGCTTGCAATCATTGCGGATTTTAATTATTTAAATGCAATTATCAGGTTAGTTCAACTTTATGCGGGCATTATTACGAAATGGGTCATCTTGCGATTTGCATAACAGAAACAATTTAATATCTCACAAATAAGTGCATAAATAATAACTTACATATAGTGCAATTATTGCAGATGACACAGTAAAAAACAATTTCGTTAATTGGTATCCAGAACCTGTTAAATAAATAAATAAATTAAATTGAATAAAAACAAAGAGATTGCATTTGAATTATTTTTATGAAGTTTCTTTGTAATAAACAATTTTTTTTCGAGTAAGTAAATATTGCAGTCCCGAATAAAAGGTAAAACCTATTAAATACAAATAAAACGCACTTTAACAACATTTTAATATGTATCAATATATTGTGACATTCGGATATTGCAACAAACAGTAAATCATTGAGATTATAATAAAACATTATGTTTATTTGAAGATTAAAGAAGAATAATGATGCAGGTAAGTCTCAAGCATTTTTTAAATTAAAGACTTTAGATTCTATTGATCTAATCTACGTATTCTAACTAATCTTGAATTAATCAAAATATTATTACTAAAGCTTTCAAACAGTTTTGCTCTATTTGGTGACATGTTTCATTTTCATTATTTACAATCATAGTTTTACTCTAAATTCAATATTATCAATCTTATAAGCTAGTCTTATCTGTAGATATATAAATTTAGATCATGATATTTTCATATTTTCACGTAAGTTCTTTGGTGGCGTTCTGATAAGTTTTATATAATTTTATTTATCTAATAGATAGATTTGATGAATAGATGTAATCATATGGAAAATGGAAGCACGTTACGTCGTATTAAATAATGTCTCTACACACAATGATCATGATAAGTTATATTCATAGAGTGTAAACAAGTTGCGAAACAATCATTTTCTTGTTAGAAAAATAGTTAATTGCTATTGTCGTAAGAATTTTTAGTAAACTAAAACAATATCGTTGTGATATCTTAACATGGCCGTTGATAAGAGGTAAACAATTGTAGTTTTTATTTTATCATAAATAATTTTCATGTTATCAGTTTAGTAATAAAATGATTTTATTGATAAAAATTAATGATTATAAAGAGATATATTTCGTTAATTGTAATAACTGTATTTTGAGCAGTTTGATAAAAAAACGTAATTTTAAATATATTTTTAGAATATTTAGAATTGAAAAATAAATCAATTTTTAGTAAATAATTAATGTATTTTCTTTATAACTGCATTATAGTACGATACAATTACATTTTTATTGCGTTTTTAGCAATTTATTAAAATGCATTAAATTTTAACGTAATTATGAATTTTTTAGTAAAAAATATTTCAAAATTTATTTTGAAGGTAAAAAAATAATGAAAGGTTTACCTCATGGCATGTGAAGATAACACAACTATATGATATGATCTAATTGATATGAAGCATAATGCTGATAAGACCCGTTTAGACATTTCACTACAATAGTCAAGATCATATGATATTAGACTTTTATCAACTACATATCAGTGAACAAAAGAAACTAATAATAATCGAAACGATTGCATTGAGCAGATATACAGTACATACTCGTCGATGTACACGTTGACATCAGTGATTAGCAATTATGTAAATCTGATATGTACATACTTTTACGTTGTGTATTTTTTTACAATTGTTACATACTATTATATTACAGACAAGTCTTAACGACAATCAGGCTTTAGTAAAAACATCAGTAAACTCTTTTTATCTTATCTACCTACGCGTAATTTCGTCTCATTCAATATTTAATTAATTTAATTAAACATGCCGTGTCGAGATTATCTGTGCTGATTGTTCCTCTTTAATTTAATAAAAACGCAAGCGACATGAAGCGCCATCTGCACGTTATGGGCAATTTAAAAATTGCAAGTTTTTTTAGTACCGCTTGCGATAAGAACGCTGAAGATTTTATAGATTTATAGATTTATTTCACAATGCATTTCTTTGCAGCACTGGCACCATAGTTATTGTTGTATACGAACGGTGAATTATACGCTGCGGAATGGAAAATATTTGGGTTAGTGAAAATAGAGGAATTGCGAGGCGCCGCGCGTCGTGCGCCAAATAGAAAATAGGAAAACCGGGCGGCTGGAAAGAAAAGAGATTAGGAGAATGCGATTCAGTCGGATGGTATGTAGTCGCTGTTCGTGTGCTTCAAGAAGAGGAAAATCTGCTTGAACGTCGGCCGCGCCGCCTCGTCCCGCTTCCAGCACTGGCACAACAAGTCGTAAATCTCCGGCGGGCAGATTAATGGCTTTTCCAGTAGCACCTATAAAAGATAATTCCACCTATTAATCGATGTCCTCGTTATTACTTTTTCGTATACACCTTGGCGAGCAAATTCGGGGCGGAAATGCGCGGAATGGCCGACACATTTTCAAAAAGCAATCACCGTTTATTCTAATTTAGATACTCTCAACCGAAACCAGTATTAATGGCAATAAGAAGTGTCTAAAGAGTTTTGAATTGATCTCTAATTGCCGAGGGATAATTAATTTATTGTGTACATTTTGTTCAAGTTTAAATAAACCGAGATTTTTCACAAAAATGACAGTTAAATACAAAATTAAAAATTATTTTATCGTTTTATTGACTAGACCATGAGACTAGACAATAAAATTTAACTCATAATTGACCTGAATTTAATATTTTTAATAAATAATCATCACTATGACAACGTTATAGTACTAATTTTAATAGGAAATCTATAATATAAAAATAAATTGCAAAATGTTGGTAAGCGCATAACTCAACAACGCCTAAACCAATTTGGCCAATTCTTTTTTAAAATGTTCGTTAAAGTCCAAGGGGGTTTTTACGGCGAGAAAAATTCGAATAATTGCCAGGAAAACCCTAAAGACTGTCCTTTTCTATAGGATAAAAGTTGTCATTGAGGTTGGATCCGAGATGGCGCGCTGAAGTGCATCATTGGCAATACTTTAAATAATTAATTTAATTAAAATAAAATTGCGAATCTTATTGATAGAATTGACACATACTATATCTAGAACAAGAGAGTAAAAACGAATTACATTTTTATTAAACACTACCGGGACGAAGTCGCGGCCAAAACTAGTTAGATAATAAAGTTAATCAATTTAAAATGATCCGTTTAAAATGTAAAATATTTGCAATATTAAATCCCTTGACATATAAAGATCTATTTTTAACATCTATATAGTACCAATTTGCAATAAATTGTCAGTTCATAACAGTTCATATCACAAGGCTATAAACATGTAAATATTAACAAGAGTTTATAGCCAAGTAAGTAAATATTAAAAATAATAAAATAAAAAATAAGGTATAAACGTAAATTCCAAATAAACTAATTATTACTCGTCTGATAATCTTGTCTTGACAAACACGTGTGAACGATCTCAACAGTGATAAATAAGCAATAATTAAAATTAAATATTTTTCATTAAGACTATTAATAATCATAAAAACTTGATATTCCACTCAAATCAAATCTATTAAATACATTAAACTTTACGAGGTTGCAATTTGCAAATGCAAGCAATCAAAGAATTCTCTTCGACTGCCAGCAATCAAACTTCAAACTGGAGTGAATTGGAAAAAGTTGGAAACTGGGACAAACGCGTTAATAAATAAATGTTATGCGGCGAATGTTATACGCTGTCGAAGAATTGGTTGGTATTGAACGCACGCTTCTTTCTCGTCATAAATAAGCGATGAAATGAACGCAACCGCCTCACAATGAATATTATTAATAAGCGCTAGCGCAAAAGGCGCAGGACGATATTCGACGGCGTAGCTGAAAGGAAATTAAAGTGGCGTCGAGATGATGAAAAATGAAATATTAAATTACCGGAGATTTATTTTTCACGAGGCGCAATTATGCACGTAATGACGTAATAGTAGAACATGCGGTACTTACTTCCGGCTCGCCGCCGTAGTACATGTGCTCGGCGTTCTGTATCACTTTTTCGTTGGTCAAGCTTTGGTAGGGCTTCTCGTTGACCAGGCCGAGGATTTCCCACATTGTGACGGCGAACGACCACACGCTGCTCGCGCACGTGTAGCGATCCTGCAACGAATTAGCATCGCAATTAGACAATTAGTGACGGGGAACTGGGTCTTCGGATTACAATTGGAAATCGGGTGTAATTACATGTAATTGCGTTTGGGAGTCAACGTCTATTTTGGGAAATACTAAAAACAAATGAATTAGAAAATTACTTTTTACTTTTGTTGACTTAAATTTAACCTTTGCAAGCAAAAGTAAAAAAAAGTATGCAAATCCATTGATAGTTAGGTAGGTTTCTACTTAATAGTATATTATTATTTGTATGGCAATTTGTTCGGAAATACGTACTTAATAAGTTGTTTGCGATAAACAAGCATAACCACTTAACTGGCGCCAGTGAGTGGTTACTGCGTCACGATTTTGACAACGTCGATGCAGTTGTATAGTAAACAACTGCATTTTTCAATAAACATTAAATTTTGCATCCAAACTACAAGACTGCTTTTTTGCTAGTCTACAAGCATTAAAAACATTTATTCATAAAATTTGCTACACTTAAAACCCTTTAAAAAATAACTTTTGATCAATCAATCAAATAAATTGATGAAATCTATGTCCTTCATCTAATCCTAATCATTTTTGTACTTTAAACAAATTAAAATTGGTTCCGTGCTTTGAATTATGAATTTTATTCAATTTATTGATAATATCTGTATCAATATAGTGATAAGTTATTTTAGATTTTCATCTGATACCAATTCTGTTTATTTTAAGCTTTTATAAATAAGTGTGTGCGCCTTAATCCCAAACGTTCATCAATAATTTATTACAAATTCGCATCAACCTACAACCTAGATACAAAATTCTTGACGTTTCGCTGAGTTATCGCCGACCACTCACTTTTCGACTGCTAAATTCCGCATTATTGGCGATTCAATAATAATGAAGATAAAATGTTAATAGAAACAGCACGCAAGGGGTTCAAAAGCCGAAAAAAGGAAAAAAACGCCATGGCAAAAAAGAAAAAACATCAACCATAGAAAGAATCCATTAAATCGCCCCTTCTTCACTTTTATTTAGTAGGTCCCACGGCTAAAGTTGCCACCAAAGAGGACGAGTTCGTGCCATAACGCCTCCAAGTCGTCCCTACTCTCACAAAGTTCCAATAATACGAATACTTCCTAATGTCTCCGCACGTATCCACCACCTTAGAAAATATTAACCGATTCTTGCGTCAGACGGCACCGCTCCGTCCCATCTGAGGGGTCCTGAGTCCGACCTCCACAGTCAATTCTGTCCCTACCGGTAATGTCACTATTTCATTTCAAATTGAAGCGAGTCGTTAGAACCGCTCGGAATTTCGCATTTGACGTGGCGAAATTGAAAAATACGCCACCGCGCGCGAGACACACACGCAGAGGAATTGAAACAGGAATGGAAGAAGACATAACGTAAAACAGAAAAAAGGCGTCTTGCAAGCACCGCTGAAAGAGGAAACTCGTCGGAAATGTTTCCCCCGTGTGCCCTTTGGTATGCTTAAAGAGGGGAACCATTAAGCCCGCTGCTAAATATCTTATTAGTATTAGTTTTTCACTTTCATGGACCGCTTTTGAAGAGGCTACTGTAAATTAACTGAAAAGAGTGAAAATTTCTTCCAACAGTTACCTCTAAATTAAAAAAAAAAAAAAAAATTATGAATAGTAAATTACAATTGTAATAACATTTTCCCTTCCGACCGCCTAATCATGATTTCAATTCGTTTGAAAATTAGCTGGTTATTTTATTAAACGTTCTTGGGGTGTGGAGTCTGGGGTGTTTTTCTCCAAGGAGTTACCCGGGTGAGGTTCTTATTGCTTCTGGTGCGTTTGCTTTGATTGCTTTCAATGAACTTAACAAAGAGACTTGGGGTAATCGTGGTGCGCTGCGCAAAACAAGCGATCGCTGGGCCGGCGTTGCGGGTGCAGCAAAAAGAGGGGTGCAGCTTTATTGAAATTTGCATCTTGGGGGCAAAAATCATACGCGAGACGCGAATCTAGTTTGGCGACTATATGGCTACAACTGTGTACGGTTGCATTGTGGTTCGCGCACAAAAGCAAAGCCAAACGTAGTTAGTTTAGTCGCGTGGCACACGCTGCGGTTAGATTTACTTCTGCTCTGGTAAGCTCCCTCTTCCCCTTCGGCTTTGCTTGTACTAGCAGGCAGTCCAACTTAATAAATGTCAAATTAGTGGCGAATTTGTGAGGGAACGCCGCGGGGGGAATGCCTACCAGTAGAAAAATAAACGAAATGGTGAAATTATATTTTGCATTTTATTTTTTAAGCGCGGATTTTATTTTATTTGACGGAAATTAGAAAAATGTTAATAGTATATTTTAGCGCCATCTCTATTCGGATTATGTAACAATAATTAGCAGTAAACCTTATCCAACTTATTCTAGTTATATATTTTTGCGATAAAAATTAATCTGCTTGTTTTTCTTTTGCGGAAAACTATCTCAATAACAATATTTATCAAACTAGGATAATTTTTCATCCAAAGAAAATTCAACATATCAAGTTTTTGTATTTACAACAAATATTTATTTAATTTGACCACAATATTTTCTCGCTTATAACATCCCTGAATATATCCCTGAATTAATGTAAAGCAAAGGAAATCCAAAACCATAATATGTATAAATAACGCTTTCATAAGGATTCGCGTGAAGATTTAATTAAAAACACACATATCCTTTTAAAAACTGCTTAGACGCATCTCTGCGCCACACATTCGTTACGTTTTTGCTAACACTAGCCTTATCTCGCTGGTGTTGAACTCGTGGCAAGAAAATCGCGTAACTTTCTCACGTAGCACAACAGTAAGAGTAAGCTACTTACGAAATGAATCGCACACTTTTCCCACCGTCTTGCACATCGCAAGATTTCATATATATTCGCCCACAAATATCTTTCGATACTTTTCATCTTATCTCATCTTTTTGTTTCCTTGTGTAATACTTTTCTTTTCTTTCGCTTTGCAATCAGCTTCTTTATTAATATCAACGTTCACTCAGTCACTCTTAAGTCATAAGCGGAATATATGTGAAAGAAAAACTTTCATCTGCACGCAAAGAGACGAACTAACACGTAGCTCAACCAGCAATTGATTAATGCTGCTAATAAGACAAAAACCTCGCAGAGAGAAAAAGTGTAAGTGCTTAATGACACTTACCAGTAATATGCTCTCCCAAGGCAGCCATCTTATCGGCGCCGGAGGTCGTCCACCAATTTCCGCGTAGTCTTTGCGGTATTGCGGCTTGCACATTGCAATGTCGGTGATTTTCACAACGTAACCTCGACCAACTAGACAATTACTGCAACGAAATAAATAATAAAATTGTTAAAATGTTTTATCAAAAACTTTAATCTGAATCTTTGAATTTACAAGTCAGAAACTTACCGTGCTGCTAAGTCTTTGTGAACAACGTGCTTCGACTCCAAGTATTTCATCCCGGAGGCGATTTGCGTCGACATGTATATTAAAGTTTCCGCACTGCAAGAAAAAGAAAAGAAATAAAACCGACGCATATGCAATTTCAAAGTGCAAGGTAAATATGATATTTTTTATGGCGAGCAGGATTGTGGTAATCTTCAAAGCAGGAAACACACTGAAATAAATCAGTCTGCACTGTTAATCAAGTCATAAATTATTTTAACATGTAGCCTAAAAACGGAAAACCAACATAACGGAAAAGCGATAGAATCGCAAAATGTGATGTCGCGTCGAATGCTTAAAAATTATGCCACCGCTTGCACAACAACCACTTTCAGATTATTGCAATTCACACCCGCTACAGTTAACAAAACATTTAGATATCATCTGGGTATATTTATGATCCTTGCATTGCCGGCATGGATTATTTGTTAAACGTTGTATGTATTTTTTTATAGCCGGGATAATATTTGGTGTTCAAGTTCAGCGTACGCATAAAGTGATACCTGCAAATTTGTATAGTGGCGTGCCCGATAGTGCATAATATATGAGCCAAAGTGGACCTTTTTTATGTAGTGTATTGAATAGGTACTTCGCATCTTGAGGACTCTAGGGGATACGACCGGGGCTTAGAGATAAGCGTCGGCGGGCATACGCTCACTGTATAGAATTACCTTATGGGCGAGTCCTGCGACGATCGAACCGTGCCGTTCCGGTTCGCCAAGAATTGGAGATACTGCGCGAGATCGCCCATCTCGCCGTACTCAAAGATTGTCCACGACGGATGCTCGGCTGTGCAAACGCCAAGCACGTGGCAGAGATTCGGGTCCGATAGGCCGGCGAGGAAACGCACCTCGCGCATCGACTCCATCGCACCGGTGGCGGCGTCGTTTTTCGTCAGCTCTGACCTCGCCGTTCGCACGATCACCAAACGTTGCGCCGTGTCGATCTCGTCGTCGACGTCTTCCATCTCATACAGGCTTATCTACGCAATCAAGAGGATGTATTGTGGGTGTTTATCGCGATGCTAAATCAAAGGATTCAATGTGATTTCGTGTGCGTGAGTGGGTGATGATTTACCTCGCCACAATGACACGAGCCGAGGTTCTCCACGGACGTCATCGTGTAGCGTGATATCGTCGGTGGGTCGGATTCGCGACACGTGTACGCGTGCCCCATGCTGGGAGCGATATTCCAGCAGATCACCGGCGGCGGTATCTGTAATCATGAAACACAATCGACGATGTAATTATCCGCAAATATTATTAGAGACCTCACGTTCCGTATTACAACAACAAACACCCTTCTATCACAATACAATATGAATGTTATATAAATGTTTAAAAACGTAAAGAAGAAATAATGCAACAAGTATGCGATGCTCACCCGCTGCTTCTCTCTGGGAGCAGTGTGATAACGCTTCCGGTTTGGTGGATCGGTGGCCACGCGTGGGAAGTAATTGCCCAAATTAATCATCTTCGATTTGGGACTGATGGCCGGCGTGCTTTGTAGACTGCGGTAGTGCATAGGTGACGCCACTGTCGTTATCGGACTGTGGTGTAGCGAAGGCGAGGATGGCAGTGGCGGCACTTCCGGCGGATCCTCTTCGTCGTCGTCCAGCTGGTCGGCGTCGTTGGGCATCGTCCGCGATATCCGCAGCGTGGCGTAATTCGGCGCATAATAGGTGGAATTAACGAGCGGCGCGCGAAATTGTTCGTAGCCCATTGGGTCCGTTTGCGGTTCTTGCGCGATGGGCGTCGGATGAGCATTGCTTCCGGTTCCGGCGTTGCCATTTGACGACGAGAACGTCATCAGTAGGTCCTGAAAACGCATCATCCACTATAAAAGATAACACGATGACATCAACATGAATATGAAATGGCAGGCGGAAAAAACGACAGCGCTGAATCTTGGTTTAATCAAAGAACTTTTTATGTGCATGCGAAATGTGTGCAATGCCTTTGTCGCCTTTGATTTAAACCCGGACCACCGCTGCCTTATTTGCAATAAACACAATGTTGTGGTTTGCGTTTTATGCGAGAGTAAAATATGTTATACCTTCATGTTGATTGTGACGCCGAACGGATTGCGGAGCAACGTCGGCGACCCTTGCAGTTTATGTCGTCTGCTCACTATCAAAATAATCACGAACACGACGAGGAGCAACAGCATTATGGCCGTTAACACCCCTATTATTACTTCCACGTAGCCGTCTCCGTCCTTGCGCGCCGCGACTGCAACAACAAGAAAGCCATCACGTGCATTAGAAGCCTGGAATGATCGTACCACCGTCGAGGAGCGCTGATGCAATTTGTAATGCAATGGAGATGCAGTAAAGTACGGCGTTGCGGCACCGCCGTCGGCAATTGCAAACCGGAATTCTTTCCCCTCTAATGCCACCATTGCGATAGCACCACATTATCAGCGTGCATTTTTGCGCCGCTTCGTCGTTAACGGTTAACTACAAATTGCACCGCAGCATGTGGAAGATTGGAGGAAATCACGATAAACCGGATGCAACAGTGTATTCCACCATGGAGGGTAAAAATTCACTTAATACTGTTTCACTTATCAGTGAGGAGGTCGAGGTGGTGATGTAATAATAGTAAAATGTAAGTGCAGCGAATGAAAGAAATCAATACTAAACACTAAAAGTGCTTAACTTACTTGTTTCAAATGTGTCATGGTTCGGATTTCCGTTCGAATGTATAACAATCTCGTTAACGTCAGAGTCGAGAGTTTCTTCTTCTGTCGTATTAAGTGAAGCTGGAACTGATAAATAAAAAAAAACGATTAATAAATGTTTAATTTAAAAAGATAATCAAATAAAAACTGTAAAATTAAAATTAAAATTTTTGTAATTCTTAAAAATTTCATTACGCATAAATCCAAACACTTTTACTTGATGTTATCTCGACAATTAATGCATCGTCGGTTATGCAATTAGTCGGGCGTGTTTATTCGCCCGTAAACCGACTTGTGCTTGAAGCATTTGCGATTTTCTATCTTCTCAACTCCTTTTTCGCTCCCTTTGTTCTATCTTTCACGCCACAACCCATCAAACCCATGCGCTGCGTTACCCCCTAATTAATCTTTTAACAAATTAAATTGTCTATATGTGCATTAAACGTCTGAATTTACAATGTCAAGAGCCCGAGAAAATATTGTTATCCAACTAATGCGATGCAAAAGAAGCTTCTTTGTTCGGCTGAGAGGAAATGCCAACAAACCATCGGCATCCAGTCATATAAGGAAGGAAAGCAGTCCGTTTAAGTAACTCATTTATCTCTTCCTTGTTTTCTGTTGTTTCCTTGTGTTGCCATGTTTACTGCGCTTCCCTCCAGACTCGTTAGGCCGCCGCCGCTTAATAGTTGCCATGTTTTTCAAGCAAGAAAAAACACCCTCGTTGTAATGGCCCATTATTGCTTTAAACTGTTGCGTCGAGCACCGCCAAAAATAAAATTAAAATCGTGAATTATGAGATTCATTACTGCGCTGCCCAAGTTTGACTTTTATTTCCTGACGGCGACCGCTAGACTATCAAAGAGCGTGCTTGTTTCCACAACGTTGCCTTATTGCGTTAATTATATATTAATGAGTTCATATTTATTAAATTCGCCCTGTTTGGCTAGGAAAACGACGCCGGAAGCGATGACTAGCTCGCAAATTAATTTGATTTCGCTAAACTTACCGGCATCAAAGGAGACTTCGCTGAGCATAATCCAACGGTCCGCGAAGTACAAGCGGATCTTAACGAAGCGCGCCAACCGTTCGTGAAGTCGGATCGTGACGTTGCGTGCGTTTTCAAGGACGCGATCTGGCATATAAGAGTACGACAAAGTTTTCCCGTTGTAATAAGTCCCACCTATACTGAACATCACTTTGGCTTTCGAGAAAACCTGCAAAGTGGAAAATAATATGAGTGTATTAAACTCACTCCTTCGAATAGCCATTAATCGCGTTAGCAACTTACTTGAACGTTTTTCGAGAAAAAGTTGTTTGTGAAGAGATGCACGGCGCTGAAATTGCGCACTTGGTCGAAGGCGAACACCAGCTCCACGTAGCCGTCCTGCACGGAGTCATTGCGCCAGCCGACCCAGCCGTTACCTGCAAAAAGTTTTCGGTCGTCAGGGGCGTTCCAAATTGTGTAAATCGAAGCGGAAAATTAGGCCCAGCGCCCATGAATAAACAAAGCGGTGTAGGTTTCATGCTAGTTTCCGTTTGGTAAACTCCGGGGTTAGTTTGGCTGCGTGTTTGCACGTTTTTGCTTCCGTTCAACCAAGGTGAAGTGTATGTACACATTCAATGAATATGTAAACATTGGTTTTGGTAATTTAACTATACCTACAGCAGGTATTACAGCAGGAAAGTCCTTTATAGAGTGTCAACGGGAAAGAGGGTTTAGGGCCGGAAACGATATCAAATCTCTTGCATTGGATTCAAATCGCAGTCTTGAAGATTGTTTGGCTAATAACTTATTTATTTCAGAGGGAAACCGCTTGAAACGAATTTAATGTGGTTTGTATTCGTAGGAAAAAGTAATAAAAGCAAAATATATTATAGCGTGAACGCGATTTAACAAGAACCTGTTTATTTTTGCTTTTGTTGTTGCGATGAAGTTTATGTAGGGTGAAATGAGGAAATTATGAAATATTGCTTTACCTTTGCCGTAACCGATATCTAATCGATAATTGTCTGCACCATACTCGCCGTCGACGAGACGCCCTAAGCCGCCTTGCATTTCACCAAGAGCAGGTCTACCATCATACGAACTGTCCCACAGACCTTGAGAAGCTTCACCGCCGACTGGAGCCGTGTAGGACATGACACCACCTGAAATAAATTTATATTAAAAATATTTCGTTACGCTCACAAGAAAAGTGTTTATTGTGCTTTCATTCATTTTTATTATGCAATCTGTTTCTTAGCTCCTGTTCATTAGGAAAATGGAGTGAGGAAACAAAAAATACACCGCAAAGTCATCTCCCGTAATTCCCAAACGGCACCTTCCGACCAACGACTGTAATAAATCCGCAAATCCCAAACAGCGATTTTCATATCCCAAGGTAATTTTCGTAAAATAAACCTAATGAACCCACGGATCTCTGTGGGTGATTTTTAATTTTGTTTTTTGTTACCATTCATGTTTTTTTTTAACTTATGGTACAAGTTTGATATAATGCAAGTCTGATATGGAGTTCTTGGCAATTTTAGACATTTGTGGTTGTGCATAAAATTCTTTGGTCACTGTATATATACGAAGACTGTTACTGCATGCTGTTGTTGAATAATATTTGACACGAACGAAGCAGTGCAACAGTGGTGCCACCGGTTGGGCTGCGAGCTGAGATGGTGGTTGAATGTAAATGATCCTTATAATACGGACGAGTGCCCGATATTAATCAGCGTCATGTGCACGCAGCGTAGACGAGTTTTCCTCAACTTTTCTGCAAGATGCGCTTACAGGTTGTTTTGTAAATAAGTGCAAAACAATTTTCTCTATGTTCTTCTTAAGCTTTGAACATTTTCTAAGTGGGTATAGAATAGAAGTTGTAATTTTATTATATTTATTTGTATATAATAATTAAGTCCCTTATTACCACAAAGCAGAATAAACATTATTTTAAGCATATTCTGAACTAAATGAATTTTTAGGTTATCTTGTTTTTAAAAATGGCTTTTGGTCAATTTCAGTAAATTTTCGAAAAAAATAATTTTATACAGTTAATATATAATATATTGCCGAAATGATTTTACAATCACACTTAGTTAATTTTATTTAAATCATGTTCGCAAACTCTATTAATTTAAGATTATGAGAGCAACGGCAATGTTTACGAAAGGGAAAAACTAATTACACATTGCACGCTCAGCGAACGGCAATCCGGTTACGTGATTTATTTTAATGCTTAATGCCATGATTTATTACCTAATATTTACTGCTCTCATATTTTGATAAATTCAACGCGCAGTTTGTTTGCCCTAAAATTACGATTAACTTGGCGCTAAATAACCCTTGGCAAACGAAAATAAACAAGCACACTCAACTCTTATACTCTACGAAATTCTAGATACCGTCAACCCTCTCTAAAATTTGCTCTAAAGATGTAGACTTAATTTCAAAATATGACATTTAGTACATGGTTGATATAAAGCTTAAAGAAAAGGCCGACGTTGCGTCTACATCCGCTAGACGGCTTTCCGAACGTCGTCGCAAGACGTTGCGGCAGAGTGGCTCTCTTTCGGCGAGCGCAAAATCTATAAAAGACCTTCGGTGAGATACGACGTCGACATTAATATAATGCCCTATTAATTTCAATGTGCTAAGCAACTAACAGAGTTGGTAGTAACAGGCGGCGCATCCGCCACGGCTTGTTTATGCTCTACGCCACTTCATACCCCTTTTCTTTCTACACTTGAAAAACAAAACGAGCTGGTGCTGGCCGTTAAGAAAAGCGGGAATTGTGAGCAAGGCGGCGTCGACAAAATGGCCGATGCACCTGTTTGCGCGCAATTTAAAATCTTAAATGCGACACGCGTCGAATTTACTTCGGTCTCGCTTACTTTGCTTCGTTTATGGGGAGACGGCGCTTTTTTGATGAGCGATTTTACGCGCATTGAAAGCGAGTTTTAGGACGCTGGCATTATTAAATTTTATAATAAACAATAACGTTTCAAGACTATTACTCTTATGAAGTTATGAGTAATTGCGCCATTTATTAGTTACTTGAGTGAAGCATATTGTTTCATAAATAAACACCTACCTTAAAGGCAGTTTCTTTATTAACGTTGCAATAAAAATTTGTTTTTGAGGAACAAAAAGTACATTTTACAAATTACAATTCTGGGAAAAACAGAAATATTATAAAAAGTAACTTTTTGATATAAATTCATTTTAAAGTTAGTTCAACAAGAAGATTGTTTTATAAACGGTCAAAATGGTTTTCCAATAAAAAATGACTCCTTGACTCTGCTCGATTGACTCTTCAACCCTTTGGCTTCGAGAAACGATCCTAACTCCTTGACTCCAGTCACGACACCAGCGCACATCTCCAATCTATTCAATATCAGTTCATGAGGCAATATGACACTAAACTATATCAACAGGACCTAACTGAATTACGCTCCTAATTCGGGTAATATGGATTAGGAAGCTTACATAACGCCTCAGAAAGGGATCGCGTAGCGTAAACTACATACATAAATATATTTAGCACTGCAAGCGTGCTGCCCGCACACTACCATCACAAACCCATCAAGGGGAGCACTTCCTTAAAGTCGGCGGTGACTTAGAGTGCGGCCGGTCCGGGACTCTTTTTGTCAGAGCGAGGATATATTGGACAAAGGAACGGAGGCACCCGGCGACGAGGTCGCGAGCTGAAAAGGCAAGGAACTACGTAGCGGAGCCAGCAGACAGCTCGGTTTGCCGTTTGCGTAAACTGGGTGCCTAGCTGCGGATATCCGAACTTAATTACATTTTACAGCGATGCCAATTTGCCAAGAAAGGGCGCGAGACGCACGCGGGCGTCGCACAAACAGTGGCATAATTGCCCTTTGATATATGATCAAATAAACCTAGTCAACATTTGCGCTAGAGCAGAGCTAAAACCAGAGAAGTCTAGAGCAGATATTACCATTAGTATTACAGGTTGTTTTTTGGATGAATTTATTCACTAAGAGATAGTTTTTGAAGTCATGAGTGTAAAAATTAAAAATTAAAAATTAAATAATTGACCTGAATTTTGGTGAAGTATTATAAAATAAATCTTACTACATTTCAATTAAATTTCGATAGTATTTGTTGATTGTGTAAAAATAAATATTTTTTTGCACAAATTCATCAAAAATATACTGAAATTATTTTCGATGGCAATATTCCACTCCAATATGACGACAATTTGACAAAATCCTTGCAGAAAATCCCCTCGCTCATAGAGTACATATTTTCAGCAGCAGTGGCTGCCACGAACGAGTGTACCTGTTATGCTCTCAGCAATCGCCTCGCCTTCGAAAGGTAGACGAGCGATACTAATGCGCGCTGTGGAATTTATCGAAATCCATTTGTCAATCGTTTTTGTAGTGCGTTTTCTATTCCGGGAATATAGTGCCAGATGCATTATACGCCACTTCGAAAATAATCTAACCACTTAGATTTTGTCGTTGTGATATGAGTGGTTCTATATTTATACATTTCAGAAATTCATGAGATTTTTTACGTGGGCATTAATATAAAATATCATTTTTTAGTTATTCAATATTCAATTCATATCTGAAGAAGTACAGATATGCAAAATATTTTATTTTCATGTAGTGTATGTGTTAAGATAGATTATGTCACAAGCCATATTTATTTTTTATAGTAGCTTTTGCCCGCGACTTCGTCCCGGTAGTGTTTAATAAAAATGTAATTCGTTTTAAGTTTCTTGTTCTAGACATAGTATGTGTCAATTCTATTAATAAGATTCGCCATTTTATTTTAAAGAAATTAATTATAGAAAGAATTGTTAATAATGCACTTCAGCGCGCCATCTCGGATTCAACTATTTAACTATAACTATGATTGAATCTTATTGCCAACTTTTATCCTATAGAAAAGGGCTGTCTTTAGGGTTTTCTGGCAATTATTCGAATATTTCTCGCCGTAAAAACCATCCTTGGACTTTGTCGAACATATTAAAAAAAGAATTGGCCACATTGGTGTAGGCTTTGTTGAGTTATGCGCTTACAAACAGATTTTGCGATTAATTCTTTTTTATTATAGATTACTTAACATATTAATAAATAAATTATTGAAGCAAACTAACAGCGAGTTCACAAAAAAAATGAATATTACGTGCACGGCGCGCAGAAAAATATTGAATTGTAGAAGCTAACGTGAGCTGCTTTAACCGATCCGAAAGTGCCGCGAGCTAAGTGCATTCGCATGTGCTGCCAATAATGGTTGCGTTTTTTCACGTTTCATTCGTTCAGTTCACGTGCGATTCCATTCTTTCCCCATTTCGCCGGAGGTTTTTGCGCGGCGTCACGGCGCGCCCTCATGCGTTGAATTTTCGTCGTGTGTTCGCTGAATTTCAACAAACATACCTTACGACCTGCGCCAACGTGCCGTAGAAACGTTTTACATCGACGCTTGAAACGCTACATCGCGCTACATTGCAACATTTTTTCTTCCCCTCCGACGCGCAACAAAAGTATAAACTACAAGAAAAACAAATTGCGTCGTTACCATCGCTACTTTTGTTTATTTTATTCGTGGTGTTTTCTCATGTGTGCAGCCACCGGCTCAACATGCCTCTTGCGTCCAGACGAACAAAAATCATCGTCGAATGCTGGCTGAAACGTGGTAGCATTAAGCTGCAGCAAAAAGCAGCAGAACAAAAAATATTCCACCAGAACGCGAGACGGGAGTTAGAAATATCTAGTAATTTTAACTTTTAACTTTATAAAACTTTGCTAATGTTCAATCAAGCATATTTGATTGTAAGCGATTTTGGCTTTACGATTTCTTCTTTCTTCTTCCATTACATTCTTCTTATGCAAACGTCACAATGTTTCAGGCACAAAAATTGTGTGAAAACAGTATTTAATCATGTTTTTCAAATTGGATTCGCAAAGTTTTCGCTAAACGCGCGACATGCATATTATTGTTGACATTAAAGTTTGCGGTGTGCAGAGCCAAGTTTCATTATAAATAGAAGTAAATAATGAAGTGGAACAGAATCGAATTCAACTTGTAGAAACGCGTAGAATCAGAGCGTAAAAAGTTAAACTAAATAAAACCATTTTAATGTTTTGACATTTCAAATGTTTGTTTTGATATAAATACTTTTTAAGGAAACACAATTATAAAATTTTCATCATTAAGGCATAAATTAATGCTTTGCTTGATGCAAAAAGTAATTTTAACTATTAATTGAACTTTTAATTGCCGTGCCAACTTATTAACCTCATTACATCAGCGCTGTTATTTATTAACACCTGTTTAACGTTTTCTGATTGCAGTCGACGACTCGAAAGTAATTTGTGTAATTCATTGACCTCAGGAGTCAATCGAGTCAATAAGTACTCAGACTTCCGTGTCGACAAACAATGGACGTTTAGTACCTATAACAAACGTCAGAGGGCACCATTAACTCCAACATCAATAATGTTGGAGAGAGCTTGTTTGCTCTTAGAAATAATATTTGGGAAGTTAATTTATTGCTTCTGTTTGTGCGGTCATCTTGAGCTCGAACTTCGGAAGCGTTCATTAACACTTAGACAAGTTGTGACCTAAATTGGAAATTGAGTTCTATTTTAAGAATAATAGGATTAATTTAATTTCAATATCGAAAAATATCAGAGGAATGTTAAATTTGTCGCTTTGGTGATTGTCGTGGTTCTGGAACCCCAGAGGAATTCACTTTTATGTCTACTAAAATGTTTTCCTATATTGGAACTGTTCAAACACGGTACTACATCACCTTCCCCTCTTTTGTGCACTCCAATCGCCCCTGGCAATAAAACAAAAAATTCCAAACATTTTTTCTAAAAATTGAACAAACAGGATGGACAATGTGTTGCATTCATAGTTGCAATTCTATTTGTTGAAACAATACCGACCAATATTAAAATGTCATTGTGGTAGTATGTTTTTATACAAGATTGGTGCGTTTATGTTCTATTTTCACATTTTCGTTTGTTTCCTGGCTCTTTGGCCGTGAAGTCGTGACGTGCACACATGATGACAGCACGCAGGAGCACCTCACCACCCCTGCCCCCGCCGCCCGAAACTAATATCGGCACGGTATATTATATCGGGCTTTTATAGTCCGTCATGCGATCGACGTGCATTTCTTCGCCACATACTTCCGGTCCCGAACTTTCTCCTTTCCCACCGCGCTCCGGCTCAAAAGGCACGCACGTTTTTCGGAGCCTTTCACATTTTTTTCCAAGGGTCCTGTTATTATGCGACGACCGTATTGCATATCAACATCGACAATATCGCGATGGCACATCGATGACGATAGTTTGAAAGTCCTTTTACTACTCTGACATTTCTGGAGGGCAAGCACGTACGCATGAAACTCATAAAATGTCTATAAAACAACTTACACACCAGTGGATCATCATGTGAAAACGGAAGGGCTCCAGAAACGGAAACGTATAGACTGTGGGACGAAGCACGGAAATAAGATGGCAAACGCCAACATTACAACTTTTCATATTTGTCTATCGGATGGTTTATTTCGGTAGAATCCTATTAAGATAATCATGAAATCACGAAATCCACTGACATGTGAAAATCGCGTTTTCGGCACGATGGCACATTCCGTTTTGTTTCCTCGCCCGTTTTATTTAGGTTTTCGTCGAGTTTGGATGTGTGTGTATATAGGATGTTGTCGGCTTGCGTGCGCGTTTGTGTGCGCGAGGGCGTTATGGTTAGGCGGTCTTCGTTGCGCCTCGGTTGAATGAAATTTCCCGGTCTTTGCAAATCAAATAAGCCGTGCACGAGCACAAGATGCAAGGCACGCTTTGTGCTTTGAGTGGCATGTGCACGACATTAAATAATCCGCCGTCATTTTCGAACCCTCCTCCGCGCCTCACTATGCGCGCTTCCTTCTCCAAGCCCAAGCTCGCATTCACAAGCCTTGAAGCCGGTGTCGGTTTTCGCGAGTTGGCGGCGCAGACCGGCGTTATAACGAGGGATATGTTGTTGTTTCGTCACACGTACGCCACGTGGGCACGCGTGTGCTTATTAGGTACCTCCGGTGTAAGGCGGAGATTCGCTAATCCCTTACCTTCGTAGATGCATCCTAACAATTCTAGCCGGAGACAGACGGTTCGCCGGTGAACGCTGTAGGGCAGCACTCGCACTTTGCTGGCGAACACCGGCGGCATCAAACGATGGCTTTCTACCGAGGCGGTGTCACTGTTTCCTCGAAGGATCTGCAAAAACAACAGGATATTATTACAATCACAGCCACATTCTGATTTTTAGGAGCAGGTTAGGATTGGAATCTCGTTATTTGTATACCAAATGGTAAATAGATGAAACAATTAAAAGTAGGATCATAATTATTAATCAATTTTTGTTGGAGACTAGCTTTTGCCCGCGACTTTGACCTGGTAGTGTTTAATAAATAATAAAGGATAAAATATCAATAAAATTCGCAATTTTCTTTTAAAGAAATTAATTATATAAAGAATTGCTAATAATGCACTTCAGCGCGCCATCGCGGATTTACGATTTAACTATAACTATGATTGAATCTCATAGCCAACTTTTATCCTTTAGAATAGGGCTGTCTTTAGGGTTTTCCCGCAATTATTTGAATTTTTCTTACTGTAAAAACCATTCTTGAACTTTAACGAACATTTTAAAAAAGAATTTGCCAAATTGGTCTAGGCGTTGTTGAGTTATGCGCTTACCAACAGATTTTGCGATTCATTTTTAGATTACAGATTAGTTAGAAATTATTTAGTATTTTTCAATAATACCCATTTGTTGTTAATATTCTACTTCTTTATGTATTGAAACTTTATAATTCATAGCATACCCAATGTTGTTTGACAAAAGTCATCAAAAACTCATTTATGACATTGAAGACTATTAAAACATGAATGTCTATCATAAACATAACGATCCATTGGAGCGCGTCCCGAATCTGGATTTCTGCGTTCAATTCCGCATTTATTTTTATCATATTTCCGATACATGCATGGGAGGTGTAGTGTGTGTATGTTATTGTACCTTCCAGCCATGTGCATTCGAATATGTTTCGTCGACGACTTGCGTGATATCTATATTTGATGGTCGTGTAATGCACACGATAGCGGCGCGGAAGAGCGTTCGAAAAACGTTCGCGGCTGTGGAGATATCGTTCGCTGGCAGCATACGACGAAACACAAAAGAAAACTAGAGATATCGTCAGTATCAATCTGTGACTTCTACGAGGATCGAAATAGCGATGGCACAATGACTCCAATAAGAGGAATGCGAATCGCATACATGGCGTTGTCACAAAGCATGTGGGTTCGTTGCCAAGCAGAAGTGCTGAATCTGTAAACCCAAGCAACGAACCCACAAACCAGTATACGTGCGGCAAGAAGAATGAAGGACATGGATGCACCACAGCTCGACGAAATAGAGACGAAGGAGGTCGGTCGTCGGTGGGAATGTGTGGCTGGTGTTGGCCGTGCGATCGTTACGAGTCAATTTGGCGTCGGTTTGCGGTAACGTCGGTCGCACAGACGCGCAGCACGCCCGCATAAAAAAGAAGGAAGTCGCGGCCCGACGAGAAAAGCGCGCAGGATATTCCAAACGACGTCCGAGTGGTGCACGTTATAGCAAGATGAGATTGAATGTGCCGGGAGTTAGGAGTCCAGTTTGATTCCTGATGGGTTGCGCTCACACAAAAGGCATCGAAAAACAAACGGTGAGATCGCACAAAGAAGAAAATAGGCACGTTGCGTCCACAAGAAATTGAAACATCAGCGGAAATAACAAGAAGTTTTTGCACGACCAACAAACATGCACATATTTCTATCAATACCATTGAGATATGATCGAGACCACACAACATTTTCATAAAATTTTATTAAATTACTTCATTACTGTTGTTGCTTGTGTTTTCTTGTCGAATCGGTTCTCTCCATAGGTTTGTATAAGTGGTAAGTGGTATTAGTACGATAAGGGGTGCGAAAATGTCGAGAAAGGAAATGTATTGAGCCGTGGCGCACGCGGCCGGGATATCTTAACAATGTTTAAAGAGCAAACACAATTATACTGATAATTACTTATTATTATGCGGAGACATTGCGAAATGAGCAACCCCTGCAAACATTCTGCTCGCGTACTGATAATATATAGATGGCTTAGTTTTCCATATTCTTTGTTCGCTATCAGTCGCTTTTGTGTGTTCCCATGACGGATTGATCGATTCTTGAAATTGCTTTATTCCAATTTAATTCGTTTTCGTTTCTTGCTATTATTCACGGTTGCGATATCATCGCTGAATCATCTCTAACAAAAGTCAATTCTTTCAGTCTTTAACTAACAGCTGATAGAATTGCTATTAAAACTGATGATGCTTGTCTAAAACATTTGTAACCACTTGGATTTGAGCGCGGGAAAATAGACAAAAATGTCGCAAACAACAAGCTTTGTGTTCACATAGAAGCTTTAGAGTAAACGACCAACAACAGTCAAAGTAAACATTTGGGGTATGTCACAAAGTATTTCAAGAAAGCCAATTTACACGTAAATAGTGGTCAATTGGATCAAAGCTTTCACGTTCGAATAGTGTCCGCACAGCAATTGAATCCTTTTATGTCAAAAACTCTCACCCTTGTTTGAATTGTTATAGCAATTAATGTTTTCATTGGCTCTTTTATTTACTTGTATTTATTTCAATCGTGTTTTAAACTTGTATTGTGCCCGATCAAACTGTCATTTCGTAAACGTAAAGTTGTTTCGGTTGTTTGCCCAACACCGACAAAGTCAAATATTTACATCGTACATATCAGCACACCTAAGTCCATGCGAGTTTGTTTATTTATTTATTGTCCCCTACAGTTATACGCATTTCTAAATATTTGAGTACTTGTTTAGTGGGTTGGTTGTGCGGTTATCCAAATAGCTAATGCATACAGGGCGTAATGACTGTGTGTGTGGATGAGTTTTATGAAAGTGTATGTGGTTGCGGCGTAGAGGGTTGGAAGTTTGTGTGTGGGTGCTAAACTGTTTACCTGCTTGCCGTCCCATCGCTTGTACTCTCGCCAATTCTCCATGCCGGGCCGCCAATATTCTACGGTGTACTCTTCGGCGTATTCTTGTCCGCGCCCGCGGTCGTACCGCCCTTGTGTCTGCACGCCGGTGACCATATGGACGTCTCCCAAATCGACCTGAATGTACTCCCTGATGCCCTGCTCCACTTGCAGTTTCGGGCACCAACCACCTCCTGCTTTCTCGATGCGCAGTCTGAAATTTCACAACGGAAATCATTTTAGACAATGCATACCGAATATGTCACTCAGCTATAGTGTTTGTCATTTTCTGCAAGTTAATCAGTCCTAAATGCACTTCAGCCTCGTAGGTAATTGAAGTCTTAGCTGCGACGTGTCTCAGTTTCCCGAGGATGTGCATTCTATGTTTAGCGCGGTGAGTGATGTCGTGATAAATGGACGGGCGCATGTTCGGTACATTATATAGCGGCAGTTATGATTCGCCTCACACACAAGAAGATAAAACCCTCTTAAAAGTTGTGTGCACATGGTGATGTTATATGATTTTATTTATGATGCAAGTTGTTTGTCATTTTAAAGTGGACACATTGTCCGGTTTTTAGGAAGATTGGAATTTTATTAATTGCGAAAATACAAGATTTTGCTTTTATTTGGGTCACTTGGTAATGTCGAGCGGTGCGTTACGTCCACCTAGACGCCCGAGGTGCCTATTATGTCGCTCATAACGTATTTGAGGTACATAGAAATTCACTTATCTCATATTTCAGGAATGCATTTTAGGTGTTAGCACCATGCAAAGTTGCTGCCGTGCTTCGTAGGTAATTGATTTTTCATTGCGCAATATAAAATGACATACAAGATTGGTGAGAAAATTTATTATCTCAGTGCATAGATACATAAATGTTTTAATTTACAGTTTTGATAAAACTATGGCTTTGTCTGCATCCTGTTGAAACATTGTTTTTTTTATTGTTTGAATGCATTTTTAGAAACTACTAGCTTTTGCCCGCGACTTCGTCCCGGTGGTGTAATTCGTTTTTATTCTCTTGTTCTTAACATACTATGTGTCAATTCTATCAATAAGATTCGCAATTTTATTTTAAAGAGATTAATTAATTAATTAATTAATCGCCTTAAAACCATCCCTGGACTTTAACGAACATTTAAAAAGAATTGGCCAAATTGGTTTAGGCGTTGTTGAGTTATGCGCTTACCAACAGATTTGGCGAATCAGTTTTATATTATTTACTAGCGACCCGCCCCGGCTTCGCACGGTTGCAATACTGATACTAAATACACTACAGAAAAACTGTGAACGTTGTATATAAAAACATAGCGGCCCGCTACGGCTTCGCACGGGTTTAAAATATATAGCCTATGTGATTAAAATCGATCCAGTAGTTTTGATTTATTCATTACTGCCCGTGGCCCGCACGCGTTAAATTTGGAGTAAAACTATCCACCTTTCCCTATACCATGAAGATTTCCTGCTGTCTTTGGAATATCTTCGCTGCTAAATTCAAAGTGCTACAGGGAAAACCGCGGCCTCAGACGCGCTATTTATAGGCACGCTCTTGCCGCACCGGGCGGCCGGCCGGCACCGCCGAAAACGCTACGTCCGCAATTTTAAAAAAATCCGTTGCGCAGTTTCAAAGATTTAAGCATACAAAGGGACAGACAGAGAAAGCGACTTTCCTTCTCCAAACAAAAACATCTACCGGTCAACTTCAACCCACACGTACACACATACACACTTGAGGGGAAGCTACGAAGCATCGCACAAAGAGCAGACGGGAATAATCGAAAACTTTGTATTTACGATATCACATTAGAAACCTCAAAAATAACAGTACTTCTCCACTATTTAATGGATGTTATTATACATACAAACCTTCCTCTTGAATTATTCTATCTATTAAAAAACCGCATCAAAATCCGTTGCGTAGTTTCAAAGATTTAAGCTCACAAAGGGACCGAAAAAAGCGACTTTACTTTATACTATGTAGTGATAGGTATCAAATCTATTGCAAAACTACTTACATCATTTTTGTGTTTATAAATTAAATCCACACTGTTAAACACATTTAAACCCTATTAGTTGATGAATAAATTATAGCTATCATAAGAAACATTTTGAATAGGATCAAATGTGACACTTTTTCTAGGAACTCACTCCATTGTCGATAATTATACCCGGAATGTGAATAATAATTAAAATACTAAATATTTCAACTAATTTTATTTTGAAGATACAAGCACTAATTATTATGTCTATATTGAAGTACGAATATACTAATGACATGTTTTTAATACGTCCGACGGTCTAGCTACATCCATCAAAATATGATTATGCACATTCATAATGAGCCGCGGTCATCAGTACGAATACACCTGTGTCAGAGTCAGATCCACAACTGGATGCATGCTAGAATATACAATTACATCGATCGATTTTGGATTGGTTGCGGATGGGCGCTAATCTATTATTTATCTACATTATTCATTTACATATTAGTATGATGATGGCTTAATTTAATAAAGTTGAAACTAAATTATGTCATCAAGGAAGCCATTTTGATTATGAATAAATCAGACTGACTGAAGGGGTGAATACATTACGTATTCAACGCACTAAATTTTTATTTATTTCAAGCCTTTACCCGCGACTTCGTCTCGTTAGTGTTTAATAAAAATGTAATTCTTTTTTACTCTAGTTTTCTAGACATAGTATGTGTCAATTCTATCAATAAGATTTGCAATTTTATTTTAAAGAAATTAATTAAATAGAGAAATGCTAATATTACACTTCAGCGCGTCATCTCGGATTCAACTATTTAACTATAACTATGATTGAATCTCAATGCCAACTTTTATCCTATAGAAAATTGCTGTTTTTAGAGTTTTCCCGACAATTATTCAAATTTTTCTGGCCGTAAAAACCTTCCTTGGACTTTACCGAACATTTAAATAAAATAATTGGCCAAATTGGTCTAAACGTTGTTGAGTTATGCGCTTACCAACAAAATTTGCGATTTATTTTTATATTACAGTTACGTATGCTTTTAAGAAAAATTAAGTGGGGAAAATACCTAAATGTGTTTAACCGTGAAAAAAAAAATGATATGACAAATGCAACTTCCACTATTGTAACAGATTGTAAATATCAAATGAGCATATTTCCGTAATGAAGTATGGCGTTTCGAAATTCCACCGTTTCGCATCCGAATGAATGCAATAAATATCATTTGATGTTAAAACGCAGACACACATGGCGCACCACCAAGCATGGCGGAGAGTACTCACAAAGCGCGAGTTTAATGCAGATTATTTAATGTTGCACTAACATTGCGAGCGGCAAAACACAAATGTGCAACTGATATGCATACAGAGTGCATCCTTAATATTTAAACAGCCTCACAAAGCCCACACTTACATTTGCCGCCGTCGCTTCTGCAATTCGTACATTTTTGACAAAATTAATGCATGTTTATTTTATTTGCAACTAAAATACTGATAGCTTGTGTATATTTAATTAGGTTGTATTGAATTGAGTCTGCTGTATAAAATTGTAAATTACGTTCGTAATGCATGCTACTGTGGCTGCAATGTTAATTTCACTGCGAGCTACTAGACCTAGATGCATCTAGTATGCAATTTATTGGGATGCACATTCAAGAATGAATTACGAATTACAATTTGGCATTTCGGTTGGCGGGCCTCTTTCGGTAAAGTGAATTCCTAAATAAATTATACTAATTATGACGAGTGCACACAGATTCCAACACAAATTTTGCAATATGTCATAAATGAATGTATGAATCAATAAATTTACGTGTCTATATCATGATTGAAATTATGGCAATTTAGTCAACTTACTAATTACACAAATTGAATTGTCAATTTACTGCTTTGGAAAATGGATATTTATTACTTGTTATTGTATTGAATTTCGGAGTGCTTTAATAATATTAGAAATAACTGACTTCTCTCGTTATAAATATTTGGGTAACACATTTAATTAAAACAAGAATCTGCAAACTTCATTTAATAGAGTAAACCAAAGTTGCTGTTTGACGTCACTGTTACATGCAATATACACGCTAAATTATCGGCAGATGGATTAGTTTCCAAACGTTTGCTACAAAGTTCTAAACTCAATGCATGAATGAACATTTCACATGTTACCTCAGATCATGCAATCAGGTATACGGATCGATATAAAGTTAGTTTAATGAATTAATATAATATTTAAATTTATAAATATTGCATTACTAGCTTTTGCCCGCGAGTTCGTTCGGTAGTGTTTAATAAAAATGTAGGGAAGGGGGGCAAAGTGGGCCGTGGGCCCCTGAAATTCAGTTGGCTTAAAAATTGAGAGGCAAAGTGGGCCCCTAAAATTTTTAAAAATAAGAGGGGAAAATAACTCACATCAACAAATTCGAAGTAAGAAATGAAAGAAAAATATATAAGCAAAAAATGGATACAAAGGTAATAGCAAAATTTTTATGGGCGGGGCCCACCTGCCCCATATTCTGAATTTTTTATTTGATAGACACGGCTTATTAATATTGAATACTGAACAAGGATGTAAAAATAGTAACGAGTGAAAAAGGTAAACAAATCCCCTTTTTTCTCTTATGGGGCCCACTTTGCCCCCTCTCCCCTAATTAGTTTTACTCTCTTGTTCTACACATAGTATGTGCCAATTCTATTAATAAGATTCCCAATTTTATTTTTAAGAAATTAATTGTATAAAGAATTGCTAATAATGCACTTCAGCGCGCCATCTCGGTTTCAACTATTTAACTATAACTATGACTGAATCTCAATGCCAAGTTTTATCCTATAGAAAAGGGCGGTCTTTAGGGTTTTTCTGGCAATTATTCAAGTTTTTCTCGCCATAAAAACCATCCTTGGACTTTAACGAACATTTAAAAAAAAGAATTGGCCAAATTGGTCTAGGCGTTGTTGAGTTATGCGCTTACCAACAGATTTTGCGATTCATTTTTATATTATAGATAGTAATGAATATTTGCACAAAATAAAATTTTCATATGCATTTCTATTCGCGGATCTATTAACTGGAGACATGAAACTCTTATTTGTTTTTGTCAACATCTAAGAAACGATTCGCGGTGAAAAGACGACGGCGAATAGACGTTTACCATGTTCAACAATCTCCCAACTTGCTGTTTCACACCTCAACAATTAATACATTGGCTTACAACGCCGTGA